CTGCTTTGGAGATTTGCTGCCTGGGGCACAGGCAGTATCTTTTGGCACCATTTATAAAACTGTGGTGAAATAAACACGACATAAGATTTACCGTCTTAACGGTTGTTCAGTGTCCAGCTCAGTGGCGTCGGGCATGTTCCCAGGGCTGGGCAGCCGCCCCCACCCTCGCCTCCAGGGCTTTCCCGCTCCCCGCGCGGACGCCCTGTCCCCTGAAACACTCCCCGCCCCGCCCCCACCCCGCCCCCATCCGCTCTCCGTCTCAGTGCATCGGCCTCCTCTCGGCCTCACGTACGTGGAATTACACTCTGTGTGTCCTTTGTCACAGGCTTATCTTGCTCACCATCGTGTCCTCGAGATTCCCCGAGCTGTCATGGGGGTCGGGAGTCCCTCCTTTTCACCACCGGACAGAGTTCCGCCGTGTGGGTGGGCGTCATGCTTCATTGATCTCTGTGTCCACCGGCGGCCGTGGGGCGGCTCCCGCCCTGGCTGCTGTGAGCGACGCTGCTGTGAACACGGGGGTGTGCATCCACGGCTGTGACTCGGGGGTCCCGCCAGCGGCTCTGTGGCAGGCGACCTCACACGTCCTGTGGTCCTGCCACCGGCAGGGCCCGGCATGAGGCCTGGCTGACCAGCTGACAGGTGGTGCTTCACTTACCCCTCGCTGCAGCCCTGGGAAGCGGGCGCTCCTGTGTCCCAAGTGTCCCCAGTGTTCAGACGAGGAAACTGAGGCCAGCCAGGCGACAGGACGCGCCTGCAGGCCCAGCCTCGGGGGGTTGCCGGGCACCAGGCCGGCGGAGGACGCTGCACATGCGGGACCCACGCCGTCACCTCCGGCAGAACCCTCCGTCTCCTGGGGGCCCCTGCCCCGCCTCTCGGCCATGCGGCCGCTCATCAGACATGGAGCGCGTCCTCTGTGCGCCTGCCCTGGGCTGAACGCGGTGCCTGGGGCTGGCTGCCACCCCAGGGGCTAGTGGGCTGGGGGCCGACTCACACAGGCAAAGGGTAGGCGGTCCACTTCCGGGTCGACCACAGGCGCCAAAGGGTGTACAGAAGTGCGTGCGTGTGTGCACGTCTGAGCCCATGTGGCTGTGCGTGTGCGTGGATGCACATGGATGCGTGGGTGCATGGCTGCAGGTGTGGGTGCAGGCCCAGGAGAGGGGCGGTGTTCTCAGTGGGAGAGTCGCGTGTCCTGAGCCGGGTGTCCTGAGCCAGCTGTGCCTCTGTCACTGTGCTGTACCTCCTGGGATCTCTGAAGGTGGAGTAGCAGGTCCCGCTCCGTCCTGTTTCCAGTGGCTTTGTTGTCATCAGTTTCTCCCCCAACTTTTTTGCGAACTTTTAGGCAGGTAGGTACGTCGAGGAAAAGACCAGCACGACGAACGCCTGGTCATGCTTCCTCCCGGGCACGTCAGGCGTTACCCCGTGGCCACGTTTTGCTTCCTCTCCTTTCCGAACCGCCTGAGCGTCCATTGCACCCTGACCCCTCGCCCCCGTGGCCAGCGCGCGGGCACCAGAGCACCGCCTGCCCCGAGCCCGCGCTCCCCCGCCCCCAGGCGTCCCCCGCGGATGCGCGCTCACCTTTTCTCCTCCGGGGTCCAGTCTAGGACCCTGCGCTGCCATCGCTATTGTCCCTGTGTCCTTCGTATCCTGCACTCTGGGATGTTCTTCCTTCGTGCCAGTGACTTGAGGAGGCCGGGCCTGCTGTGCTGCAGGTCGTCCCTCGGTCTGCGTTGGCCCGTTGCTTGGTGACGGGACCCAGGCTGAGCGTTTTTGGCAAGAGGCTGCCTTGGAGACTGTGTCCCCGTGTGACCGGGCCCCATGGGCCCTCGGGTGCTCGGTACACCCTGCGTGCCCTGAGCAGCGATGAGAATCCTCGCACGTTCACCGTGGCTCCGCACGCAGACGGACCCGTGAGAGCTGCTCCCGGAGGCGGAGCTGCCAGGCTCTTGTTGGTTCCTCTGTTTTAAGCGGCGCTGGGGAGTGGACCGCGTGCACGTCACGCCCACCGGCGCAGCACCGGGCCGGCGGCGTGGGGCTGTCGGGCGGCGAAGGCGCCGCGTGAGAGCGTGCAGCGGGGGCTCTGTGAGCTGGTGGGGCTCATGGGGGCGCCGGAGCCCCTGGGTGCCCCGCTCCCTTTCCTCCCTGGTCAGAGCCCCTTCCCCAGCCCCCTGTGGGCTAGACTGCTCACGGGATGTGGGGGCCACCGTCGGGGGGGACCGTCCACGAGGCTGGGCAGCCGGGACGCCCTCCTTGAGTTGGGGGAGTCCTTCCGGCACCTGTCAGCCCTGCCCCCAAGATGTGCAGAAAGAGCGCCCTTCTCTGTCTTTTTAAAAAACCGACATAGTTTGGATTCGGGTCCCCGCCCTGGCAGGGGTACCTGACACGCAGGGTCAGGAGAGGAATCTCTACGCCGGCGAAGGCGACCCACTTATGGCCCACAATCAGATTAGTGGGTCACATTTGTTACGTAAGTCGCGTTGAAGAGGAAAACAGCGGAGTATTATCACGAGGAACAAGGGCATTGTCATGGATGTACGCACCGCGTAGACTCGTGCGGAAAATGGTCCCCCCAAAATCAGCTGGTCCCCCGACAGGCCCCGGGGACCGGGGCATCCCTGGGACAGACGCGTGTTTGCCAATGGGATTAAGCCGAGGACGCTGACACGGGGAGACTGTCCTCGGTTCCCCCAGATGAGCCCTGAAAGCAGGCACGGTTGTTCTTAGAGCTCAGGCAGGGCACAGACAGGCGCAGAGGAAAGAAGGCGACGTGGCCCTGAAGCCAAGGGCGATGTGGCCGCCGCCGGAGGCTGGAAGACAAGGAGCAGGCGCTGAGCCCACCCCTGCGTTTAAGCCCAGGGAGGCCCACTCTGGGCGCTGGGCCTTCTGCACCGGGAGATAATACGTTTGTCTTGTTTAAGGGTCCCCCGTGGGAGAGGGGCTCTGCTGCAGTGGCCCGGGGAGAGGGGTGCTCGGGGCATCAGCAACCAGCTGTCCTCGCTCGGGGCCTGCGCGCGGGGGCGGGGGCAGCGGCTGCGCCCGCCGGGCTGCCCGCCGGCGGCTCGGCCCCTCTCACACCTGCCCCCTGGGACCCGCAGGCCGGCCGGAATGTTCTCCTTGTATGAAGGCAGACGCATCGTAGGGCAGGCGGCCATGCCTGAGGCCTAGACCCGGAACTGGCACTCTGTCACCTCACCTTTGTGCTGTTGGCCAAGACTAGCCACGTGAGCAAACACGGTCGTGGGACAGGAAGCTGCCCGGCGTCCCAGACACGAGCAAGGGGCAGGGTGCGGGCGGGCCAGCCCGGTCCCCCGCAGGTGCGCACGCCTGCGTGTGGGCCGCCTCTGACCCGCGCGTCCCTCCGTGTGCTGCTGTGAGATCCGTGGCGTGCGCGTCCTTGGTGCCCTTGACCCTGAGGTTCGTGGGCTTTCAGGGCCCGGCTCTGCTTCTCCGTGACTCCCCCTGACCTTCAGCTGGAAGGCTCTGGGAAGCGTGGAGGCAGAGCTGCAGTACGGCACCGGTCGCCAGCGGCGGGCCCCTGGCCACGCAGGCTCTCAGGCTCCGGGCCTGCGACCGGTCTTGTCCGCCAGCTCCGGCCCCGCCTGCCTGCCTGTCGCTCCTTCCACCTGTCTCTGCTCGGTGTCCTCCCCGGGGAAGCACGGCTGTGATTCCCGCCTCGGGCGCCGGCGGCCTGTGGGGCTTGCGGAGTGCTCAGCAGGGGCTGCTGTCCTCATCACCGCTGAGCTGAGCACAGGGCCGCAGGGCACAGAAAGCAGAATAAACAAAGGGGACGCTCTTCTCACTTTAAGCCCAAGGGCAAGGAAGCCTCTGCCTTAGGAGCAGAGCTGGTACCCACTTGCGGGTCCCCGGGCTGGGTAGGGGAGCTCCAGGCGGACTTGCCTGTGGGGATCGGTGGTCACCCTCCCCGTCCACTGGGCGCGACTCACAGAGGTCAGTGGGCGCCCGGCTGCCCGCGCGCTCGGGGGACCATGTCTTTGGCCGCGTGCTGTTGCGGTGTGAACTTCACTCACCCCAGAGCGGCTCCCTGTCCACGTGGCGTGAGGCGTGACTCATGACCAGTGGCGCCCCAGGCCCCTCGGCTGTGGGACCCCGGTCCGGCACGCTCACGGCTGGGTTTGCACACGGCGCGCGTGCCCTTCACCGCGACGGCGCCCAGGGCTCCCTGCCGTCGCGCTCCAGGGGCCAGGCGGCCCTCACCTCTTCCACTGCTGGTGGGTCAGGGAATATTTCCACCTTCTGCGACCTTAGCGCCAGGACCAGCAGAGGAGCACCGCAGCGGGCAGGGCACAAGGAGGCCGTCTCCAAATGCGTGTCCACCCGGAACCTTAGCGTGTGACCTCATGTGGAATAAGGACCTTTGCAGGTGTGACCAAGATAAGGCTGGGGATGAGGGCGTCCTGGGTGAGTATGGCCCTAAATCCAATGGCTGATGTCCTTACCAGAGACAGAAGAGGACACGTAGACACATAGTAGACGCCAGGTAAAGACGGTGTCAGAGGCTGGAGCGATGCGGCCACTAGGCCAGGACCGGCCGGAGCCACCGGGAGCTGGGAAAGGAAGGGGACACTCTCCCCGGAGCTTCAGAGGGAGCACGGCCCTGGCCACTCCTCCGGGCCAGACTCCGGCCTCCGGGGGCTGCGAGAGCAGAAATGTCCGTGGTTGAAGCCCCCACACATGGGCTTTGTGGGGCGGCCCCGGGCCACGGCACGGGCAGTGCCCACCCCCAGGCCGCGTTCCCTCTCTCCCCGCGCCTGGCACACGCGGGCAATCAGTGTTCCCGGCCCTTCCGGCCCCTCCCCCGCCCCGTGTGTCTTTTCAAAGTCCCTTTCCCAGATGCCTGGGAAACAGGTGCCCCTTTGGAGTGCGGCGGCGTCTATTTCAGTGTGCCGGGAAGGGGTGGCCCTGCCCCGCCTTGGGCAGCAGGGCGCAGCTGCCGCGTGACCCGGCGGCGTGTCCGTTGGGCGGCGCTGGCCGCAGAGGCGCCCCGCCAGTCCAGCCGCTGCCCGTTGCCGCCGCGGAGCAGGCCCTTGGCGAGGAGGCCGTGCTTGTGGGGATGCCTGGAGGAGAGGCAGGTACGGCCCCAAACCACCCTTTTGGCGAGACCCCCGGCCGGGGAGGAAGGGGTGGCGATTTCCCAGCTAGAAGTCTCGAGCCCCAGCCATGGGCTCGGAGGCTGATGGGAGAGGCGGCGGCGCGACGGGGCTCCGCGGCCGACAGCCGGTGCGAGGGCCAGCACCTACGAGTGCCGGGCTTTGGGACCGGCTCCGGGGGCTCGTGATGCCAGCCCCAAGGAGTGGCCCCGTTTCACAGATGAATACAGTGAGACTCAGGGGCGGGGGGGGGGTGGGGGCCATCCGAGCGAGATTTGGCTCTGGGCCCTCGGACCCCACAGGGCCCGCAGCCCCTCCCCCGGCCCCTTCCCCGCCTTCTGCCCCTTCCTCCCCTCCTGTAAGGCGGAGGTTCTCAGGCAGGGCCCATGTTGCTCCCTGCGGGGCAGTGTCTGGAGGCTCCTCGGCTGTCACTTGGGGAGGGCCGCTCCAGGCACCCGGGGCGGAGGCCAGGGACGCAGCTCGGCGCCCACAGTGCATGGGACGGCCCCCTAGCCGAGAGCCGTCCAGCCCAGTGTGCCAGTTGAGCTGAGGCTGCGGGGCCTGCTCGCTCCAAGGAAAATTATAAAAACGTTAGCTCTCTTGCTGCAGACACAAGAAAGGGGGGCCATCAGCTATTTAGATAAAACCAGTGAGCAAGTTCAGGTCCACCGAGGTGGCCTGCAGGGAGGCTGGCTGGCGCCAAAGGCTCGGGCATCGGGGCTGGGGGAGAGGAGACTGGCGCGAGTGAGGGGGAGCAGGGCGCCCCCACCCCCAGAGGCCAGGGGCGGGGTCCAGCGCCGCCTCCATCCCCGGATGCTCCACCCCGGGCCTCAGGCCCCCTCCCGCGCTCAAGGCTCATGCGCAGTGGGTGGCCCCTGGCTGGGCAGCCGTGACAGAGCCTTCCCCTCAGTGGCGTCCCCCTCTGGCCTGCGGCAGGCCGGGTCACTCTGCAAACACTGGTGGGTCCCAAGAGCTGGGACACATAATGATGTCCAGTTCTCACGTGGAGTTTCCATGCTAGCGGTGGGGCGGGTCCCCACGCAGCTGAGGACACAGTGTCCTCCACACCCTGTGCTTCCTCCAGTTGATGCCAGCAACGCCGACGGCAAAGAGCGATGGGAAAATGGCGTGAACCCACCGATACAAGCACCCTTTTTGCCAACGCACAGATGAAGGCGTGGACTCCCGATAAAAATAGCAGTAAAGGAAATGTGATTCATTATGTAAAGTTACAGTAGGAGCGAAAACTAAAAAGAACGGCAAGGAAATGGGTACATCTTTGGGATCTCGGCTTAGGCAGCGGTTTGTTCAACATGACCCCAAGAACACAGTGATTCGGGAGACGCACAGAAACGGGGCCTCACGAAGAGAAACACTTTGAGGCTGCCAAGAACATCGGGAAGAAAATGAAAACGCAGCCCACACCGCGGGAGGCAGTATTTGCCAGTCACACGTTGGAGGAGGGCACTTGCATCTAGAATATAGAAACGTATAAATCACTCATAAAAAGACCAGCAAATTAAATGGACACAGGGTCTGAATAGAACGTCTCCAAAGAAGGTGTACAGGTGGCCCGCTGGGGCGTGAATGGCTCTCAGCACCTTCGCCCTCGGCTGCGTGCCCATCAGAGCCGCCGTGGGCGGCCCCCTCACACCCACCGGGGCGGCTGTTGTCAAAACGACAGTCACCGGGGTGGACGGGGATGCGGAGGAGCTGGACCCCCAACGCCGCTGCTGGCGGGGGTGCCAAATGGCGCGGCCGCCGAGGCAGCAGTTAGATGTAGAGCGAGCATCCGCCGAGCAGCGCGCTCCTGAGCGCGTTCCCAGGACAGATGGAATCCTGGCCACGTGCGAGTAACAGCCCCAAGTGGCAACCAGCCCGGTCCTCCGGCTGAGGGGCGGCTGCGTGGGCTGTGTCCACACACGGGCGGAACCTCACTCGGCCGGACAGAGGGAGGCAGCGCTGGCACGCCCCACCGTACACGCGCGCAGCGTGGGTGAGCCTCGAGAACACACGCTCAGTGGAGGGAGCCAGGCACGAAAGGCGCCGGACGGTATGATTCCCTGGTTGTGAACTGTCCCGAGGAGGCAAATCCTTCGAGACAGGAAGTAGATTATCGGTTGCCAGGCAGGAGGCGGGGGATGGGGAGTGATGGTAAAGGGGGCGGGGTTTCTTCGTGGGGCGGTGGAAACATTCTGAAATTGACTGTGATTGGCACACGGCTCTGAGTGCCCTGAAGTGCGTGGCCTTGTGCGTCTCACATGGGTGAAGGGTGCGGCACGTGAAATGTGCCCGCGGACTGGGACATGCTCCGGAGAGGACGGCTCCCCGCCGTGCGGACTGGAAATGACAGGCACGTCGCAGGCTCCAGACAGTGGCTGGCGTCCTCCGGGGACATTGGACGGGAGAAGAGGTCGAGGGGAGGGCTGTGAGCTCTCAGACCCTCTGCGGCCACCCTGTCTGGATTCAAAGCCAAGGACTTTTAAGGGTTGTTTGGACTTGCGATGTTACTCGGCAGTGGGGCGGGGGGCGTGAGGACCCCTAACCGGGCCGGTTGGTACCTGAGGTCAAGGCTGCAGCCCCGACTTCAAGGGCCTGGGCAGGAAAGGGTGCTGGGACTCGGAGGTGGCCGGGGCACCCTGGGGGTGGTGTGGGCAGGCCTGCAGCCCACTGAGCTCCCACGCTGGGGGTCTCATGGCAGATGGCCCGCGCGGGGGCCCTGGCGGGCGTAGCTCAGCCTCACGGACCCTCTCGGTGGGCGTGGGGATCCTGCGGCCCGGGTTCAAATCCTAGCTGTGCCCGCCCATTTCCGGCTCCACGACCTGGGCATCCGATGGAAATCGCCACGTGCAGTGCCTGGCACGGCCCGGGCCCCGGGCTGAGAGGTGAGGGTGTCACAGGGATTGGTCACTATCTCCCTGCCGGTGCCCTGTATGGGGCTTGAGTCACCAGATGCGTCTCCTGGTCCCGATTAGATTTAATGAGCATCTGTTGGGCATCTGCGGTGCACTGAGCTCTAGGCTTACGCTGCAGACCCAGACGAGGTCACTTGTTGATCCGGGGGGGCCGCCCTGGGCAATGGTGGCGTGACACAGGAACAATCGCGGGCATGGGCGCCCGGAGCCCCGAGTCCCGGTCCCTGCTTGGCCACAGGCTCACCAGGCATGGCAGTTTCCCTGTGTGTCGGGGGTGGGGAGGCGGGGGTGCCCAGATGCCCACTGAGCGCTGCCCTTCCGGAACGCCACCCGTGAGACCCTCAGATGCCGCTCCGGGCACGAAGGGCTCCTCTTCCGGGGATGAAATGACATGCTCCGGGGACGTGGGTGGCGCGGGCGCCTGGACCGGCTGCTCAGAGCGTGAAGAGCCCCAGGACTGGCCCGAAGCCCGAGCCGAAGTCAGCTGGCAGCCCTGTGGCTGGCCGAGCTTCCGGGGACAGCTCACGGCCACGTTCTCCCAGCGCCTGCCTCTGGAAGGAGCCCCCTGCCCGCCCCCAAACGCACACACCAGTGCCAGCCCTGCCCCTCACCATCCTTGGAGCCGAAGGACAAGTGCGGCGAAGACCTCCAGGAGCGGAGGGCGCACAGCGCGCTGCCGGGGCACACGGATGCACCCAAGGCACGCCGCAGGAGGGGGTCGCGGACACGTGTCCAAGGAGGCCACGCGTCAGGACACGACGTCACCCAGCACCATGAGGTGCCAGGCTCCGAGCCGGGAGCTGGTCTCCCAGGGGCCACACCGAGCTGCCAGGAGCAGAGGCGACCGCAGAGGGGTGTTGTGTGCAGCGAGCAGGGGGGAAGCTGAGTCGCCCGGCAGGGCCATCCCTGGGCAGGGCACCCAGAGGTGCTGATGGTGCAGGGGCAGCTGGCCAGCTTAGGAGCACAGAGGCTCGCCGACTCAGGGCACGATGGGGTTGCCTCCCGCGAAGCCGATCGTCAGTTGCAGCATCCTAACTGGAAACACATTTAGCACACCGGACCTAGCTCGGCCTCGCCGGTTTCTGCTGCGTGCGCGGCGCTGTGGTGCCGCCGTCAAGTGGAAAAATCGTTAAGTCGAGCCATCGTTAAGCCGGGGACGTCTGTGTTAGGCATTTTCACGCACTCAGTTCCATCAGCACACGCCTGTGCTCGCGCCCACGTTCAGTTCTTAGACCCGGGGGAGGGCGGAGTTGATGTGTGACCGCGGGGAGGCACCGTCTGACCTTGGGGCAGGTCGGGGGCTCAGATGAACACACTCGGCTCCGCAGGAGAAACCAGAGGCGATGCTCACGGGGAATCGGAAGAGGCCAGGCCACTCTGGAGAGGTCACTTCCAGGGACGCAGGTCATGTCTGGGGGAGCGGGCCCCTTTCAAGGTCGTAGGTCACTTCCAGGGTGGCAGGTAGTGGGTCCCTGAAGCTTGATCATGTGAGGGTTGAGACTGGGTGGGGACAGGTTCCGGGAGGGACGTCCCTGGGCCGACTGGCAGCTTCAGCGCAATGAGCTCTGAGGGGGGCGTTCCCACATCTGTCCCCACATGTGCGAGCTTCTGGCGGCAGGGAGGGTCTGCCGGCCTCACCCTGGGCCCCGTGCCAGCCAGAGCTCGGCGGGATGGGGATGGGGGATGTGCTGACCGTCAGACCGCATGGCCCTCCGGCCGCTCACGGGGCCAGGCTGCTGGAGGCTGCGGCGGTGAGGGCGGCGGCCAGGGAGCAGCCCCGCGTTACAGTCCGCAGCCGGCCCCCTTGGAGGCCCGGGGTGAGCGCTCGCGAGTGGTGGGTGGGATCTCCAACGCGGGGGCTGGGAGGGCAGGAGGGGCCCGGACCCACTCCTGTGGCCGACGAGGCCTGTAAAGCGTGTCTGAGGGCTGAGCGGCCGCCTGGCAGGGAGGGGGAGAGTGGCGAGCGCACCCTCCCGGGCCGCTAACTACGCAACCAGAAGCCCAGCCCCAGCGCGTCCTGGGCTCGAGGGCGCGCAAGCCGCAAGGGTGCTCACGGCCGCGTGGTGTGATGTGGGCACAGAGCCCGCAGCTCTGGTCTCCCCAGCGCCCCCAGCAGGGGACACGCTTCTCAGACATGGGCACTGGGCCTGGGCCTCAGGCCAGCGGAGGCAGACGAGCCAGTGGGCACAGGCCACCCAGTGTGGCCAGGGCCGCGGGGAAGACGAGCACCGTGAGGGACGTGTGCGTGCGCTGCTGGCCCAGAAGGTGTCTGCCCGCCGCCCGTCACCTCCTCCCGAGAGCCCTCCGTGATGGCTCACGGAGCATCTCCCTGCCGCGGCCCCCGCGGCCCCGGGCCTCTCTCTGTCGTCCCCTGCTCACGGTCCCGGTCAGGCGGCAGGGCCGGGGAGGGCCCTAGGTGAGAGCCCGTCCCTCTCTCGTGAGCGAAAGCCCTGGGTGTTGATGGATTCCCGGCGGGGGCTCCCAGGGCTGGGGCCTCGTCCCCGGGGGTGAGATGGTCTCAGCCCTCGTGCGACTGACCCTTAGTACCGCCTGAGTGTATGCCCTGTGTGATTACCTCAGTCAGGGACGTGGAAAATCGAATGTCAGGGCCAGTCTTGAGGTCGTAGTGGAGCGAGCCGGCCTCACTGGTGTGCAGGCCTGGGAGACCGGGCGGCGTGCGCACCCCTCTCCCCCCACACCCCGCTCTCAAAAAGTTGAACAGACCTTGTATCTTACAGCGGTTTTCAGTTTATAGGAAAGTTGACCAGAACGTAGAGAGTTCCCAACATGCCCCGCCCCCAACCCCAGTTGCCCACTGTTGACATCCTACATCGGTGGCACCGTACTTACAACTGATGGGCCATCCTGATACGTTGTCCGTAACAGAAGGCTACAGTGTGACTCGGTGCCGCGCGTTCCGCGGGTCTGGGCAAATACGACCGTGACGCGCGTCGCCCTCCAGTACCGCGGGGAGCGGCCCGCTGGCCTCGGCTCCCTCTGCGCCCTGCCTGTTCGCCCCCCGCCCCGCCCCCGACCACCGGTCTTCCCACTGTCTCCATGGCTTTGTCTTCTCCGGAGCGTCAGGGAGTTGGAAGGACAGTGAGCAGCCTTTTCAGATTGGCTTCTGTTCCTCAGCAACACGCCTGTCGGGTCCCTCCACATCCTCTCGTGGTTTGGTAGCTTGTTTCTTGAGAGTTCGCTTCTTTCTGTAACGTTCACACGCCGGACCTGGGCCGTGGCCAGAACCGCCGCCTCCCTGTCTTGGAGCTGCTTGGAGAGAGCGCGGGGCGGGCCCTGATCGTTCTCACCGCGGCTGGAGTCGGGCGGGCCACCTCTCTCAGCAGCAGCGGAAGAGCTTCCTCTGCCCGCAGGCACGGCGGGCCCCGCCCTGATTGGGCAGCGGCAGGAGGAGCGAGTCCGTCTTGGGTGTGGGGCCCGTGCCCCAAATCCTCAAGGTTCACAGGTGTGACCCCAGGGCCCAGCGGGCAGAGGGGCCGGGGCGGGCTGGCCGGGAACCCCCTACCTGCACCTGCGGTACCTGCGTGAAGACAGGTGTCCGCTGTCACGGTGTTGTGTCTTCTTCCTGCCACTAGAGGGAAGCACCGCCGCTCTCACCTGCACAGAGGCCCCGGAGTCTCCAGAGAAGGCTGCAGGGGGGCGGAGCAGGGCCTCCCACTAAACCAAGTCTTCAAGCAGCTCCCCTCACACCAAATATATCTCCAGTAACCAGGAAACGGGTGACTCAGGCTGTGAGACCCGGCCAATGGCAACAGCTGCCGTGTGTTGAGCACTCAGCGTTTGCAGGACGCTGGGCTGGCACATTTTGGTCCAGGGCCCCAGCGTCTCCCGGCCCGGGGATGTGAACGGACGAGCCGGTGGACGTCCGGGGGTCCCAGGTCCAGCATATAGGAGGCGCGGCCGGGGCTGGACCCCGCCGCCGGCAGGGCCGCGGCACCCTGACAGCAACCCCCGCGGGTGGGGTCTGACGTTTCCCTTGCACTGGATGGGGGTCAGCTTCCGCAGTGCGAGGTCGTGCCTGAGCACTCGCAGGGAGACCGTAGCGTCTCGACCTTCGTGCACCTGACAGATGAGAAGATAACAGAGGGGCGGTCTCCGCCCCCCGCCCCGGCCAGCTCGATTTGACCTCGGGCGGCGCTCCGTGGCCCGTGCGCCCCACGTGAGCCTGGGCAGCCGGGGCTGTGCCCCGCGGGAGCAGGAACGCGCCATCTGAGGTTTCACACCCCGACTGCCGAGGCTCATCCGCATGGTGAGTCTCCAAGTCAAGCCCAGGAGATCCTCACATTTTGCCGCCTCCCATCCATTTTATTAAATAATCAATGAGACCGTGTCTGCCGTTATTCTACAGAGAAAAGGAGCGTGGGGCATTTCGTGCTGTGGACATTTAACCCAGAGCCGAAAGTGCCACCGTGGCTCCTGGGCCGCTGGCCACGCTCGCGGGTCCTGCTGGCTCTGCGCGGCCAGGCCGCGGCTTGGCGTCCCGGGGCTCTGGAAACGCGAGGCCGGCGTGATGTGGGGCGTGGTGCTGCTCACCCCTTCCTGCACCTGCTTCTCCAGGCCTGTGGCTTCTTGTTCCCGGGGGGTGTTCAGAGCCCTCCTCCTGGGGAGGCCTGCTGTCCCCACTGTGCTTGGCCCCATTGTGCTGCCGGCCGGCCGTGAGCAAGGACTGCAGAGGAGGGGAGGGCCCTGCTCTGGCCCGACTGGGGGCCGTCGGGAGGTGGGCTTCAAGGGGAGGGGGCAGGTGGGAGGCTGATGGAGGAGTGTCCTCCTCAGTGTGGGATCCACCTCCTCAGTTTTTGCAGCGGGGACGTGACCTTCCACCCCGGCGTCCATCAGAGCTAGGTGCACGCGCGCGCGTGTGGCGGGGCGGTATGAATGTGCCTCAATGTCAGAGGAAGCGTGGCAGGTGTTTTTCGGGCTCGCCCACCTCCCCTGGGCCCACCTGTGGCTCTAGCAGCTACAGCAGCAGTTCCTCAGGCCTCTGCTAACCCCTCGGACTCACTCAGCCCAGGCACCGGGCAGCCCAGAGAAGGGGGGATGGGATTCCCCCCGAGGGGGACAGGAGGTGGGGTCGGTGCCCCAGCCCCCTTCCTTCCGAGGCAGGACCTGGCCGATGAGGGATGGCCCCCTGGAGGGCCCGCGAGGGGGTGGCCTGCTTGTCCCCGGTAGCAGTGGATACACAATGCACCCCGTCTGGTCTCAACCTCAGGGCAGGGAGCCGAGACTGAGGCAGGAGAGTGGCGTTAGGCCTGGGACTAAGAAAGGCCCAGGAGGCGACAGCTCTTTATACAGGGCAGGCTGGAGCAGGGCGTCGGCCTTCAGCCATCGGCCATCGTCACCTGCCTTTGCTGGAGACCCCAAGGGGCGGAGGGGCCGGAGTGCTCCCTGGCGGGGGAAGGGGCTCGGGTCCTGGTGGAGCCCGGGCCAGGAGAGGCCAGGGCGGCCCCTAGAAGGGGCATCCGGGGCGACAGGTAAGGGGGCAGATGCGGCTTTCACAAGCTGGTCCAGTGCAGGACGTGGGGGCAGCCCACCCCGGCCCCTGCGTGGGCTGCGCTCTCTGCCGGGCAGGCCCCGGTGCCGCCCGCAGCCCCGCCTCTGACCAGCTCCTCCTCGGCCGCACCACGCGACCCGCTGGAGGGGGCTGGTCCCCCGCGGCGGGCGGCCCCGGGCCTGGGCCGCAGCCTGGGATGTCTCGCCCAGCTGTCTGCACGTGGCTGGAGCTCCGCGAGGGGCAGCCCTCTGACCCCGTCCCGCACACCGGCCTCCGCAGGGGCTTTGGGAGGGCGAGGGTGAGGAGCACACGCCCCGCCCAGACCCCAGGAGCACCCAGTCGGGCCCCTTGCTGTCCACCGTGACCCGCCCCTCCGTGCGCATCCTGGGCCGTGGTTGGGGGCAGCAGGTCAATGTCCCCACACAGAGGGGACCTGAAGGACGCCCCCAGGAAGACGGTGGCCAGAGTCCTTGCATTCGAAAGAACCTGGGCCTCCTGTCTGCGGGGGGCTGCCCAGCTCACCGGGGTGGGCGCTCTGAGGCCATGGAGGGCCGGGGTCGTGCCAGGTCAAGGTGGCAGGGGAGCCACCGTCCTCGGGGGAGGTGGCGGTCCCCCCATCGCTGCCAGTGTGCTCGTGGGGATGGGGGGCGGGAGCCCTCATTGACATTGACCGCGATACCTGGTTCCCGCTGGTCCCCAGGGAGAAGGCGAGCCTGTGCCCAATGCCCGGGACTGTGCTGGCGGGGGCAGGGCCGCCAGTGCCCGCACATGGCAGGTCTGCTCCTCCCCTCCACCATGCCTGCCAGTCTGCCTGCTAACACGGCTCCTTCCCCTCCCCCGCAGTGTCGGAGCCCCCGGCCGCCCACAGCCCCCTGGAGAAAGCGCCCAGCACCGCCATCCTGTGCGCTACCTGTGGCAACGTCTGCAAGGGAGAGGTGCTGCGGGTCCAGAACAAGTACTTCCACATCAAGTGCTTCGTCTGCAAAGGTGAGCATCTGCCCGGCGCCTGCAGCTGCGGCTCGGGGCAGGGGGTGTCTCCGGGAGGCCCGTCGGGTCTGGGGGCTTGGAAAACCCTCCGTCCAGAATTGTCATAGGCCACTGAGGTCTTTTCAATGGGGCCCAAGTCACTTGCGGGTGTGGGGAGGGTTGGAGGGCGGGGTCCAGGCCCCGGAGTGGCCTCACACGGCGGCACCCGCGTCCGGGGACTCAGATCCAGTGGCCCTAGCAAAGCGGCCTGGGGGCCAGGAGCCAGCCCAGGGGGTCAGTGCTGGTGGCACGGCAGCAGCCATGGCGGGCACCGCAACTGCGCGGGGCCCCACGCGGCCGCCCCCACCCCGGAGCAGGATGAGAGCGTTGCCGTCCTGCCAAGTGAGAATGGCCTTTATTTTCTCTGAATGTAAAAGACAGCCCAGATCACATACTTAATCCAAATAACACGAAAGAGGAGAGATGAAATTAAAACCAAAAAGGACCGAGAGGCGTCCCGCCGTCGGAGCCGGCCTCTGCCGCCAGCCTCCCGCCGGCTTCTCCCTCTCCTCATGCTCAAGCTAACGCGCTTCCGCTGAGCACCAGTCAGTCACGTGTGTTTGCATTCGGTTTCCTAAGAATATCTGAACAATAGCGTTTGGGGGAAGAAGAGAGACAACCAAGCCAATCCCGCGCGGTCTCCAAGCCCCCGCGGCTGTTGTACGGGACTCACGTTGAGGGTGCGGACACGCCATTGGCCCGTCTGCAGGGAGCGGGGCGGCGCCCCTGCGCCTGGGGCCGGAGAGGATGCTGCCCTCGGCGTCCAGGGCTCTCTGTGACATTGGCCAGAGTGACCGGGATGAGCCCTGGGAGCTGAGGGTTTGCTTTCAGGGGACAGACACAGGCGGGAAGGATGCCACATGCAGGTCACAGAGAGATGCGTGTGTTAATGGACATTGTGCAGCCCCGCCTGGGCACCGCAGGCGGCATTCACCCCCCACGGGGTCACGGGATGCCCCTGTGGGGCCAGGCCTGGCCCGGGCTCTTGGAAGAGTGAGCCGGCCAAGCCCAGCTTGGACGGTGAGGGCAGCGTGCCAGCCACGGTGTGCAGCGTGGCTTCAGGGCTCGCTGTTCGTGGGAGAACCAGGTGCTGGAGGGGGCGGGGCATGGGGAAGGGTCGGAAGCTTCCAGAGGGGGCGTCACGGGGGAGGAGGTGTGTGGGCTCCAGCTTGGAGAGAGGAGTCTGCCGGTCAGCTGGGGGCCAGGCTGGTCCAGGCGGCAGGGCCGTGCGGTGTTGGGGCAGCCGGGCCGTGCGGAGGGGGAGCCAGGGTTTGCGTGCTGAGTGCAGCAGAGGGAGGGAGACGAGGCTGGGGCTGGATCCGTGCCTTGCCAGCAGCCCCACGGGGGACGGTGGCTTCTTCCGCTTGAGGCGGCTGCGGAGGCCTGGCGATGCGGCCGGTGAACCCCAGCCCCGGAGGCCTCGGCTGGCAGCCACCGTGCCACTGCCGCGGGCCCTGTGGGAAGGCGGCGTGTAGTTCTGCCGCCCTGCCCCCCGGGTGGGCCCAGCGACGCCTGGTGCCTTCTGGCCCGGGATGGGGGGTCCGAGTGTGAGAAACGGGGCTGCTGGCAGCGACAGGGGCCTGTCGCTTAGGGAGGACGAGGAGGACGCCAGAGCTGCCCCACCCCGGGCTCCCAACCCCGCCTGCCCCTCACAGGCGCTGGGCTCCATCTCTGGGCCTGGGTGACTGCCAGGCGTTGTCACTGAGGGTCCCTTGATGCCCCTGAACTTTCTGGGTCCAGGGGTCCCCTGCACATCGGCCGCCTGGCCCGTCCCTGGTGAATTCTCCCCACTGCACCTGCCCTCCCAGGTCCCCATGATCCCCGCCCTCCTGAAGGCTGCTGGAGCCCTAGCGATGGGGACGTGGGCGTCCCAGCACGGCTGCTTGGGGGATGTTTGGAGAGACGAGGCAAGGGACAAGGCCTGACGCGGCCAGGGCGGCGCTGGGAGCGTGGGGGCCGTCGGCATCCCCACAGGCGGGAGCCCCGTCCAGCCGCCCCGGGCGCCGGCATTGAGGGAGGCCTGTCCGGTGGGGGGCCACCGCCCTGGCTGGCGCCCGCCTGCCGCGCCCCGCCCCCTCGCCAGAGTGTCCCAGGCCATCGTGTGGCCTGTCTGGTTCAATTTCCTCCACTCTCCACAAAGACCCATGTGCTACGTTACTGAAAAGCAAAAGCCATTAGGTTGCTCTTTCGTAAAAGCTTATTTTAAAACACGAAGAGGAAGTGCCCGCTGTATTTAGAAGGGTTTTCTGTAAGTGCAGATCTTAGCAACACAATAACAGGCTCAGCCTCCTGGAGTGGAGTCGACACCTGGTCTGCCAGGAGGTGGCAGCTGCCCAGGGGCCCCTCCCCCCGGCCCGTGTCACTAGGGCGGGTCACTTTGTCCTCTGAGGCTCACCCTCGTAGGTGGCCTGCCCGCCGCACCTGCTGGACGATGAGGCACCGCAGCTGAGGCTTCCGGCCGGCTTTCGAACAGCGGCTCTGTTTTACGCGCGCGGATCCCTGGGCCTTGGGCTGGCCTTTCGTCCTGGCCTTTCATCCCGACTGTCCTGCGCACGCCGAGCCTGCAAGTCATGGAGGGCGCCTGCAGGGGGAGAAGAACGCCCAGCCCCCAGCATCCCAAACAACAAGGGTGCTCATCCCCCGACATCAAACCTGGAGGGGCCACTCAGCCCCAGAGCCAGTTGATGCAGTGACTCAACAAGGTCCTCAAAGACCCAGGTCCTTTCTCCACTTCCCCACTCCCAACTGTCCCCTCCCCGCCGCACCCCCCATCCTGTGCATCTCAACAGTGCCTCTCCTCATGGTCTCAAGTGAGCTGCTGTGGCTCCAGGCATCGCATCCTCCCGGGGAAGGGAGGTGCAGGGAGAAGGGGCCCTATCCCTGCCCAGTGCCCTCTGGTCGGGGAGGAGAGCCCTTGCCCTGAGGTCCCCGCAGACTCCCAGCATGGTGCATTGGCCAGAACGGGGTCCCCCGTGGACCCCCACAGGCCCAGCGGAGTGGGATGTGGTCGCCGCCATCAGCCCCGTCTGTACCTGGGAGCGTGTTGCCGGGTGAGACAAAGCAGGTCTGTGAGCTCAGAGGACGATGGTGCCACCTTCCGATTCTGACCTGAGAGGCCCCGGTGTGCAGGTCCCTGCCACCTCGGTGCTTGTGGACACGTCTCAGTTTACCTGGGACACTCCCTGAGAGAAATGACATCATTATCCTGGCCCAAGCGTTGGCCTTGATGCCTGAAGGTCTGGGTGCAAGTCCCAGCGCTGCCGCCCCCAGCTGAGCGGCTCTTAGGCACGTTTCTTCAGCTCCGTTTCGTTCAGCAACTGTTTATTGGGCACCTACTATGCCCAGGCATGTTCTGGGTGCCTGGGATGCATCTGTGAACAAAGCAGACGTCCGTGGCCCCGTGGAGATTGTGTCCTAGAGCGGGGAGACAGACGGTCGACACAGGACAGAATAAATACGTACTTTCTATTATATGCCAGGAAGTGAGTGCGGGGGAGGGGAAGGAGAGGAGCAGGACCAGGCGGGGGCGGGGCGCAGGGGAGGAAGCTGCTGTTTCCACGTGGGGATCAGGGAGGGCTTCGTGGAGGAGGTGCCTTGGCACCAGGACTAGAGCGGGGGAGGGGGAGCTCCGCAGCGAGACAGCCATCTCCAGGACCTTGGAAAGAGCCCAGGAAGCAGGAGGGAGGGGACGTTTCTTGCCAGGGAGGAGAGCCCTTGCTCCTGCCTGTCCTTTGATGACGGTGGGCTGGGCTGTCCACAGGGACACCCCCCTCTGGGAACAGAGCTGCACTGGGTCACCTTTTGGGATGTTCCCAGGGCCTCGACGGGAGACCCACCACGGGCCTCCGACCAAAGGGAAGCCCAGGCGGAAGTGCGTCACCCTCGGCCCAGGGCACAGGTCACTGCGCACAGCGCGGCCTCTGGAGGGCGGCCAGGAAACGGGGATCACGGGGCAGAGCGCGGCGACGTCCCAGCAGGAGGGGGTCTCCGATGATGCAGCCTGTCATTCCGGGCGGGGAACCCCGGGCGGAGGTCAGGGCAGACCCAGGCGCACAAAGCCTTGGAGGCCTCTGCGTTGCTCGGGCTCGAAACGGCCCCCCCGCCGCCCAGCAGCTTGGGAGAGTGGAACCGCCTGCCCCCAGCCACCGCGGGACCTGCCTCGGCGCGCCGGGTCACAGCCCTGCAGGCTGGCCTGGGTGCCGGGCTTTTAGGCATGAGCCCTGCTGTGGACCCGCCTCTGCAGCCGCAGCCTCTCAGCTCGAGCACTGAGGAGCCCACCTCCCACCGGAGAAGCTCCCCGCCGCCCGCTCCCACATGGGCCCCGAGTCCTCAAACACAAGGCCCTCGCGGGCTGGGCCTCCTTCCGCGGTGGGACACACGCCGACCCCAGCTCAGCACCGGTGCCCGCTGGGCGTGGTTGACCCTCGTTTACAGGCAGGGAGTTGGGGCTCAGAGAGGGTGAGTGCCTTGCCCAGAGTCGCACAGCGGGGGAGCAGGAGTGAGGGGACTGGGGCCCAGGCTGCCGGTCTTCGAGCCCAGCGATGGCTGGCTGCAGGGCCCTCACGGATGCCGCAGCCCACTCCGGCCTGGCCGGCTGCCCGCTGGCACTCCTGGTCATTTCCCCTGGAGAGGGGCCCGGGGCAGTTCGCTGGCCAGCTGGTGGGAGCGGCTTTCACATTCTTCAGAGTCCGTGCCAAGGGGTGTTCCAGAAGCGCCTTCCCACTACTGCCCACCCCTCTGGAGCGTTTCTCCTAAGTGACCACAGGGAGTGCCAGGGCTGACACGGGGTCACAGCCACTCCACGGCCCCCGTTGGCCTTGGCTGCTCCAGCAGGCAACACAGGATGTAATAACAATATGGCGCCTTCCCCGGGGGCTTTAAAATTACTGGGAACTCGGACTAGCATTTGTGGAAGCCGAGGTCTGGGCTCGCCTGTCCGGGCCTGGCTTTGGCGACCCCACTGGCAGCTGCCAGGCCAGTGGCTCAAGAGCCTATGTCTTGTGCGTCCGTGACGGGGACCCCCGTCTAAGCGGGGCACATCCGTCCTCCGGGGCACAGCCAGCGCCGTCCTACCCTCGCGAAGAACGGAGACGGCCGGATGCCAGAGTGGGGGCGTCCGCGAGCTGCCTTGTTGTTCAGGGGCTGAGCCGCCCCAGGCGGGGCTTGCGGAAAACGGCAATAAATCTCTCTGCACGGCTCCAGGTAGCCTGCCCTTCCCGAGCGGGCACATCTGTCCAGCCTGTGCCGTGACGCGGGATTCAGCAGGCGGTACGCTCTCTTGGGGGGGTGTGGGGAGGACCCGGCGCCCGCCCGGCCTCTGCTGGGGCTGCCGGGCGCTCTGCGGCCTCCAGTGCGGTGGGGGCAGGCAGGGCGCCCCTTGAAACCGCGCCGGCTCCCACGGGCCCTGGGGCTGGAGCGCCAGTGTGTGGGGAGGAGGCTCAGGGGTCCCGGTGGCGAGCGGCCGGCTGTCCCCAGGGAAGGGGCCCTGTTTGCCACCTGCAATATTCCCCAGCGCCTCTACCAGGCGCTACAGTGCAGCTTCCTGTGGCAGGAGGTGTGTGAGGGGTCAGGGGACCAGAGGGTCCACGGCCAAGTGTCCCCGCCTCATTCCCTCTTGCAGGGGGTCTGGATTTGTCCCCATGGCAGGAGGAGTGGGGGAGGGTCAGGAAGACTCCAGGGGTCTGGGGCGGCAGACTCTAGGGGCTCCTCTGTCATCAGCCCCGGGTGGTCTCCCCACCCTGAACAGGGCCCAGCACGTAGTAGGTGCCTCTGACCTGTCCCATTCCCCGATGGAGACCAGAGCTTGAAGCAACAGAGGGGCTGGGGACATCAGCGCGTCACCCTGGTGGGGTCCTGGAGTGAGGGAAGGAGGCTGGTGGTGCTGAGGGTGTCCTCCCAGGCCAGTGCCCCTTTCTGGAAGCTTCCACAAGGAAGTCCACTCAACTCCAGGCTGAGGGGCCAGCGCTGGAGCCCGTGTCTGGACCTGGCCCCCTGAGGTTTTTCCGTGAACCCCCTGAGTGGCGTCCGGTGGGGGCCTGTGCGTGGCAGGCCCACCTGGGCCGGTCGGGCCTGGGATGCCGCCCTCGTCCGCTAATGCCGGCCTCCCGTGCCCGCCCCCAGCATGCGGCTGCGACCTGGCCGAGGGCGGCTTCTTCGTGCGCCAGGGCGAGTACATCTGCACACGGGACTACCAGAGGCTCTACGGGACCCGCTGTTTCAGCTGTGACCGGTTCATCGAGGGCGAGGTGGTGTCGGCGCTGGGCAAGACCTACCACCCGGACTGCTTCGTGTGTGCCGTCTGCCGGTGAGTGGGGCCGCCAGGCTCCCTGCCTTCCCCGGGGCTGGATGCCCTCCCTCCCTGGGGGTCGCAGCTACAGAGCAAAGGCAGGGCCCAGCCAAGGCACGGCGGGTGGGCCCCGGGCGGCCGCACGCCGAAGGCGCCCTCCCCCAGCCCCACCCTGCGGGCCTCCTCCCCCGCCTGCGACAGGAGACTGAGCCCTCCTTCCCGGGGATCACCGGGACCGCAGGCACGCAGCCTCCTTTGGCGTCTGGAAAGGTCCCCGTCTCCCCATGCCCTCGGCCAGCCCCGCCCTGGCCCGCATCCTGCACGCGATCCGTCTCCCCCGCGGGCGCCGGTGAGGCCCACGCTCTAGCCCCTCCTTGCCCACCCACTGCCACCCTCAGCTGTCCCGGCATCTCCCACCGGCACAGCCTGCCTCTCACTGTCCCTGTCCCTGCTCTGTGGGTGGCAGCACCACCCAACCCCCGCATGAGCCCAAGCGTGGATGCCTTCCACAGTCCCTCCCTTTCCAGAATCCACTCAGCCACTGTCCCCGCTCAGGCCTCAACCTGTGACTGCTGAGCCACCCCCCTGCCCTGCCTGGCGCTGTCCACGCTGACCGTGGCCTCGAGCTCCCTAGCCGGGCTCAGAGGAGCTTCCGTTCAGTCCCAGTTCGCCTGCTCGTTCGTTCATTCAACCGGCTTATCCAAGTGTCCACGCAGGCCGGGCCCCGGCACCCTGGGCCTGCATCAGCGAAGACCCCACGGGGCTCAGAGGTGGGGACACTGCCGGGCAGCAGGAGGCACCGCCCAGGCCTTTCCCGCCGGGAGCAGCCCCCCCACCATGGCCTCCCGTACTGCCACTCTCCTGGGCCCCAGCTTCCCTGGCGACAGGTCCCTGGAACCGCTTGATGTGAGCCCCACGCAGGCCGGGGCGGGTCCGCGGCCCCTCTGGCCCGCAGCCTGGCACAGAGCTGTGCGCGGTGCCCGGTGCTGGAGGGGGACCGAGGTCCTGGGCCGTGGCAGCGCGGCCGCACAGCTTCCCCCACTGCCCTGCACCTCAGCTGGGGGCGGGCAGCGAGGCCAGCAGGCGGCCCCCCACTGGGCTCCTCCCTCCCGCCACGGACACATTGCTCCCCGGGGAACGCTCCATTTCCGGAAAACAGAGAATAAAACCCCCAGAGTTTATTCCACTCCGTTCCCCCTGCCTCACCACACCCAGTTTGACAGGGACCTTGTGTTGTTCCCAAAGCTGTTGTCCGTAGTGACGGTGCATGCACTGGACAGAAGGGGGAGCTTTGTCGGGGGGCTGCTGAGAGAGGGAGCCGCAGTGGCACGGGGCATTCCCCACGCCAGCGTCACTGCACGTCGCTGCAGCGTGCACGGGCCGGAGTCCCCGAGGACGTCTCGGGGCTGGACCTCCGCGCGCGTCGCGTGGGGATGAGGGCTGACGGAATCCGGGTGGGTGCGGCGGGTCACCTCCGGGTAACCTGCTGTTTTAAATGACAGCAGAGAGCTCCGTCACCCTGCGACTGGACCTACGCACCATTATAAACAACTAGAAAACCGAACGAAGATACAGAGCAACTGTGTTCAGACGCTGGGGCCCAGGCAGCTCAGGACTGAGAGAGGAAGACGGGGATGGAGCCTGTGACTGGCTGGCCCACTGCCCAACCCAAGGACGGGCCCCCTGGAGAATGGCACTCGCCGCGTCAGGAGACGGTGACCAAGAGGCGGCAGCATGCAGAGCTCCAGAGAGCCGCGCGGAGGGGCCGCTGAGGCTTTGACTAACACAGTGCTGTGTGGACACAGAGGAAGTCGCACAAGGCAAGGCAGAGAAGGACGAGGTCGCTGCAAGCTCAGCAGGTCCCAGGGCCGGAAGACGTTGAGTCCTGGCCAGGCGGACAGCCCTCGCTGAGAGCCCAGGCGCGCAGCAGGGACACCAAACGGGCCATGCCTTATCGGTGGGACGAAGCCCTAGGGCAATGGCTACTATAAACCTGCGCTGACAAAGTGGAAGAAAAAAACATCAAAAAGATCAGGCTGATCCACAAAAAGCTGACCGCCTGCCAAAGCAAAGTCCAGCATCCTTTATGGGAAGGAAAGAAAACTCAGCACTCAGCAACGTGGAACCAACAACGTTCAACATTCGGTCAAATACTACTGTTCATAGAAGGAAACAAAAGAGTGACGCAGGGCCGGAAGAAAAGTGAGCCTGTAACACCAGACCCAGGAACGAGCGCAGTGGAGGGCTCGCGGGGGGCTGCCAACAGCTTCTGTGGATACGTGTGTGCGCTTTAAAGGGAGATGTGGACGTAAGTCAGAGCGCCACGGAAGGTGTTAAAGGAAACCAGACAGAGTTTCTAGAAATGAAAAGTACAGCTGCTGAAATGAAATATTCCCTGGGAGGAATTAGCAGTAGATGAGATTTTGCAGAGGAAAACATCGGTGAACTGGAAGAGGTAGCAATAGAAACTACTCCTCTAAAGCAAAGAGAGGAGAAAAAGACTGGAAATATGAAGAGAGGCTCAGTGATCTGTGGGTATAGATCCATCTGCCTGTCCCTCTAGGTGGGGAGGGGTCACCAGGGGATAGGAGAAGTCTGGAAAAAGTTTGAGGAAATAAAGGCTGGAAAATGTCCCAATTTGATGAAAGCTATAAACTCATGGTTCGAAGAATCTCAGTGAACCACAGCAGACTAAACACAGCAAAAACCAGCCAAGTCCACCATCATCAAATTTCTGAAAAACAGGAGTAAGAAGAACATCTTAAAAACAGCAAGAGGAAAAAAACACATTATGTCCAATGGAATAAAAGACGGTCCATGGACTTCTCATCTGAAACGTCGTGCCCCGGAAGACAATAGAACAGCCTCTCGGAAGAGCGGGAAGGAAAAATCTATCAAAGAATTGTATAGCTGGCCCCCTGCCCCCCCAAAAGAACTTTCAAAGATGAAGGCAAGACTGGTAAAGGGTAGAAGGTTCTTTTGGGGGGGGTGATAAAAAAGGTCCTCAAATTGATTGCGCAGATGGTCGCACAGAATACATTACCAGCCTTTGAATGGTAAGTGGATGTTAGCGTGCCCATGAATAAAAGTGTCGATAAAGCTGTCACACAAAACACGAAGGCGAAGCAAAGACTTTCGTAGACACACCAGAGCTCAGAGCATTTGTTGCCCGTGGCCCTGCACCTACAGCTACATTAAAGGACATTTGCAAGCTGAAGAAGAATGTCGAAAGACATCAAAAAGATGCGAGAGCAAGCCATCAGCGAGTGGTGATATGTCATCTGATGACGGACCGGTGTCCAAAATATATAAAGAACTCCTCAAGCCAATAATAAGAAGAAAAAAAAAACTTTAAAATGGGCAGAAGAGTTTAACAGATGCTCCACAAAAGGGTGCATGTGAATGAGCAATAAACACGTAAAACAAGCGGAACATCATGGGTCATCAGGGGTGCGCTCTGGGCCCCTGTCCACAGGCGGCCTGGCCGTAGCGCACCGGACAACGGCCACCTTCTCCATCCCTCAGTCGCCAGAGGGAAGGCTTCTGGCTGCAGGGAGGGCGCCGGCTCCCCGCTTCCCGCAGCCCCAGGGCGAGTACCTCACTGTGCACCAGGCAGAGACGAGAGCGCCGTGAATGAGGCACTCGCTTTGGATGCGGAATTGAAGGGGGTGCCCAAAAAACGCAAAAATGAAGCTACAGTGTATTTTAATGAATATCAACGTTAATGCAAAACATCCGTGATGAGTGAAACGACAGGCTTCCCAATAAAAATGGGGCCCACAGCACAGCACGCTCCCTGTGGCATGGCCTCCTGCCTGCTGGTGTGGGTGGGGAAACTGAGGCGCAGGGGCCAGTGGCCAGCCCGCGGTCACGCAGCGGGGCCACAGCAGCCGCCGGACAGAGAGACCCGGAGCCCTCGGCCTGAGGCGCCCGCCCGTGAGGTCGGGCAGGTGATACTGTGTGTCCCAGGCGGGGCTCCCCTCTTCGCCCAGCGAAGGGCAGCGGGTGGTCCTGGACTGTGACGCGTCGTCTTGTTGCAGGTTGCCTTTCCCGCCTGGGGACCGTGTGACCTTCAACGGGAAGGAATGCATGTGCCAGAAGTGCTCTCTGCCCAAGTCCGTGGGCGGCAGCACGCACCTGACGCAGGGCCTCTGGAGTAAGTGGGCGCCGAGTGGCCTGGGGGTGGGGGGTGCTGAGCGGTGGTCGGGGCGGGGGAGCATAAGGGAGGGAGCCAGGACAGACGCCTCTGGGGTGCTTGTGCCGCTGAGCCTGTGCCCCGGCTGTGCCTGCTGCCCTGTGGGCCACTTGCTGCTTTTACATCCAACTCCATGCTGCTTTTGGCCCCGCTCTGGTCTCCCTCCTCCAGGAAGCCCTCCTGGCCTACTTCTTGCCCTCTCCCTCTAGCCTCTGAGTGCCCCACAGCCAATTCCAGGCCGTCTGGAAGCCCCCTGGGAGAGCTCTAAGAGAGCCTCGAGCTCTGGGCTCCTGTGCTTAGGGGCTCCGCATCCCAGGAGCCTGGCCTGGGTGTGTATGCAGTAGGTGCTCAGTACATGCTTCTTGCACGAACGGGCAGGAGGTCGATCCTGAACACAGGGGTGCCAGCTGGAGTGTCACTGGCCTGGGAGGCAGAGTGAGAGTGAGGCGGGAGCAGGCGGGCGCGGACTCTCCCCAGCGTGGGTGGTGGGTGGCTCTGCGGGGGCCAGGGTGGACGTGGGGCCTGGGCAGGGGCTGCCAGGATCCCCCTGCAGGCGAAGAGTTTTCAGAGCCCTCCCTGCGTGTGAGGTGGCTATGGCGTCCTGGGGCCGGGGCCACACGTCTGGGGACAGAGGAGGGGCTCCCCAGAGCCAGCCCCTTGCCCAGGATCGATTTCTGGTCTAGGGGTACACCTTCCCCCGCCCTCTTGGTTCCCGTTCATTCCTTTGTGCTCACGGTCCTTCTCCGAGCGCGTCCCCAGCAGCCGGTGCGGCCCCGGATCCCGGCGGCTGAGTCTGCTTTTCGGTCGCCGTCCGCAGCTGCATGTGCGTTTGGACGGCGTGATAATGCAGGGAAGCCAGAGCCGGGCCAGCAGTGCTGGGCACAGCTGTGGCTTTTGCTGGGAGACGCTGCTGCGGCCCAGGCTGCGCCTCGGCCCCCGGCCCAGGCGGCGCGCCGCCGGCGCTCAGCCACGCAGGGCGGACTCCGTGACTTGTTTTCTCACACCTGCACCACCGCGTAACAGGGTCCCATGAGCACCCCCGCTGGGTTGTCCCCTCCGCCCCCCGGGGCCCTCTAGTGGCTTTAGAGGTGTCTGGAGACCCAGGGGCGAGGCCCCGCACTCTGTTGGCCCCAGTGACGGCGGCGGTGTCCTCATCTTTCCTCCAGGTTGTGGAGGCTGCGGCACAGAGATAAAAAACGGCCAGTCCCTGGTGGCTTTGGACAAGCACTGGCATTTGGGCTGCTTTAAGTGCAAGACCTGCGGGAAGGAGCTGAACGCGGAGTACATCAGCAAGTGAGTGCGGCAGGGGCAGGGTCGGGGGCTCCTCCTGCATCCCCCGTGCTGCCGCCTCTGGTCTCTCCCGTCCTTCCGCCGTCAGACAAGGAGCCCTGGCAGGGACTGGCCTGTTTGTCCCCACAGCAAGGTGCCCTCCCCGCCGGCCCAACCTCCCTAACGCAGTTGGCAGACCCCGCTCTGTTTCCCTGATTGAAACAGATGTCACGCTCCCACCTTTGACTCGGTAATTCACCTCCCCATGCCCATCCCTGGGGTCACCCTCCCCGCGGGATTCGTCCCCTTCTTGGCCCCGGGCTCTCCTGCCCCGTGCAAAGTGGACGTCAGCTGGGGTCAGCAGCAGAGTGAGGGAACGGGACCGACCAGTCTCAGTTGTCACGGGTGTGACATCTCAGCCCAGCACTCGGATGGCTGCAGTGCGGGCCTTCGGCAGCTCCCGCTGGCCCACACAGTGTCCCCAACGTGCAGTCGGACTGCGGTGGTGGCTGGTTTGGGGGAGGGAGCCTCCTGGGAGACCGGGGCCCTGCGCAGGGGCACCCGGTTTGCTGAGGGCCTGCATGTCAATTCCCGAACTCAGGGAGGGGAGGCAGGTGAGCCCCAAGGCACAGGACGGGGGGAGAGTGAGGGTGCAACGAGCGGTCTCTCAGGTTCAGAGCAGGTGCCAGTGAGGGGTCCCTGGGCACCTGTCACAGAGGGCTGTGCGCGCGCTGACGCTGAGGACACAGATCCATCACGGGAACTGATTGGATTAAAAAACAAAGTCCTGCGAGAAAACAGCATGGGGTGAAACACACATGCACGCACGCATGCACACGCACGCTGGCAGCCCCAAACACGTGTGTGCATATGCTGGTGCATGCACACACAGGTGTGCGCACACGCGTGTCCCCGAGTGCACATCGCGCTGGGGGAACCCAGGTCAGGGGGCTGGGTGGACCCGCATCACTTTCCCGGGACCGTGCACTCTAATTCTGCAGGGAGGTCAGGCTGGGTCTCTGCGTTCTTCCTGTGAACTCGCGTGAGGCTGCAATTGCCTCGCACTAAGCCGCTCTCCGTAGCGGTCCCTCTGTGCAGCCTGGCTCGGGCTGGGCAGTCTCTGGCCCAGCAAAGGGAGGGGACGGCTCAGAGGCAGCCTGGTGGACGGAGCGCGTTAGAGTGAAGTGAACCACCCCGCCCCCAGGACTCGGCTCCTGGCCCACGCTGCTGCTGCTGCGCTGTTACCTAGCAGCCTCCAGATCGTCCCAGAATTGACAAGGAAGGCTTTGGCGTTGCCACGGAGACAGTGTCTTTGAACCTTCTGGGTTTGCTGCTCATACACCCGTTTGTGGGGAAGGACAGGGGCCCTGAGGTCCGTGGCTCCCGGGGCCAATGTATACCCCGCCCCTGTGCAGGAACCGCTTCACCGCGGGAGGCCGGGGGCGGTGGTGGCCCCCGCGGCCCCGGGGCTTTGAAGCCCCACAGCAGGCGCTCCCCTCCTGCAGGCCTCCCGCGACCCAGAGGTTGCTCGCGACACTACTGCAGTTGCTTCCAAATGAGCCCCTGGCCCGGCAGATGCTGTGCTGGGCGCTGGCCGGCGTCACCCTCCCGCCGGCCACCCTGCGCGCTGGCTGCTTCCCTCACGGCTCCTTCGGCGGGGGCTCAGCGTGCGGGGAGCTTGCCCGAGGCTGCCCGGGTTCCTAGGAGCAGCGCCCGAGTGATGCCTCGTCTGTCCCTGACTCCCCAGCGCCACCACCTGTGCTCGACATGCAGTAGGCGTGTGGTGGGTGGACCGCTACCGGGCGGGCCTGTCCCTGACGTGGGCACGGTGGGCACCGTGGTCACGTGCCCTTTGGGCTCACGTTCTTCCAGGGCTGCCAGAGGCCTTTCGGAAGGAGCTGGAAGCCGCCTGAGGAGAAGTCAGGCTGTTTCCCACCCTGGATGTGGAACGGGGGCGGGAGGAACCGGGAGGAAGGGCCCCATCTGTGGAACCGTTACTTGTTCAGTCCCCAGACGCGGCCTTTGTTCCCTCGCTCCAGCCTCTGGAGGCGCCAGCCGCCCCTCACTCTGCCCCTGGCACCTCAGTTCCTCCGTCCACGAAATGGGGCCATCTGCTGGTCTCTCGCAGGGCTGGCGTGATGGCAGAGTGGCTGTGCTCGTGCCGTACCCCGCAAGGGACCCTAAGGGTGGCACATGACTTAGAAGAGGCAGAGCTGGGCTTGTCCCCCTTGGATGGGGCCCCGCTTGTGGGCGAGGGTTGTTGGGTCTTGTGGTGCCGGGGTGACCCCGCCCGTCCTGACCGCCTGGCTCGTTGCAGGGACGGGCTGCCCTACTGCGAGGCCGACTACCACGCCAAGTTCGGCATCCGCTGCGACGGCTGCGAGAAGTACATCACGGGGCACGTGCTGGAGGTAGGTCCTGCCCCCCGAGGATCGACGGGGGCCTCTAGGTGGCCGACAGTCCTGTGTGTTGGTGCAAGCATCTGTACCCAGAGCCTTCGCCACCTTGTCCTCCCAGCTTTGCCAGGGGACATCTGGGAGTGCACGCCACCTCCTCCGGGAAGCCTTCCTGGTGACCTCTACAAGTGGATAGAGCTGGAGAGGTGGGAAGGGCGTGAGGTCCTGGGTGCAGCCCTTGGGGTCTAGATGGGGAGTCTGAGGCCTGGAGGGTCTCACATGAGTGCAGGAGACATGACTGTCCCCGCAGGAGGAGTGGGGTGGCCCCCCGGCCCACCGTGTTGCAGAGCCCTCCTGGGGCGGGTTCTCCTGGGTGCTGCCTGTGTGGTGGTGACGTGGGCGTCTCCCCCTGTGAAGACAGCATGTGTCATACACTTTTGTATGTCTGTTCATTGACAAATTCCCAGGAATGACCGGGACCGAGCCCACCGTCCCCCACCCTCCACCGCCCTTTGCAGCCCCTCTTCAGCCCTGTGCTGGGGCAGGCGGATGGGTGGGCCATCCAGGGCCTGCCCGTGGGCCCTGGGGGCAGCACAGGTGACCAGAGGGCCTCAGGGAAGGGCAAGGGGCCGAGCCCTGAGAGGGGAGGGGCGCCGGCCCCGCCGAGGTCCCAGAAGCAGCCTCGGGCGGCAAGGACGGGTTGGGGCTGCCAGGCCTCCCTCCAGCCTCGGCTACAGCAGGTTCCTGCATTTTTCACCCTCCTTCGGGCTAAGTCCCAGGGCGGAGCCGTTGAGTCACCCGCCGTGGATGGTCACAGCGTTCGGAGGCTCCTGGAGGATGATTTGCAGCCCTGCCGACAGGAGGCAGTATTCCCTGTGTCCCCCCACCCCCGCCCCGGGAGGGTGTCTTTACGAAATCCTCAGCCGGTCTGATGGGCGACAGGTAGGCCGGGGGGACACCCTGGCTCTAACCTGCCCTCTGCCATCCCTGTGAAGCCCGCTCTGTTGTGTCATTTTTAGCCAATCACAGCTCCAGTATCTCAGTGGCACTTCGTAACCTTTGCCAGTCTGGGCCTCGGGGTCTCCGCGCTCTTCCGTCTGACTGGAGCGCGTGCTGACGCTCTGCCTCGGGAGCGCTGTCCCGGGCCGCGGTCCTACCTGCCGTGGGCGCCCGTGGGCGCAGGGCTGGTGGGCGCCCCTCTCCTGGCACCCGCTGGGCGTCTCGCGGGGCCTTCCTCTCTCCCGGCGCCCCCGACCCTGTCACCTCTCTCCTTGCCGAGCCCTGGCCACACCCGGCTCCGTGGGACCTGGGCAGGGCCCCGCCGGACCCACTGCCTGGCAGCGCGAACCCTGTTTCTCTCTGGTCCCCAAAATGCCGTTCCGGACCTTGCACTCACTCCCAGGCTGCTCCCCTCCCCCACAGGGACCTTGTCTTCCCCTCAACAGAGAGACGGGGCCAGACATCGCTCAGCGCTGTCCTCCAGGGCGCACGCTCTGCGAGCTCCCCATTGCTGCCCTGCCCTGTCCTGCCCTTCCCGCCAAAGGTGCCACCCCTCCCTCCTGCAGGCCCCACCTGGGCCCAAGTCCCTCCCGTTCCCCCGCCAGCCCCCCACCTGTGCTCAGTCCCTGTCCCTCCCCACAGCCCCCACCGCTCAGGAGTCTGACCCTGCCGTCTCCTCCCCTCCCTTGGGCACACACCTCCCTCTCAAAGGCTTTCAAAATAGCGTGTCACCCCTGTTAAAAAAGCAAACCCCACACCCTCCCAGGAAGTCCCTCACCCCCCTGGGGAGCCGAGCGCCCCGCCCAGCGGCTGCCCTCTGCCCTGTGCCCCTCAGCCGCCAGCCTCCCCGCCCCGCGCCCTGGGGCTGGCTCTCCCGCGGACCGCACGGTCAGCGCCAGCTTCCGGAGAGACCCACCCTCCTCCCACACACCCCTCTCGGAGAGCGAGCAGGGCCACCGCGTGCCCCACAGCTGGCACCTGGCTGGACGTCGCCTGCAGAGACAGCGCCTGCGGGGCCATGGGCCACACCCAAGCAGGTGGCTGGACTCGAACCCAGGCTGCCCAGGCTCCTGGTGCTTGTTCTCCGCCTCCACCGCTTGGCTTCTCCCCGCGCAGAGACGTTGCTCGCGTTTCTGTCTGAGTTCTTAGCTTCGGGCCACGCTGCAACGCCCCCCGGACGGCCCAACGCGGGCACCTCTCAGGCGCAGGCGGGCTGAGCGCCCAGCCCGGCCCCGCCTCTGACGGCCAAGGGCAGCAGCCGCTGCGCCCTGAGCAGGCGCCCGCCTCACACGGCCCGCTGCCTGCCCTGCCCCTCCGGGCCCGCGCCGGTGCCCCACTTGCCAACAGAATCCTCAGGGGCTCAAGGGACATTGCCTGTGAACTGTCCCCCAGCTCAGCGCTGGCCCCGGTAACTGATCGGGCAGGGCAGGGGGCAACCAGCAGCCTCCGCCGGAGGGACCAGGAAGGCGAGGAGGAAGGTGGCCCATCTGCAGAGTTAGGGCCCTGATGTTCGGGGCTGGGCCACACACAGAGGTGGGGGGCTCGGAGCCTGGGATGCGGCGCCCCCGGGGCCGTCTGGGCTGCAAGGAGCTGAGAAGAGCAGGTCTGGGTTTTTCCTCCCCGCGTCCGCAGCGGAGGGTGCAGAGCCTCCTGGGGAAGATTGATGCTCTTGTTTTCGCCTCTGCCGGGAGCTGGGGCTGGCTGAGTCGGCGGGCTCTGCAAAGCTCTGAGATCCTCCTCGGAGGCGGCAGCCGAGGGCGGCGGAGACGAGCCGGCGCTGCAGAAGGGGAGCAGCCGCCACGGTGGCTCCCCGGGAGCCTGGCCCAGAGTGAGCCGGCGCCCAGCTGGGCAGGCAGGGGGCTCTGGGGGCGGCGGGTGGGAGGCGGCTACATCTGAAGAGGAGGCGAAGGCTCCAGACCCCTCACGGTCACACTGCCCATCCAGCCGGCCTGTCCCGGGAGCAGGCCCTGGAGGGGGGCCGTGGGGCCGGCTGGTCGGACTGAGCTCTGGGGCCCGGACCCCGTGCAGGTAGGAAGCCTGGCCAGTCGCTTCTGAGGGCTGGCGGGGAGGCCAAGGGCACCTTGCTGGGCTGCAGGTGTGTGGGCTGGCAGGGAGCGGGGACAGGTTAGCCAGGGGTGAGAACCCCAGGCCCCTGGTGCTTGCCCCCGCGCCCCCCCCCCATTTTGCCCCTAAGATGCATGTGGCGGCCCAGAGGTTTTCTCTCTGCGGAGCCGGAGTGGGACTGCAGCCCAGGCCCCGGCCCCACGGCCCCAGGGCCCTCGGCCCACGCCGCCCTGGTCTGTGTGCGGCAGGCGGAGTGCCATCCCACCGCTGGGCGCCCGCGGCGCCCGCCCCGCTGCCCGCGGGCCGTGAAGTGCGCATCGGGTGGCGGCGGGTCTCCTCCTCCCCCTCCCTCGGGTTCTCTGAAACCTGTGGCCTCCCGTACCGCGTGGGCCCCGCGTCCGTCCGGTCCCGGGGGCCTGTCCTGATGAACCTGCTGCAGGCCAGGCACAGGTGGAGGAAGGGGCCTTGTGGGTCCTGTGGGTGCCTGGGGGGCTGACGGCCGCGCCCGGGAGCTGGGGCGGGGGCCCGGGCAGCCTGCAACAGCACTGCTGGCTCCTGGGGGCGGCGGCGCCCCGTGGAGAGAACTGGAGGTGGCTGGTGAATTCTCAGGGACAGCAGCGCAGCCAGACCACCTAGACGTGCGTGTGACGAGGGAGGAGGTGCTGAGTGAGGGGGAGTCCCGGCTCAGACCTGGCTGGCCCCCGCCCACGCGCGCCCACACCGTCCTGGGAGGTGCACGCAGCGGTGTGAGCGGCAAGGCGCCCCTGCGCATGTGGGGGGGGGGCGGCGAAGGGGCTGCTCCTCTGCTCTTCACTCAGCCCCGGCCTCCTCCGCTCCAGAGGTGCTGCTGACAAGCCCCACCTGCCTCCTGCCTCCTGGCTGTCCCCATGGTAACGAGAAGGCAGGTCCCTCTGGGACCACTAAATCCTTTCTCCTTCCCTTCCTTCCCTCCTTCTCTCCTTCCCTCCTTCCCTCCTTTAACCCTTCCTCCCTGCTTTCCTCCCTGCCCCTCTTCCCTTCCTCTCTTCCCTCCTCAGCCCGCCATGCACCTTGCAGATTCTTCCTGAACACTCATGGTGTCCCTCCCTGGGTTGAGCGCTGCCTCCATGGGGGCAGTGGGGACAGGGCCCCCTGCCTGCCCTGAGGGGACCGGGGGAAGGGGGCCCGCCCAGCCCGCCGCTGCCCTGGGTCGGTCGTCCGCCAAACATTGCTCTCTGTCCGATAAAGCATCTCCTGCAGTGCTGGGTCGTTGGTTCCTTGGCTTCCTTCCCTCGGCACTTTCCCCACCTGCCCAGACAGGTGTGACTTTTGTCATCGGAAGAAACTAAACCATTTGTTTCAAACAAGTAACAGGGCAGAGGCAAAGTCAATGCCCCAAAGCCTCAACTTATTTCTTTAAAAAAAAAAAATTGGCGCGTTTATTTAGAGACCACATGCGGCAGCAATACTTGTTTGTCATAGAATAAACCGAAGAATCATCCCTAACGGACGCCGTTCCCCTTGCTAAGTAGCCCTGTCAGCATTCAGAAGTCACACAGAGACACACACCACCCGCGCAGGGAGGGCTCCGAAAGGGGCAGGCCCGGGTCTCGGGGCGCAGGGAGGAAAGGGGGGCGCTCCTGGCTGTGTGGGGTGCCAAGGGCGGTCCCTCTGCACGCCCCACAGCCCTGTGAGGAAGGGGCTGCCGTCCTCTCTGCTGTGCGGGGGCTGGGGAGCAACTGGAACTTCCTGGATCCCAGAGACTTGGCCCGTGGGGCGCCAGCCTGCCCTGCGGTCCCCGTGCCCCGGGGCCTTCCCTCTGACTCCCGCCTGTGGAGGGGCAGCGCTTGTCTGCGCCCCCGGGGGCCGCGTTCCCGCCTTCCCTGCTCTGTCTTGTACAGGGTGACAGCCACTTGTCAGAAGGCACAAGACAGCTTTTTCAAACCACGTACTGTAAAACCGCATGGGCTTTTGATGTACTTTTAAAATGTGAGCCATGGGGACCTCCAGCTGGGCCCGGAGCCGGGCCACCTGCCCGGCTGGGGGCCGGTGGCTGCGCTGGCGACGCCCCCGGGTGTGCGTCTCTGAGGCCCGTTGTGGACAGTCACTGGGAGGGACAGGCCCTGGAAGAACTGGCGTGCACAGTGTCCTGGGGGCGCGGGACCCCGCAGCCCCTGTGGCCGCTGCGAGAGGAGACGGGAGTGGCAGCAGGGACGGACAGAAGGAGCGACGATGCTTTTGTCTTTGACGCTGACCCCGGCTTCGTCGGCCTGGTCCGCTGGGACAGTACGGCGCGCTGGGCGGCCTTCCTCACGCCCTGCAGGCTGGCGGTCCCGCTGACCGCGCCAGCCCGCCCGGCTCCTGGTGTGCCCCCACGGCCGAGAACGAGCGCGGCGTCTCCTCTTACAAGGACAGGGATGTCCTCCTGAGACGTCGCGGGTCTCCGGGTGTCAGGACGTCGCTCCTTTCTCGGCGGAGCAGTGGTCCGTTGTGTGGATGGACCACACTTCTTGCCTGCCCGCCCCCAGACGGGCACTTGGATTGATCCCGCTCTGAGGCGGTTGAGATAACGCTGCTGTGAACAACCGCGTACAAGTTTTGCGGGGACCTACGTCTTCATTCCTCTTGTCCTGTTCTCTTCATTGAGGCGTCTGGGCGTGGGTTTGCTGGGGGGCGTGGTGATGCCACACCTCTTGAAGCGCCCGCAGTCAGAGAGCTCTCCGCAGCGCGGCCGGTTCCATTCCCGCCGATGAGCAAGGCCCCATCTCTCCGCAGCCTCGCCAGCACGCGTTCTCTAATTTGCTTTGTTTTGTTTCTCCATCGCCCCTGTGGTTGCGAAGTGGCACCTCGTTGGGGCTTGGACTCACCTTCCCTCAGCGGCGCGATGTCGAGCACATCCGATGTGCTTCTCAGCCGCTGGGCGTCTCCTTTGGAAAGGTCTGTCCAAGCCCTTCACCCACTTTCTCAGCTCGACTGTGCCCTTCGGTTCCTTGGGCTGCAAGAATTCTTTACGTGTTCTGAATACTAAGCCCTTATCAGAGCCATGATTTGCAAATCTATTCTCCTGTTCTTTCCACTTTCTTGATAATGTCCTTTGTTGCACAGAAGGTTTTCATTTACAAAGTTCAGTCTCACTGCATTGCTGCAGCTGCCCAAGCCCTTGGTTTCCCACCCAAGAACCCATTGTCACCCCTGGGTCAGGAGGGTGTGCCCCATTGTCCTTCTGGGAGTTTTATGCGTTTAGCTCTTCCATTGAGTCATTGGTCCACTTTGTGGGGACAGAGGAGCACGCGAATCATACCTGTGTGGCCTGATATATTTTCACAAACTGGACACCGATGTAATCAGCCCTCAGGCCACGAAAGAATGCGCCCAGCCCCCCAGACGCCTCGGGGGCCCCCAGGGGCAGCCCCCCCCGACCCCAACAACCTAGACCCTTATTCTGAGTTTTGCACTTTGTAAAGACGGAACCTTCTCTTTAGTGTCTGCCTTCTGTTCCTAATCTGTTCTTGATCCTTCTCCCCAACAGGCAGAGGTGGCTTGGTTCCCACCAAATGTGTAGGCAAGAGAAAGAAAGCGAGGCGCTCATGGGGCGCCCCCCGCCCCCGCCCTGACGGACTTATTCAGGAAGGCGGCCAATACTCACGCAGGGGCAGGAAGCAGCGATTAGGCTGCGTCCTGTTTTGGGGAAGCGTGAGCCCTGGGGATTAGCGTCCACGGTTAGAAAGAGGCCACAGCTGCCTCCCCCACCTGACGGTAGGGTTAGATGTAGTCTCTCTAAAGTAATGCTGAATACAGTATCTTGGGGTGATTTGGGGGGTTTTTTGTTTTTGTTTTTATTTGTCTACCACACAAAACTAAGCCAAACCAGCGAATGTAGTTTGTTTAGATTATTTCAGTGTTCCTATTTTAACCTAATTTAGTGGGTTTTAAGAATTATAAAAGTAGCCCTGGCTGGTGTGGCTCAGTGGACTGAGTGCCGGCCCACAAACCAAAGGGTCGCCGGTTCGATTCCCAATCAGGGCACAGGCCCGGGTTGCAGGCCAGGTCCCCAGGACGGGGCGCACAAGAGGCAACCACACACGGATGTTTCTCTCCCTCTCTTTCTCCCTCCCTTCCCCCATCTAAAAATAAATAAATAAACAATCTTAAAGAAAAGAATTATAAAAGTAATAAATGCTAATCGAGAAAATTGAGCAATACAAAGATAAAAAGAAAATCGCTAACCATTTTTCACCTCGCCTCTCCAGTCCCTCCACCTGAGAAACAGTGCAGGTTTGTCCCCCGCTCCGTCCCATTTCCCCTTGTCTGCCTGTCCCCCCAGAGACGAAGGTGAGCGGACCTGGCCCCTCTGCCTCACGGGGAGGCCGGCCCCGCCCCCCGGCCCACTGTGGGCAGAGCCAGCTTCCCCACGCGGCCCCCCAGGGCCCTGCTGCACGGAGCCCCCAGGGGCCCCCGAGCGCCCCTCCGCACCCCCAGTGAACCCCTGTGCTCTGTCCTCGCAGGCGGGGGAGAAACACTACCACCCCTTGTGTGCGCTGTGTGCCAGGTGTGGCCGGACGTTTGGGGAAGGCGAGGAGATGTACCTGCAAGGTAAGCAGGAAGCCGGCTGCGCAGCTCCCAGGGCAAAACACAGGGCCCTGCCCCCGCGCACTCCCTGGGCTGGGGGCAAGCTGGGTGCACGTGTGCTCTCAGGCTAGTCAGGGGCCCCGCGAGGAAACGGCGGGGGGGAGGGCTGGGGGGGCAGGGCCGAGCCGGCCTCCCTGGGCAGGCAAGGGGGCAGCGGGCGGTGCCGGGGCGGGGCATGGCGGGAGGCGGGCCCCCAGGCCTGGTGACAGCTGGGCTTGGGGACAGGGGCCAGTGCCGCTCAGGCCCTCCCTGAGAGGCCCGTGGGGACGGCCAACACAGGGACCCACCGCCTTGGCCGCGGTCCCTTTTCAATGACGCCTCTGTCTCCAGCGAGCGGGGGCCGCGGAGCCAGGCAGGTGGGAGGGCCACACGCTGCCCGGCCGACGGCTCTTTGGTCCTGGGGCCGTGTGCCAGGCAGATCTCCCTTTCTGAGGCCGCACCTCAGGGGGTGATGTCAGCGCGACGGCCCCGTCCCCAGTGTCCCCTTTTGTTCCTGGAGTCTCCGCTGCAGAGCCCGTGGGAGGGGCCCCTGGCACCCCCGCCGGCAGCGCTGGGGTGCCTGGCGGGGAGGGCGCCCGGGCCTGAGGCGCTGCCCCCACCGTGAATGGTGCCGTCCGGTCCCCCTGACGCCAAGCACGGCGGTGCGGGGACGGCGGCGTGGGGACACGGGCTCGCCGTCGCGGGGACCCGGTCTCAGAGACAAGGACGCTATTCAGGGCGGGCCTGCTGTGACTCTGTGGGGTGCTGCAGCCAGCCCCTCCCCCTTCCCCGGCCTCGAACTCCGGGTCAGTTAGATGAGGGGTCTGACCAGGTCAGGCTTTCGAGCTCCAGGCCACAGGCCACAGGAGTCCCAGGCCAGGGGCCTCTCTGGGGTCCTTTCCCTGCCTGGACATCCCAATCCCCTCTGCCTGGGCTGCCTGGATGGGGAGGCTCCGTTCCAGTGTTATTTGACAGGTGACTCTCATGTAGTAAAGCTCCGAGGAGCCGGGGTGCCCATGAGTCCCCCGGCCTTTGACGATGATGAGACAAACCCCCACCCCACGCGGACCACTCACTGGGTGACCTTCCCGCCCGTAGATTCTCGCCAGGAAACGCCGGGCAGGGAGATCGACTCTCAAAGCGATCAGATTAAAATAAAGAGTAGGTGCTATTTTTTCCCACTGAGCTGGCAAAGATTAAAAGGAAGGGCAGGTCCTGTGCCGTGAGTGTTCGAGGACATGGGTCTCTGACCTGGCCGGGGGTGCGAAAATTGGGAAAGTGCCCATATCCATCAAGAGCCTTAAAAATGCCCACGGCCCAGGGTGTCCTTTGGGACCGGAGCCGCCAGCACGTGGTCAGCAGAGCCCCCACGTTACCTAGAAACGGAGCACTGGGGCCGCCGGGGAGAGCAGATCGATCGGTTCTGATCCGCCGGCTCGGCGGAACGGGGCACAGCCACAGCATTACGTTTGTGATGTTCAGTGGCACAGGGCGGGGGGGGCGTTCAGGGCATTGGAAAGCCAAGATCCCAGGGACGAAACTGTGTGCCTGCAACTCGCTCCCCCTGTTAACGCAAGTGCACGTATCCCGGGGGGCGGCGCGGCCGGCGTGGGCGCGAGGTGAGAGATTCTTTTAATTTTCTTATTCATGCTTTGTTAGGTCTCTTTGATTTTTAACAAGGAACACCTATTACCATGGTAATCCTTAACCATTTTTGAAATAAATGTTTTACACACACCCCTCCCGCCCCCCCAAAGCATGGTCTCTCCGGGAGCCCTGGGTTGGCGCAGAGGTTTGCCAGGGGGGTGGGCAGTAAGTGCACTAGCCCACGTGGCCTGGACGGCTTTGCGGGCAGGAGAGGGGGTAGCTGTCTCCTTCCGCCCACTTTTAAGCCCCTGCTGTGTGCTGGCCCCGTGGGCATCTGAGAGTGGGATGGACACAGCCCCCACGTTCACGGCGGGTGCAGCACTGGTGGGGCGTGAACCGGGCCATGGCAGCCACGCAGCCACAACCGCCACGGCCGCAGGCAGAGGAGGCATGCGCGGGGGGGGGGGCTCGGCGGGGAGCGGTCAGGCTGAGGCTCAGGAGGCCCTGAGGGGGAACGAGCGCTCTGGGCCTGAAGGATGAGGGGCCAGGGGACTGAAATGTTGGGATGATAAAAGGGGTGTATGCAACGGCCACGAAGCCCCTCTGGCCCTACTTCATGTCAGGAGCGCCTCCGCCGACTTGAGGAGGCCGGGCTGCCCCCGGCCCTCTCGGCAGGCGGGAGAGACCTGGTCGTCAGGGAGGTTAACTTCGAATCAGAAAAGGGGAGAGCATCAGACCTGCAGGCACTTGGGGACTTCGGTGGGGGCTGTGGCCGTGGGTGGCCGGGCGGAGCTGTCAGGTGAAGAAGCCGAGGCAGGAGAAGCTCGGAGACCAAGTGAATCAGAGGCGGGGCCAAGCCCGGGCCTGGGGCCTCGTGCCGACCCCCGGTCTCAGCCCCGCTCCTCACCCCACACCCGCGGTTCCCCCTGCCCGCCTCCCAGCCCTGAGGCGGGTCCCCACCCCCACTGCAGCCCAGCGGCGCCCATGGCGGGGCCCAGCCGCTGCCCCCGACGGGCAGGAGCCGGGGCAGGTCGCACGGCAACCCTCTCCCTCCCCCTGCCTCTGACCTGAAGCCCCCAGCCGCCGTCCTCCGGAACCCTGGCTGGCTGCCCCGGCCGGGCGAGGGGGCCTCCCCAGCTTCTGAGGGACCCTGTGCGCCCCGTCGGGGAGCAGTGCGCTCGTGCTGGTATGTCTGCCCCCTCATGTCACATCCCCCAACTGGGCTGTGAGTTCTGGGCTGGGGCCTGTGACCCGCTTGTCCCAGGCCCAGCGCCGACTCCACACAGAGGGCGCCCAGGGGCTCCTCGGAGGCAGGAGACGAGTGGACGCGCACCAGTGATCTGCTGGCTCCCCCTCCTGACCCCAAAGGCCCTGCGTCCTGGTGATGCGCTGACCACGTCCCTCTTGGGAATCTGTCCCCAGGTTCCTCCATCTGGCACCCGGCGTGTCGACAAGCAGCCAGAACTGAAGACAAAAACAAGGTGGGTGGAAGTCACTATTTTTTCTTCACTGCGCGCGTGCAATTGTCATACAGTTATGAGGACGCTGACTGGCTCCTGCAGGCTGTGGGGCAGGGGGCTCGGGGACCCGGAGGGGTTCAGGTGCACACAGGTAGCTCTGAGGGACGGGGCAAGGCGGGCGGGGGCATCCGGGCTCCCTGCCCTGGCCCCTGACCGCTTCATTTGTTCAGTGGGTACTGAGAGCTGGGTCGTCTGGGGACAACTTTGAAGGTATCAGGTCCCCAAACGATCGCCATTGTTTTGGCTCAGCTCCCAGAGCGGTCACTAGAATAACGGACCCTGGGATTTGGGACCAGGGCAGCCCGCCTGCCTGCCCCCGCTCCCACCTGCTGCCGCTTCCCCCAGGCTGGGCCCCGACCCCGCCGCCAGGGGGCGCTCACAGCTGAGCACTGCCGGTCCCCGTGCCCAGCACCTGGGACAGGGGGCAGGTGAGGGAGGGAGACAGAGCCACGTGACCGCCGTCCCCCAGCTCCGGGGGCATGGAGGCCATGGGACGAAGCTGGTGACTTGCTCATTTCCTGCCGCACGGTAACAAATGACCTACGGACGCAGAGGGGTGGGGATCACAGATGACTGCCCTGCCGTGCTGGGACCGGAGGTGTGACCTGCCGGCGGGGCTCAGGCCTCCCGGGGCTCCCGGGAGACCCCGTCCCAGTCCCCCCCGGGCTGCTCAGACCACCGTCCTGCGGTTACATGGGGCCCCCAAGCACCCAGGACAACCTCCCCCTTGGGCTCCTCCGTCCCATCTGCACAGTCCCTTTGGCCACACATGGCCACAGGTGCAGGTTTTGGGAGTTAGGACATGAGCATCGTTGGGGATGTTGCCGTGCCTCCCACAGGCACAGAACTGACTGCCACCACTTGTCACGCACACAGCCAGGGTGGCAGTAAGTGGCTGCACACTGCGACTCTCCTTCATCCTCTTACTCGGCCGATTCATTCCACCAACTGCCCCCGCGCTGCCCAGGCCTCAGAGATGGGCCAGAGCTGCAGCCCCTGACCCCACAGGGACCCCTGGGCCCGACCTTTGGGTGAGGGCCCCTCCATCGCCACACGAAGGCCAGCCAGGGGCCGTGGAAGGGACCCGCACACTGAGAGGCCTCCGGACCCCACGCATGCGTGGGCGTGTGCGCGGCTCAGCCAACCGGGGCGGAAGAGGGGCACCTGGGACCGTGGCAGGCCCACCCGGAGATGGGCCAGGGCGGCCGGCACCGGCTCCTGGGCTCTGGGCCTGGCTGCGAACCTGGCGCCGGGCCTACAGAGGGCGTGGCGCCGGCTGGACCCTGCTCCCAGCCGAGAGGCCAGCCCACAGCGAGCAGGGCCGCTGGCCCCGCGGAAGGGAGGCTGTGTGAGCGCAGGCGACAGGGAAGGAGGAAGGGGACAGCCCCTGGGTCTGTGCAGCCCGGGGGCCTCCCGGGCTGGTCCCGAAGGTGCTTTGGGGACACGTGGGGCAGAGGCCAGCGGCCTGAGAGCAGCTGACTTAGCACCAGCCCCTCCGTGCCCTGGGACAGGATCCAGGGCCCCGTCTTGCCCTGCTCGTCCCTGCTGGTCCCTCGTTTTGCGCTCCCCACGTCCCAGCCCCACCCCAGCCCCTCGGAGCCTCTTCGCTCCTCCCCGGGACAGGAGAATAATCTCCGGGCCGGGCCGGCCAGGGTGAGGGCAGGCCCGTGCGGTCCTCCCTGGGCACGCGGGCGCATTGGAGACAGTCCCCGGCTGGATGGCCGCTGTGGCCCGGGCGGCAGGGAGAGAGAGCCAGTTAATGACCCTGAGCCGGCCAGAGCTGATCGGCTCCGGTCAGCTCGGCGGCCCCTGAGACGTGTAGCAGAGGTGCCGTGCGTGGGTCTTGTTAACTCTCCAAACCAGCCCCGGGTCCAGGTGGCACCGCCGCGACCTGGTGACTCGCGTGAGAACTAACCTGCCCGCCGGGGGGTGTGCCTGTCCGTGCCAGGCCCTGGGGGAGCCTGGGCCCCGCGCGCAGACCCCTCTCCTGCCAGCGTTGGAGGCCAGCGTTGCTTCGGCCCCGCTGTGTGACCTCGGGCCCGTCGCCGGCCCTCCCTGAGCCTCTGCCCCTCGGCTGTGCCGCGCCCTGGAGCAGGGAAGGGGGGCGGGCGAGCCGCGCGGGGCCGGGCAGTGCGTCACGCCCTGTCCCCTCTCTCCTTCTAGTCGCAGAAGCAGGGGCGCCCTCAGGTCTGCCCGGCGCCGCCCCCGCGCCTTCCACACTTGTGTGCTTGGCGTCCGGTCCCGGTGCTGGCCCGTCCTCGCGCCCCTGTGCTGTGTGTGGGAGGAGCAGGGGTTCTCCAAGGGGCGGGGACGGCCCCGCAGCCTGGGTGAGTGTCCTGGGCGGCCTGGCAGCGCCCCGGACCGGGGCTTCAACAGCAGGGACTCCTTTCCTCCCAGTCCTGGAGGCGGAGGTCCAAGGTCGAGGCCCGGGCAGCTGGCTCCTCCCGAGGCCTCGCGCGCTGGCGCCGCGATGGCCGTCTCCTCCCTGTGTCCTCACACGGTCGTCGCTCTGCGTGTCTGTGTCCTAGCCTCTTGGAATGACTCTGGCCATATTGGACCAGGGCCACCCTCGAGGCCCCATCGCCGAGCACAGTCACGTTCTGGGGTCCTGGGGGTTCAGACTTCCACACAGGAGTTGGGGGGCGCAGTCCAGCTCGTCGTGCGGTCCTGCCCGGGCTGCGGGCGCGGCAGTGGGCGCACCACTGGCGGGGTCTGGACGGAATCGCGGGGCAGGGCGGGGCGGGGCCTGCTTAGGAAACAGTGGGCGGGGGAGGCAGCAGGGCGGAGTGGGAGAGGGGGTTCGAGCTCTTGGCTGGGAGCCCCTCTGTGGAGAGGGGTTCCATTTAGATGGGGCGCGTGGGAAAGCTCAGTGGGGTGGTCTAGACAGGGGCGGGGCCCGCTGAGCGGAGCTGCCAGGCTGCGCCCTGCAGGTGGGGATGGACGCGGGTGCGGTGACCGGGGTGGGAGCCAGAGAAGACAGGTGTCCGTCCACGCAGGCGCGGGGTGGGCCTGCCGTGGGGAGCGGGGGAGGCAAGAGAGGCGGTGAGCGCGGGGCTGGAGGGGCGGGCAGGGGGGTTCCAAAGAGCAGCGGGCACTCGAGGGGCAGGTCCCATGTGTGCCAGCCGCAGAGAGGCCCCGGGCCAGACCGAGGGCTCAGTGGTGGCAGTGACCAGCAGTGACCTCAGGAGCTTCTTTCTGAGACACATCTGGGGTGCAGGACCAAACGTGAGCTCATTGCCAGCGCTGCTGGTGCCAAGAAAGTCTGCGGGGGGAGGCGCAGGAAGACAGAGGGGCACGGAGCCAGGCCGGAGACCGGTCTTTAGGGTCATGAGACCGGCCCCAAGTCCGACAACAGAGCCCGGACTGGCAGGATGTGTGGCCACAGGTCCCCGCGGTCCAGGTGGGAGGCAGCGCCCCTGAGCAGCACAGCTCTGCGCCCAAGACGGCCTTCTCCGTTGGTGCGCAGAGGTCTCTGGGCTCCGGCCACCTGCCCCCGTCCTCCGGGGAACAGATGGCTTCCGCGCCCTGGCAGCGCGGTGACCCCCGGTGCGGGGGGCTGTCCCCGCGGGGCTCATGGCCACGTCGCCGCTGTGTCTGTCCGATGAGCTTTCCGGCGGTCCCTTGGAGCACACCAGTGTGTCTTAAGAGCCCTTTTGACCTGCCGGCCTTTCTGTTGCCCTGTGACTGTCACCGTTGCCTGCGGACGGCCTTGGCTTCCGCGGGTTGTGTTTTCAGTCTCCCCCGTCCCCTCCTTTCCCAGGAGACCCGCACGTCCTCGGAGAGCATCATTTCTGCGCCTGCCTCCAGCACCTCGGGGTCTCCCAGCCGTGTGATTTACGTAAGTCGGGCCCTTTCTGTGGAGAGTGGGGAGGGGGCGGGGCCCCGGGCCGTCGCTGGGCGAGCCCCCGGGGGCTGGGCGGGCTGGGGTGTCCTCGCAGACACTGGCGTGGCCGTCCCTGCGGCGGAGACGGGTGCAGACCTTAGGAGGCTGTCGGAGGTTGGCCCGGCCCCTCCCCAGGCGTGCGGTGACCAGGGGGCCGGGAGGTGCTCACACTGCCGCTCACAGTGGTGTGTTCGGGCCGGCAGGCGGCGCCTGAACACAACCGCCGGCACCGCGGGGCCAGGCAGCGCTGTGAATGCCGTGCAGGTCCACGTGTCACCGTGGGAAGTGTCCCTCAGGGAGCGGGCTAAGCGCGGTGGATGTTATGTGGTCCCATCTTCGTTCAAGAGAATGTGTGTGTGTGTGTGTGTGTTTGCATGTGTGCATTCGTATTTATACGACTTGCTTGTATCCACACATGGGATATGTTTGTGTGTTTGGGTACATGTCTGCATATGTGTTGCTTGTTCACGTGTCCATTTTTGCACACATACAAAAGTGTGAGTGTGCCCACGTGTATGCACACATATGTATTGGCATGTGTGCCTGCCTTTGTCCATATGCACAGATAGGCATCCGTAGGTATTTTCAGGCCACGGGCTGAGTGTCACCGCCTGCTGGGCCCCGTGTCCGGCATGTCACAGGCCTCCTGTCTCTGACCCCGGGGCCATCCTCTGTGTGGGACCATCTCTCCCACTTTGTGGAGAGGCAGCAGGGGCTCAGAGCGGGCGTGCCCTCGGGCCACGGTGGCTCCGTCGTGGCCCCAGGCACACATGCTCATGAGGCTCTGCCACGCGGCTGCCCCTGCACGGGGCCCTCACGGTGCCCGTGGCCCCGCCTCTCCTCGCAGGCGAAGCTGGGCGACGAGATCCTCGACTACAGAGACCTGGCCGCTCTGCCTAAGAGCAAGGCCATCTACAACATCGACCGCCCCGACATGATCTCCTACTCGCCCTACATCAGCCACTCGGCGGGGGACAGGCAGAGCTGCAGCGAGGTACGGCCCGCCGGTGTCACCTGGCCAGCCTGCGGGGCCCGTGGCATGCCCACAGCGCGGGTCCCCTCACTCGGTCCTCACCGCTCTCCGGACGCTGGGCCTTCTCTGCCCCCCTCCCCAAGATGCGCCGTGTGCCCCATCTCTAAAGAATCCCCGTGTGCTCTGCCCCCCGGCCGTCCCTGGCAGACCGCGTGCAGCGCACTGAGCGCTGAGTCTGGGAAGCCCCTCGCCGGGGCTGAGAGCCAGTGGGTAGGGGGCACCGCCGTCAGGACAATGACAGGAACGAAGTGGGAGCCCCTTCGTTTTTGCAGCCTGGGACGATTTTCACCATGTACGAAATGTACAGTTTTCCTTTACCCAGAATGTTCGGGCCTTGCTCCGCCCTCCCCAGCCTGGCCTGTCCTCTGTCCCCTGAACTCCTCGAGCTGCTGGGGCCCCAGGGTGCCAGCGTCCTTCGCTGCGGACCTCTCAGCCACAGCTGCCCTCCTCCATTCAACGTGGGGCTCGCTGCAGGTGTCTGGTTTTCTTTCGGGGGATTGAGATTTCCATGTGCCCCTGGAAGACAGAGGGGGACTTGCCGGCTGCCGGCCCTCCACGCGTGCGCCCAGCGAGGAGAGCCCCGCCGCGCCCGCCACCCGTGTACCCCGCCCCTCCTCGTTGAGTCTCCAGTCAAGGCCCCCCTGGAGAGTGAGGCCGGCGGGTGTGGTGCCGAGGGGGCGGGGCAGCGAGCCCCGCCTGGCCCCATAGATGTTGCGGGGCACCGGCTGCCGTCAGGGTGTTGGGCACGGCTGCGGAGCTCAAGGGCAGGCCGGGGCGGGTGAGGAGGGCACGGCTTCCCTTGCTCACAGGCCGGCAGGTGCCCCTCCCAACTGGCTTCTGCCCCTGGGGACTTGCAGGGCCCCAAGGATCTGGCCGATCAGTTCCATGAAGAAAGGCTGGCGGGCGGGACAGGAGGGAGGGCCCTGACCTACACCCCACCTTCCGTGAGCTGATCTGCGCCCCGTCCCCCGCCCCCTCCCCCGCCCGCCCCTGCAGACCAGTGAGGAGGGCTGGAGAGGTCAGGCCACTCAGCCACTGGCTCCTGCAGCAAATGTCACGGTGCGGGGGGGCCAACAGCGCTCACCTGCTCTAATGGGCCGGTCACCGCTCCCTGCGGGCCCAGGGCCACGACCAGCAGGCGGTGCCTCACCCACACCCCATGGCCCCAGAAGCCCTCTCTCTCGGGCTGCCAGGGTGCGGCCACCACACGCCCAGGACTGGCAGGCTTCCCTTTGGAAAAATGCCTCCTTGGGCGAGCGGCGGGCCGCGGGGGGCAGGCCCAGCCGGAGGCAGGCTCCCGGGCGGGCGCCAGGCGTGTCCCGGAGCCTCCTTCTCAGGGTGCCCTGGGTCATGCTTCTCCAAAGAGAAGGTCTGGGAGCCCGTGGCGGGCTCCTCCGCCGTGGGGAGGAGGGTCCCCTGGTGAGAGCGTCTGCGCCCGCGCTGTCTCCCCGCACCAGCGGCCACCTGGTGCCGAGGAGCTAACAGGCTGCTCTGTGTTGTGCCCACAGTCGCCTCAGTTGCTCTCGCCAACTCCAACCGAGGTAACCGCCACCCCCGCCATGCCCCCGCGGTGCTGCCCTCCCACCCCTGCTGCAAAGATAACCATCCGCCGCCCCCAGGACGGCCCCCGCGGCTCTTGACCGTGCGTCTGGGGCCACGGCGCTCCGCGGCTCGGGCGCCCTCCTGGGCGCTGGTTATTTTCACACCCACGTCTCACCTGCATGCCACCGTGGTGCATCTGCCGGCCCTGCCAGTGCGGAGCCCCGGGACACGGGTGCCTGCAGTCTGGGCCACGGCTCCCTCCGGGAGGGCGACCCAGGAGACTGGGGCAGCCGGGCCGCCTCCTGTGCCTCCAAGGGGAACATGTGGGAAGTCCTCGCAGACAGGCTTCCTGGAAGCATTTCTCTATCAAAGAGCATCAGTAACGTGCGGCCAAGCAGACTCCAGTCTGTGTGGGCGTCATGCCTGGGGACCCAGGAATGTGGCAGCCACGAGCCCCATGACAGGCGGGACGAGGACACAGGACCCCGCTAGGGTGTGAGCTGGCCGACCGGGCTGTGCTGAGGAGACCCGGGGACAGAGGCGGCACAGGAGGGCTGTTGGCTGCCCGGGACAGAGCCCGTCTCCGTGGCTGGGAGGTCTGGGGGCTCAGGGTGCCGCACAGGCGGGGACAGCGGTTGCAGGGCCTGCAGGAGGCCCGGCCTGAGCGGGGCGTGGGGGCGGGGCGCCCCGGCCAGCTTTAGGGACAGTTTGGCTGAAGAGTGAGGCCTAGGAGGTGGCAGGCGACATCGGGGAGGCGTGGGAGCCGTGAGCACCAGACCCAGGCTCTCGCGTTGTTCATCCCCACACTGGCCTCGAGGGCCAGGGCAGCAGCGTCCACCCCCGGCGGGACGCGGGCTGGCTTGTGTCGTGACTCGGGGCAACGTGCTGAGCCGCGGTGGGCCCAGCAGCCTGCGCTCCCCCGCACCGTGCGCCATGCCATCCCACGCCGCCCGCTCTGACTGCTCCAGACAGTTGCTCTTGCTGCTTGAACGGAGTCTGCGCTGTCGGTGCTTGTGGTTCTGACGCAGCGGGGCTCCGGGCTCCAGGCTCCGGGAGGGGAGCCTTTCTACCCCCCATGCCTGGGGCCTCCCTGGAGGCTGCGGGGGGCACAGAATCTCGTAGGCTCTCAAACTGTGTTCCAAGGGGCCTTGGGTGCTGGGAAGGGTTGGGCGGAGGGTGGGAAGGGAGCTGAAGGATGGAGGAGGAGCAGGTGCCTCTACTACCGACCGTGGTGGGGGCCCAGCCACGGAGGGGCTGTCGGAGGGGCAGGTGAGCGTGCCCTCCAGCACCTGGCGGGTGCAGGACAGGCCATGCTCAGGCCTGCGGGAGTTTCAGCACCAAGGCCAGGCCCCTCTGGCTCTCATCCTGGGGCCCCATCAGTCAGGCTCTCAGGCTGGAAAGCAAACCCCAGGCAGGGGCAGAGGGCGGAGGGCGGAGGGCAGAGGGCAGGAGAGAGGCGGGCCGGCTCCGGCTCCCGTTCACCAGGCTGTCTCCCCTCCCAGGGGGACCAGGACGACCGCTCCTACAAGCAATGCCGGACCTCCAGCCCGAGCTCCGCCGGCTCGGTCAGCCTCGGGCGCTACACCCCGACCTCACGGTCGCCCCAGCACTACAGCCAGCCAGGTACTGGGCCCTGCGGCTTCCTTTCCCCCCAGGGAAGCTGTCTTCCTGTTGCCTCTTCTGATACGAATCTGCCTCTTACACGACAGCTGGAGAAGTAATGGCTGGGGCGGAGCTGCCAGGGGGCGGCGGAGACCCCGTCCCTGCAGGCACCCAAAGGAAAGGCGCCCTCTGTCTGGGTGGGGAGGCCCACCTCAGGCACGGCCGGGTCCCCTGGGGGCTGAGGGCTGGGCCAGGCGCACGCCAGGCAGAGCCGAGCCTCGAGAGCCTTGCTCATGTAATCAGTGTTCCCGCAGACGAGAGGTCAGGAAGAAAGCACCGCAGGTGGTAGGAGACGGAAGTCAGTTCCGAGCCCACGTGGCTCTGGCACGGTGTGAGGAAGGCAAAATCGGGGGCCAGAAAACAGAGCCAATATCCATGACAGGTCGCCCAGAGCTGGGCCGGCGGCCCCGTGGGAAAGTTGGACCGAGGCCAGGCCACCCCGAGCAGGGGGAAGCCCTGCGGAGGGTCCCTGCACCCGTCCCACCCCATCCCCGCCTGGTGCCAGCTGTGTCCTGCTGTCCCTTAGCTTCCAGGACTCCGCGTGGCCCGCGGCGTGCCGAAAGCACAGGGAGGCTCCCCACACAAAAAGGGCGCTGCCTTTTTGAGGGATTTTTCCACACCGCTTCCCCCTCGGCCAGCTGTTGCATGACTCCATCTTCACATCCCAGGCTGCGGCTCTTAGTTTTGCACCTTTGTGGAAAAATCGAAGCTCACTCGTGTGCAAAGTTATTTGTATGGGCTCCCTGCCATGTGCCTGGTACATCCTGCTCAAGGATAGAGGTTTGGAAAGTGAGTGAATGAAGAGTGAATGATGAATGAGCGAGTGAATGAGTGAATGAATGAATGAGTGAGTGAATGAGTGAGTGAGCAAATAAATGAGTCAATGAGTGAGTGAATGAATGAGTGAGCAAGTGAGTGAATGAGTGAGCAAGTGGGTGAATCAGTGAGTGAATCAGTGAGTTGAGCAAGAGAGCAGGCCGGTGAGTCAGGGAGTGAAGGACAGTTGGCCTCTCCCAGGGCCCATCTGCCGGCCCCTGGCCATGGTACTTTGGGCCCCCTGGGCTCTGGACCCCTCCCAGCTGGGTGGTAACCCCAGAGAGCCAAGACCTGACTCCTGGCCGGGGAGGCTGTGAGGTTGTCAGGCGGCAGTCTGCAGACACGCCCGTCCAGCCAGCCGCTCTCCACCTGCGGCCTTGCTCCCGAGGAGCCGGCAGGTGGGGCCCCGGGCAGGGCTCGGGGTGCCCGCAGCCCCTGCCTCCCAGAGGGAGCAGCGCCCTGGCTCCGAGCTCGGAGCAGGCCGGGCCACAGCAGATGTGGTGACTCCCCTTCAAAAGGCGTGCGTTCCTGCAGACAGGGTGCCAAAAAGTTCCCAGCGGGAGGGGCCTCGGGATACTCGGCAGCGCTGCGGCCAGCGCGCCAGCGCGGACTCTGACTGGCTCTCTGTTCCCGCAGCTGGTACTGCGAGTGTTGGTACCAGTAGCTGCCTGTCCCTGTCCCAACACCCAAGCCCTACCTCCGTGCTCAGGCATCATTACATCCCCTACTTCCGAGGTAAGGCGCGCAGCGCTGCGGGCTGCGGGGGCCGCAGGGTGTCCGCCCATGTCTGTGTTTCCTGTCTGTGTCGCCGCATGGCTTCCCCGAGCCCCGTGTCTCGTGCCCACGCCCCTCGCTCTGTGTCTCGTGAGTCCAGCACTGTTTCTGTCGGCGCGTGAACGATCCTGGGAGGGACGCGTAGGTCCCTTGCGTGTGAGGCAGTGAGCGGCAAGGGGTGGGGTAGAAAGCTGCAGGGAGAGACCAGGCCCCATCCCTCGCCTGCCCTTGGACCTGCGTCGTCTCATCTTGTTTCCCACGGGTCAGCTCCGTGGGGCCTAGGGGCTGCTCGGGGCGGCCATCAGGACCTGAAGCTGAGGCCTGAAGAGCTGAGGCCAGTCCCCAGCCTGAGCTCAGGCTGGCCCGGGCAGGATGCGCACCCTGCATGGCTCCAACTCTTGCCTCTCCCCAGGGTGCGGACCCGCGCATGGTCCCTGTCCCTGCACAGGGGAAGCATGGGCTCAAATCCCACTAAGAACACAGCTGAGCTCCTGTTTTCCCGTATGCGGTGGACTTGTGTCCCCCCAGATTTATATGTGGAAGCCCCAGCCCCCAATGTGACGGCATTCAGAAAAAGGTCTTTAGGAGGTTTTTAGGGCCACATGAAGTCATAACCCTGTAGGACCGGTGGCCTTGTAGGCGAGTGTGGTCTCTCAGTCATTCAGCGTGCGCCCAGCGAAAAGGCCATGTGGGGACAGGGTGGCCATGTACGTGCCAGGGAAGGAGCTCTCCCCGGAGCCCACCCTGCCGGACTGCCAGCCTCCAGAACTGAGGGAAGCAAGCGTCTGCTATCTCAGCTCCGAGCCTGTGGCGTTTGTTACGCAGCCTTCGCTGACTGATACACTGTCTGCCTGATCAGAAGCAGCAGTGATGTTCTCGCTGATTCCCCAAGAGACAAAGCAAAGCTCCCACTCCCTGCAGCTGCTGAGAACGTCTCCGGAAGAACCTCGGTCGCAAAGTGACCAGGGGGCAGGCAGGCTCGGCTGCTGTGCTCCATCACCTGACGGCCCTCAGACAGGCTCCATGGGTCTCGTGCATCCATCGTCACCCTTTGTTCTGCGTAGCCTCATTCATCAGGGGCCCTGAGAGCCCCCGGTCCTGGGGACCCATCATCCCTCCTCCTTGTGACCCTGTCCCCACCCTTCATGGTCTCTGTGGGAAGCTAACTCGTTGGAGAAGCAGCAGAGCCTGAAACGGCACATCCTGTGAGCAGGAGGCAGCCACAGGACTCTGCTCTGCATCCGTGTGGCCCGGGAGTGCGGGGCCCCCTAGAGGCAGACGAAGGACTAACCACCGCCCAGAGTAAACTTGACTATGAGATAAGCTGCCTTTTGCTGGGACATCAGAGGCCCCCCACATGGCCTCCCTCCCACCTGACGCAGCCCCGGGGGCTGTGTCTCGCAGCTGGGGCCTGGGACACTCGCTGTCCTGGCTGCCCCGCCGCGCTCCCCAGCAGCCCGCGCGAGCTGTGCGGATGCCGGGCGAGCCTGCTGGCCGAGACCTGGGCCACTGGGGCCTGGAGCCAGAGAGGCCCGTGCCGCTCCTCCTCTGCCCCTCCCTGAGTCTCCAGCCTCAAGTCTTGCCACCCCGGGGAGGCGGAGGCTGGGACGGGGCCTCGGACTCTTTCCGGAACCCGCCCCAGAGGGCTTGAGGCTCACAGAGGCGTCGCTGGCCTGAGAGCCCAACGGCTGTGGGCCCGGGGCCGGAGCCAGGCCCTTGTCCAGAGCCGCAGCCCCGGCCGGTCGGCGTCCACCTCCGAGCCATGCCGGGGGGACCTGTCCTCCGCCCGCCTATGGGCGCTCTGGTGGCCGGCTGTGCCCAGGACTCCCTCCTCCTCTCAGCTGCTCACGGGGCCCGGCATCCACCTCCCGTCCCGGGAAAAGCCTCCGCAGGTGCGGGCAGGGCTCCGCGACGTCCTCCCTGAGAGGACGGCCTGGTGGGAAGGCGAAGAGAGCCGCCGCACCGTGCCGAAGCCTGGCCACCAGGCGACCTCGGGCAGGGGACCCAGGTCAGCGTCCAGCGACGGGTCACGTGACAGCATGTGCCCCGACCCGAAGGGGCGAGGAGGGCCCTCCTCTGTGGTCTTCCTCCCAAGCACCGCGATCTCAGTCTGAGGACGAGCAAAACGTCAGACGGGTCCCAACTGGGGGCCGTTGAACAAGACGCCCCGCAGGGCCGCTCACGCCTGCCAGGGTCCAGGAGAGCCGGAGGGCGGTCCCGGCCCAGAGGGGCCCGAGCAGGTGTATGGCTGGATGTAGGCAAGGTCCCCCCTGGATGTAGGCAATGGACGCCACTGACAAGGGGCGCTGGGTGCGCGGACGCAGGGACTCTCTGCACTGCCCACAGCTGCCCCAAAGCGAGCCATTTGCTTGAATTAGAGAAGAAGGTGGCATTCCCAAGGCGGGGCCTCCCATGCCCCCCAGCAGGCCTGCTCCCAGCCTGCCCGCCCGCCTGCCCACGGAGGACGGCCCTCCCTCGCAGACGTCAGAGGCGGCCTCGGCCCTGAGCCCCGCCCGCAGAAGCCACGGGCCTCGTAAGAAGGGACTGCTGGCCTTTTCAACGTCCCCCATGGCCAGGCTCCCTGGGTTTTCTCGTGTCCGTGGATTTTTACCGCCAGGGCTGCGGCGGGGGCTGGTTCCTGGAGCAGTACGAGGGCCTCCCCAGGACCCTGGCCGCGGACCCCCAGCCCTGTCCCTCCTGTGGGGGTGGCCACGGTGCATGCCCCGCGGGGCTGTAGTGGATGTTCCAGGAGCTGCCACAACCGCAGAACGGCCGTGGGGCCCCGTGGGGGTCAGCGTGAACGGCGCGGTGCATTACAGTGGACGGGCAGGGTAGGGACCTGTTGGCGTGGGGCTCTGGCCCCAGGAAGGTTTGGCACCTGAGCCCTGACCCAGGAAGAGTCTAGACGGCAGGGGGGCTGGAAAGGGGGCTCCAGGTGGCGGTGTGGGGAGCAGGGAGGCCAGCATGCGAGCGAGAGGCGTTGGGCCGCGGCCGCGAGCGCCCTGGGATGGCAGGTGTGAGGCGGACTCATGAGCTGGTGGGGCCACCGCATGTGTGTCCCCTGCCGCCCCTGAGTCTTGGCCCCCTGAGCACCTGATGGAGGCTGTGGGACCTCCTTAGAAAAGTGTGCACACACACACAGGATCCCGCTGCGACATAGGGGGGCACCACACGTTAGGCGTGGGGACGGGGGACAGGAGACCGGTGACCTGTCAGAGTCCGTGGCCGCGGCAGGAGGGCAGAGGAGGGGCCGTGAGTTCTAGGCAGAGAGGCACGGACCCTGTGAGGCCTCTCAGATGCAGCCGGCTGTGCCCCTGGGGATGGACGAGGCACAGCCACCGCCCCCCATGGACCTCGGCCTGGGGGCATGGTCCCCAAGGGCTCCCGCGGCCTCGCCCCTGCTCCCCGGGGCGGGGCGGGAGTCCAGACTGGCTAGAAGCTCTGGGAGGCTCCATGCTGTGCTGGAGGGCAGTGGCTGAGGGTAAAGCGGGGTTCACGCCATGATGGGGGTGGGTAGTAGCGACCCGAAGTCCCATCGGCGCCGACGAGCGATATGGGCACCCAGGCGTGGGAAGGCGCTCGAAGCTTGTCGGCAGCCCCCTTGAGGCCTCAGCCTGGTGTGGCCCGGGTCGCGGCCTGTGGGAGCCGACCTGGCCCTGCGCTGCAAGCCCCTGGGCCCCGGCGCACCCCCTCTGGGCACGAGTGCTCTGAGCTGGCACCTTCCTCGTCAGCCGCCACACGGCCCCCAGCCGGGCCGCCTCCAGGCCCACACAGGGCCCACCCGCAGCTGGGGCGCGGCCTCATCGCCCGCCCGGGGGGCCTGGGGCTCCGAGGGCGCGTTTGGAGTCCCGAGCAGCCCTTCCCTTTGCCAAGCAGCTGTCGAGGGCGGTGGGAGGTTCCTGAGGCTCGAGGGTGGGGGAGGGGACGAGTCCTGGCTTGGGAGGGTCTCCTGAAGCGAGCCGTGCTCCTCGTCACCCACTGTGTCCGATGCCATTGCGTCCTGTCTGTCCCCTCATTCCCAAAACACGGCGGGGGAGGGGCGGTCTACATTTGCGACTTGATAATCCAACCTTGTCCGCAAAACAGCAATGATGAATCCAGATGGGATAAGAAATCGGAGCCAGAATCAGGATTCTTTCCGTTTAATTTGCCAAAAAATAAAAATAGCTTGATTTCGGAACGTGGCAGCTGAGTGATACCGACTTTGTCGTATCCCGCCGTAGCTAGTAAAATTCCACTCAGTGGCTTCTAAGGACAGATGTTGATGGCTTCTAGTACTTGAATCCTAGTTGAATGCAAATTGGTGGCTTCTCCAAGGGAAAAAAAAATCAGCAGCTCGTTATATAAGGATAGTCAGGGAGGGGGGCCTTTGGCGGGTATAGACCCCCGTACCCCTAGGGCCACAGGCCGCCCTGCACCCCCAGAACGCGGGGCTCTGCCCAGGCGGCCAGGCCAACCTTCCCATGAACTGGGGAGCCCCTGTGCCTTTGCACGGGGCCGGCGGAAGGGAAGGGCGGGCTCGAGGTTGGATTAGCAGGTCAGGGGCCCACGGTGGAAGTGTCTGTGGGGGCCACACTCCCTCCCCCGGGCAGGGGCGCAGGTGGCTCCATGCGGGCTCCCCGGGAATACGTTTTCACGCTTGCAAAGCTCTGTTCCGCTTCCCTTCCCCCTTCTCTCGCTCTCTCTGCTCTTCTGCCTGGAGGCAGTGAAAGCGGCCGCAGCACCCCCAGCCTCTCGGTGCTGTCCGACAGCAAGCCGCCCCCCTCCGCCTACCAGCAGGCGCCTCGCCATTTCCACGTCCCAGGTAGGCCCCGGGCCCGCCGGCGGTTCTGCCTCGCCTCGGCGACCCTTGGGGGATCCCCAAGCCTGTCTGTCCCCACCCCTGAATCCAAGATGCTCTGCAAACCCAGCACATGGGTTTGCCCATCCCCAAATTCCCACGTGTTTGTTTCTCCCAAAGCCCCGCCAGCACCCGGGAGGCGCTCCGTGCTCCTGGGAACGGGTCGGAGAGCGCGGCCACCTGGGCTCGCCGCCGGGGCCACACTCTCCCTCTGCCCTTCAGGCTGGGGGCGGCTTCTGGGGGGAGACGCTTGGTCTGAAGTGCGGGGCGTCCGCCGCTGGGGGGTCCCCAGATCCTCTCTGGCGACGCTGACCTGGGTGACTGGTGGGCACTGACAGGAAATCAGGACGGAAACCACGGCTCGCTTGCTCACGCTGCTTTCTCTCGTTTTCTCTCTCTTCCTTCCCAGACACTGGCGTAAAAGATAACATCTATAGGAAACCCCCCATCTACAAACAGCACGGTACGGCTTTCTCTGCTGCCAAGTGGCCCCCACATGCCTGTCGTCCCTGTGCCCCCGAGTCCTTGCTTTGTTGTGCTGATGTGTGGTGGGGCCCCCACAGAGGCGCCGCAGCCTGCGTGTGACCCGCAGACTCGCCTGCAGGGCCCGGGAGGGGTGCTTCTTTGTCGGGGCGGTGAAGGGTAGCCTGTGTGTTGTAACCCTGAGGCTGATGCATACCAGACCGGCTTGGGATGGGTCGGGCTTGGGATGGGCGCTTGTGCCAAGAGCTGGCTTCGGTGGCTGGGGTTTGCTACTTTGAGAGAAGCGCCCGACTCCCTGCAGCCAAGGTGGAGAGGGCCAGCGGCTTCTTGGACCGCGGCCTGAGCCCGCCTGGCCACGCCAGAGTCGGTCCTGTAGTTCTGCGTGGGAATCTGAGGCCCGCGCCCAGGGCATTTCTGACGAGAGAGCGGACGGCCTGGCCTCCGGGGAAGGAGATGCATTGCGTCGGCAGATGGGGGCTGGAGGTGTTGGGTGGCACGCGAGCCTCTCGGTGCCCAGTCTCCCTCCAGAGGTGGCCCCGCACTTCCCCTCCGCCTGAGCCTGTGGGACAGGTGTGCAGGGAGCAGGCGGCGGGGCCCTGGGGCAGGAGGCAGAGGCGCCAGGTGTCTTCACGGGATTTCTGGGTGAGTCGGGCGCCAGCACCTGGAGCCTCTGTTTCCTCGCCCGCACGGTGGGGTGGCCCTCCACCCGCCCTCGCCGCAGGCTCCCTGTGCGCCCGACGGCGTGACGCGCGTGGGGCCACGCCTGACCCTGGGAAGGGCCTGGCAGGCGGCGGGGTGTCGTCGCCAAGTCGTTAGGGAGACGGGGAGAGGAGTCCCCACACAAGGAGCCCCACGTCTTGTTCAGACGCGCCCAGAAAACAGCCGCGGCCCACCCCGGCACGTGCTGGACGCTCCCGCGGGAACCCGGCACAAGGGTGCTCTCGGGGGCTCGCTGACGGAGCCCCGGTCCCGCTGTGCCAACGGCAGGGTTTAAAATCTTCCCCTCACTTGCAGTCGGGCTCAGGCTTTGGGTGTCTCTCCCGCCTCCCAAGAAAGGAAACGAATGGATGAGAACACCTGGGTTTCCAGACATTTACCACGGCCTCCCACCAGGGAAGCTTGGAGCCCAGAGCCCCCGGAGGGTCCACGCGGGGAAACGGAGGCCCAGCTGAAGGAAGCTCTGTCCTTCCACGTGCCACCCGTGGTCAGGTCCTGCAAGGGGTGGATCGCTCGCCTTGTGTTGGCTTCAAATGTGTCTTTTGCACACGGCAGGGTGGGGGTGGGCCCCCAGCGAGGAGGTTCAGCCAGTCAAGTCCTGAAACTGCTCGGTAGCGTGGGTGTGGCCCGGTCACGCCCAAGGCAAGACCTGCGGACAGGGAGCCCTCCTGGAGGCGCAGGGAGAGGTTAGAGTGACCAGGGACCCCTGCAGGTCGCTGTTGTTGACCTGGATAGACACGCCTCTCCTACCCAAAGGACCGGGCCCTGAGCAACGACCAAAATCCTTTTCACGGTCCAGAATTTAGGCATGTTGATATTTTCATGAAGTACATTTCACAGAGCGCCTACTTGAAAGCAAACAGGACTCCGCTCGTGTGGCGGGGGGGCTTCCCTGAGCCCGCCTTCCTCAGCCGGCCCTCGGGGAAGAGCGGGCGTGCGGCACGCGTTGCGTTGCCCCTGCACCGCAGATGCCTCGTTTTTACAAGCTGTGCCCACCCCGTTGCAGTGCGCCCTGTGTGTGCGTGTGCGCATGCCAGCTTGTGACACCGTGCGTGCGTGTGTGCATGCGTGCAACGTCCCCAGCCCCAACCTCAACAAACTGGGTGACAATGTGGAGTCCCTGGGCCATTTAATTAGTTTAAGGTAATACATTCGATGAGCTAAAACGTGGCGCATTTTGAGGGATGTGTTTCTTTTTCAGTTTTCCCGTTCCCACTCACCCGAGGTTTGATTTTTAGTTAGCACCGCTCTGCCCTGATGCCCTCGCCTTCTTCCCAGCTTTGGGGCCTGAGCCTCCAGCCGCGAGGGTGGCCAGGCCTGCGGGGCAGGGTGGGGATGATGGTGCTGAGAACACAGTGACTGGCATTCGTGTGGCGGCCACGGGATGGGTCACTGCCACACAGGGCACGCTCCACACGTGACGGCCTGTTTCCTTCCAACTCTCTGAGGTTGGCATTACCATCGGTGAGGAAACGAAGGCTGGGCAGTCACATGACCCGCCAGTGGCCACGCTGAGGTCCACCCCCACGTCTGCTGACCCCTCACCTCTGACCCCTGGCCCAACAGCCTTTCCTTGTACTACATCAGTCCAACTCCAACTCCACGTGGTTACAATTTTTTATTTTTAGAGAGAGCAAAAGGAGGGAGAAAGAGAGGGAGATGAACATCAATGTGTGGCTGCCTCTCGCGCGCCCCCTACGGGGGACCTGGCCTGCAACCCAGGCACGTGCCCTGACTGGGGATCAAACCAGCGACCCTTCGGTTCGCAGGCTGGTACTCAATCCACTGAGCCACGCCAGCCAGGGCTCCACTTATTTACAATTTAATGGTTTTTTTAAATAAAAGAATAAGAAAGAGAAGGACAGAAGCAAAAGGCATGGAAGATACAGAGAAAGGGCACAGGACGGGAAGAACCCATCTGTGCATCGGGAGCAGATCAGGGGCAGGGGCAGCGCAGGCCAGGCGGAGGGCAGTGCCACCCCGGGACCAAAAGCTTAGGTGCCGCTGGGGACATTTTTGGCGTTCCTCCGAGCACAGGTCACTCGCAGTCACGCTGTGAGGCAGACCCGACTCAGGCCACCGCAGCCAGTCCCCGTCCGTCCCCGTCCCCGGCTCACACCTGCTCAGAGTCCTGCTCCTTCTGGGCAGCGACGCTCAAGGTCGCCGCCCTGCCTTCCGGCCTCCAGGGGCGTTTGGGGAGGCGAGCTGAGCCTCCTCCGCAGAGAGCGGGACTTCCGGCCGCCAGTCCCTCCAGGCGGTGACTCTGGGCCAGCGTCTCGGCTGTTTCCAATGAATTCAGGAAGAGCAGGGACACCTCTCCGTTCCCCAGAAAGTGAGCAGGACCGAGGCTTCAAGGTTTATTTCATCTGTAACCTGACAGGGGCCCTCAGAAGGCGTGGCGGGGGAGCTGCTCTGGCGCAGCTGGCCGGCATAGGGTGCCAGAGCTTCACCCCCAGACCAGGTGGCAACGGTGGCCCCGCGCGGCATTCCTCGCGCACGGCTGTTTCTTTGGTCCCTGGTTTAAAATGGAATGACCCATGCATGGTGTGTCTCTGGGGTTGTCTCGTTTTGGTTTTGGGGTCCTCTTGGGGTGGGAAGAAAGGGAAGGCAGGTCCCTTATCCAGAAAGAAAGTTAGAGGCCCCGGTGTCACTGGGATGCCGCCGACACGGGCTCCTGAGGGACCCACAGCGGGTGTCGGCCTTTCCCGGGAGGGTTCCCGTGGCCCGTGGCTTCCGGGCTCAGGAGGAGCTGCTTGTGCGCTGGGACAGACACTCCCCCCAGGTCCCCCTGTCCCCCTGCACGGCCCTGTCCTCTCCCGGCGCTGAAGCAGCATGCCACAAACTCGCCTCTCAGTCACCCTCTCGGGGATGCCTAAGCTTTCAAACCCGAACGCCCCGCCTGTCACGGCATCCACATCATCCCACGTGGCCCTCGCAGGCACGGTCATCCGCTGCCCAACTTACAGATCGGGAAACTGAGGCTCAGGCAGGCGGCGGACAACACCCCATCCTGGGGTCGGGGTTCCCGCCTTTTCCTGCCCCACTCCCAGGTCCCGGGAGGGCGTCGGGCCGCGATCCGTGGGCTGGTGATGTAGGGCTCTGAGGAGGCCTGGGTTCGAGTCAGGCTGTGAGCGCTGTTTGCAGAGGAAACTGGTTAAAGCTTGGTGGGGCGCCCCGCCCCCGTCAGGCAGGGGAGCTGTTTCTGAGCCCTGCCTCTCGCAGGTCCAGCCCAACCGGCCGTCCTCAGCTGCGTGAAGTCCTCAAACCCAGGGGGCCCCGGGGCCTGGGCTTTGAGGGCAGGGGCTGCACGTCCCACAAGGCGCTAAGCAGCCTTTGCGCTCACAAATCACCCCGAGTACAGCGTCCATTTGGGGTCCCTCAGGGCCGCAGCTCCCTCCCTTCTCCGGGCTGGACGGGAGCCGCTGGCCTGATTGTCCTTGGGGCTCCCCGGGCAGCCGCCGAGAGTCGTGGCCGGAGTAGCATGGCCAGGGCCGCAGCCCGGCCGGCTGGCGCGCAGGCTCCTCCTGCAGACCTGGCGTTGACCTGCCCCCGTGCACGGAGGGCTCAGGGCTTCTTGTCTCCACGGTGAAAAGGAAACCCCCGACTCTCCCAGAGGAAGGAGAGGCCCACCGCCAGCGGGAGCAGCAGGGCGTCGGCGTCTCCAGAGCGGTCCCCGCCTGTGGCCTTATCTGGTCCAGGTCCTGTAGCCCGGTCCCCAGGCTCCCAGCTCTCGGGCCTGGGCTCAGGCTTATCCCCAGTAGCGCGCAAGGCAGGGCGCTGCCCAAGGCCGGCAGCCCCAGCCCCCTGCAGGCTGCAGGCAAGGAGCCCGCGGGCATGTCCTTCCCACGGCCGCGGTCTCGGCCCGGCGGGGGGACGGACCCGGGGTTCCTTTCGCCGCCCCGGGCACGGGGCGGTGCGTCAGTGCCGGGCGCACGGCATGGGTCCATACCGGCTGACTGGATGGTGGCTTCTTCGCTTGGACTTAGTAGGAGAGCGTGCGGTCTAGCTGGATGGCCACCACTCAAAAAGGCCAGTGGAGGACACGTCTTGGGAAAGGGACGTGCCGGCTCTGGCCCACTGCGGTCGCCTCTGGGTGTGTGTGGGACCCCGTCCCTGCCCTTCGTGGACTTCACTCACTCGCCCGCCTGTGATGTGGGGGCGGCCGGCAGTGCGATGGGGCGGGCAGAGAGGAAGGACCACCCGCCGAGCCAGGACCTTGAACCCGGGGAAGGCGCAGCACCGCTCTGAGCCTTGCCCTCTGACCTGTGAGGGGGGCTGCCTGGGGCTCGGCAGCCACGCCCCTGAGGCCCCCCGCGGAGGCCCACCCAGGGCAGGCTGGGCGGCGGGATTTGCGTGCTTTGACGTCCGACTTGGGAGGTACAAAGAGCGCTCTTCAAAATGCCAAGCGGGTCCTCTACAAATGGCCTGATCTTTGGGGTGGGGGGCGGGGGTGTTGGCAGGAACCTCACCAGGTGCCCCTCATGCCCCTGCTCTTGGTTTGGAGGGTGCCTCCTGCCAGGGCACACAGCCCCTCCCTCCCCAGGCACTGTCCGCCCCCCCCCCCCGCCCCGCCCCGCCCCGCCCAGCCTTCTCTGTGCACCTGGCTTCTCAGGCCTTAAAAGGCAATCCTACAGGCGACCTTAACTTTGGTTACTTTGCATTTCTGAGCATAGCCCTACAGTGGGAGCAGGGGTGTGAAAACCCAGGATGAATGGCAAGCTGCCTTGACCAATCTGGTTTTCCCTTCCAGCCTCCAGGCGCCTGGATGGGGAGGACGGAAGTTTTGACCAGGATAACAGGAAGGTAATGCGGAAGCGGACCCGCTTTAGGGCGAGCCATGAAGAAAGAAATAGGGTTCTGTGGGCGCTTGTCCAGCGTGAGACCTCAGGCTCCTCCTCTCAGGCCGCTCCTAGGAGGCCCCACGAGGTCACGTGGAACAGGGGCCAAATCCAGGGGCTGGGGTGGGCTCCTTCCCCCCAGCCTCCCTCTGACCTGCGAGCCCAGCCCAGGCCCCGCCCACATCCTCATGCTGCGCCTGGCGGCTTGGTTATGCCCTGTGACTGAGACAGCAAGTAAACCGCAGCACGTTCCAGGAGCACCTGAGAAGACTGCTCGAGGACGGGCTTGGCAGGAGTCTCTAGTGAGGGGCCCGCGTGTGTCTCTTGTTTGGACTTCCCGCCTCGGGGGCTGTGGCCCCTCTGTCCTTGGGGAAGCAGGCGTGTGCGGAAGAACCAAGGCTCGCTCGCCTGGCTCCCCCCGTGTGAGGCCGTTTGGGCCCAGACCTCCCTGAGCCTCGGTTCCCTCATCTGGAAAACGGTCAGTGCCGTGGCAGAGGACCTCGAAATTCACGCGACCCTTTTGTGTTTCTCAGCAGAAGGCCAGCTGGCTGGTTCTCAAGGGGGACGCGGGCACGAGGACTAGCTCTCCAGACCTGGACGGCCAGTCCCTGTCCCACAGTAGCGGGACCGACAGAGACCCTCTCCAAACCGTTCCAGGAGACAACTTTTACTCACGTGAGTGGTTCTTTTGAGCAAGGAGCTGTCCACATGGCCTGAAACGCCTCACGGCCAAGGGGCCCCGCCTCACCAAGCCGGTCCCCTAGACCTAAGCCTGGCTCATTAAACAACTTAGGAGCAAACAGACAGGCTCAGGGCAAATCAGGCGGGAGGCGGGCCCTTTGTGCTTGCCCCGCCCCTCGGCCGGGTGGGTTAGCAAATGCTTCGCCCGGCCCACCCGTGGGCTGAGCCAGCTGGTCCCCAAGGACCTTGCAGAGCCGGCAGGAGGGCAGAAAGCCAGGCTGGACGCGGGCGCCCCTTTCCCTCCAGAGCAGGCGCGGGCGCGGGCCAGGCAGTGAGTCCAGACTCGGAGTCGATGGCAACGGCATTGTCCCCTGTCCCGTGTTTGCCCTGAGCAAGGGACTGGGAGTCGGGACTTTATATCTGAGGGCACACAGGAGACAAAGATGATGTCATGAAGCCTGAGTTAGCTGGAGCTGCCTTCAGATTAGGACAAACTCCAGAGAACAGTCCCCACTTCTCAAGAAGAGCAGCAGGTCGAAGGCCCGCAGGGGACCCCGGCGACATCTTCAGGGCACAGCGGGCCGAGGGTGGTTTTCTGGGGCCAACCTGAAACTTAGCTTGGAAGCGGAGGCCTCGCGAGGACACGCGGGTGTGGGGCCATAGAGAAAAGGGGCCGGCTTTGCCAGAGACACACCCAAGTTCAAATCCCCACTCACCACAACCGCGTGGGGCCGTGACGCCCACCTGGCCAGGCGGTTGGAGCCCCAAAGCGGGGGACGCGCGCCCGCAGCCTGTGCACTGCGGGACCCCCAGCAGAGGCTCCCCAAACAGACCGCCGGTCCTCATCACATCGCCCTCTGCCGTGGCGACAGTGTTCTGATGGGAGAGGACAGGGACGCTCGGTCGCTGTCGTTGTGAAAGAAGAACCGAGGCCAAGGAAAGCTGCTTGTTCTGTGCGTGACCCTTGCAAGCAGGGACCTGTAGCCCCCGTGCCTCTGTCCCCCAGGGGTGCAGCTCCCCAAATGTCAGAGGCTCGGAGCCAGGGCCCAGGGCCGCTGTCACGGGAAGGTCCCACCCACAACGTCCCCCGAGGGGCTCGTCCAGGAAGGCGCGCTTCTCCGGGAGCAAGTCTGGGAGGGACGTGGCAGCTGCACGTCCCACCAGCAGCAGGCGGCCGTGCAGGCCTGGTGACAGGGAGCCGGTGGGCGGGCTCCTGACCCGGCGGCAGCGGCAGCGGCAGCCACGGGTCCTACGGCCCCCCTGCTCCCGGTACCCAGTGCCCCAGGGTGCAGGGCTTGCGTGCGGCCCCGGGCCTTTCTGCTTGTGCCCCCTTTTCCTGACATTGTGTTTGGAAGGCATGAGCCCCGGCGGCCGCGGCCCGGCGGCCCTGCGGCGGCCCCTTCACCCCCGGGGACACCAAGGCCTCAGCCCCGGGCCCCGAGCTCCCAGTAATTTATCCGGGGACCTCAGGGCCGTCTTCTCTGCTCTCCGCCCAGCCCTCCCAGGGTGGCGGGGGCCCTCCTCTGGAGGCCGGGGGCACGTCCCCCGCTCTCCTCCGGGGAGGTGGGTGGCTGCCCCGCGGCTCCCGCCTGTGGTGGTGGCCTGCCCGCAGCTCGCGTGGAGGGGGGAGGGGCGCCTGCCGGCACCGCTGACCTGCACCATGCCCTGTGTGTGTCGCCTTTGCCGCAGCGCTCAAGGTGTGTCGCAACATCCTCCTCTGCAAAGGCTCCCAGGTGCCCTGGGGCCGCCCGCAGTGGCCTCCGGGAGGCAGATGTCGCGAGGCCCGGGGGCCGTGCCAGCAGTTTCGATTGGCCAGTCCCACAGCCGCAAGGGCTTGCTTGTCCGCTCCGCCCCTCGCTGCCTCGTCACACCTGCACATGCAGCCAGAGGTGCGGCCGCGGCCCACACAGCGTGCCCCTGGCCTGGGGCTGCGCAGCCTGTGCTGGAACCCCTGACCGGACTGGACGATCCCCGCAGAGAACAAACAGCGTGTGTGTGCGCGTGAGCGTGTGTCCTGCGCTGATGCTTGCTTACGGTGACAGGCATCCTGAGCCTGTTGTCCGCTCGCCATCTCTTGGTATCCTGACGTCGGGCTCCCGGAGCGGGAGCTGACTGTGTCCTGCCATTGCAGTTGTGACTTGATTTCTGTCCTTGCGACTGTGCCTTGCTTCCCGATGTGCGCAGAGGCAGCGGCGAGCGCCCACCGCGGGCCTTGCTGCCTGCCGGCCTCTGAGGGGATTGGGGCGGCATGGGCGGCGTTCCTAAAGGACCACCCACCTCTTCCCGGGGTTCCTTTGAGTCCCGAAATGCGAGCTCATCGGCACCAGTTCCATTCGCAAACCGCTGTTACTACGCAAGGCCTTTGCAGGGGGCCAGGCGTGCTCACCTGCACCCCGGGACATCCGTCTGTCGTGCGCCCACGGAAGCTAGGCTGTGACATCCAACACAGCGGGCGCCCAATAAATGTTTGTTGAATTGAGATGCATTAAATTCAACGGGTATTTATTGAGCGCCCACTCTGTGCCAGACGCTGCGTGGGGCGCCGAGTGGGGGCTGAGAAGACGCGGGCGCGGCCGCAGAGGCCGTGCAGGGAGCCGGGAGAGGCAGGGGCGCGGGCAGGAGCCGGCGAGCACCCGCGTCCCGCCGCCGCCTGCTGGGCCCTCTGGGGGCTCCTGGGGACCAGCCCCAACCTCATCCCGCTTACAGCGCCCTCCACACCTCTCACCCGGGGTGGAACCGCCGTTCAGCCATTCACCCATCTGTCTGTCACACGCTGCTTGGGCGCCTGCTGTGTGCTGGACACGGCGCTATAGGCAGCGCAGAGGTGGCGGTGAACACGGCCCGATCCCATCCCCGGCCGGGAAGCCGTCGATCGAGCAGCAGTGACCAGCAGTGAGACGCCCTTCTCCTCGGTGGCAGTGGCCCGCAGGCAGTGCCGCCGCGGCCTGCAGGGAGGGCGTCCTGGTGAGACAGGCTGCCGCTCACTGTCTCCCCCCGGCCACGGCTCGTGGGGCGCGCTCTGGACCGTGCGTGTCGAAGGTTGTGTGATGGGGGAGCCCGGTTCCTGCACAGGAAAGGGGGGGTGGCGATGTTTTGTTACAGGAAGAGGGTCCCGGGGCTGACAGGATGAGGCGCGCTGTCCCCAGGGGACCCCGAGGGGATGAGGCGTCCACCGCTGGCCGGGACCCTGCGGACGGGCCTGCCGCCGCTCCAGGTCCCGCCTTCCTAACCGTCAGGCCCTGCCCTCTCTTTTGAGAGGCGGGTGGTCACAGGGGTGTCAGTGTCAGCAGCCTCCCCGCCAGCAGCCAGCTGGAGACCCTGCCTGGGGGACTCGCGGGTCCCTAGGAGGGAGGCGAGGCCCGTTCCTCGCGTCCCAGCACGTGAGACGATGGGGCGGCTCGGGGCTCGGGGTGACGCTCGGGGTGACAATCGAGGTGGCACAGGTGGCTGGCTCCGTGGGGGTGGCGGTGCCCCAACCCTGCCTGGGGCTTTGGCATTTGTCACTTTCTGTCTGCCCCGCCCCAGCCCTCATGGAGTCCCGCGTGTGAGGGGACATGCTTGTTGTCACCGGCCGTGTTACCCAGGGAGCAGCGGGCGTGAGGCTTGGTCAGGGGCGGCCGTCCTGCGGTTCCCTGTTACTCCTTTCAGTTTCACGGGGCGAGGACACGGCTCTCACACCCCTCGGTTTGCGGTTGAAAGAGGGAGGCGCCCTGAGCGGCTGCCCAGCTCGTGAGAATATCGGGCGGCGGGGGGGACGCACCTGGTTGGTGCGTCATGACCTGAGGCCCCAGGGGCAGAATCTCCGGGACTGCAGGGACATCGGGGTCCTTCCCCCTTTTACGAGGGGCCAGCGAGGGCACGGCCTGCCTGACCTCTGGCGACCCTTCCGTGAGTGCCTTCCAGATCTGCCACCGCGTCAGTGCCGGGCGGGGGGACGGAGCCCAGAGCAGCGCCCGGCCCCGAGGAGCCGACGTTCCCAGGCCCCAGGCCTCACTCAGGCTTCGAGAGAAGCTGGGAGTTAGGGTTTCGATGTGAAATCTCCCAGTTGCAAACAGCTCAGGATTCTTTAGAAAATGAAATGGTCTCCGGGCCCTTTGGCTGGTGGTGGGCGGGCCTCCCTTTGCCGCTCGCCCACTCCCGCCCCCCCGCCCCCCCCCCAAGGGCTCCTGGTGTCCTGGGCGGGCTCGGGACATGCCCACCTCCCAGCCTCTTCCTCAGTCCCTGGGACGGTGGTCGCGACAGAGGCAGGCGAGTCCTCAGGGGCCCTCCCGCGCCACCCGCCAGCCCTCCGCCCCGACTCTCACCCCTCGCGGGGCTGAGCCCCCCGCCTGCGTGACGGAGCTGTGCTGTGTCTGTTTCAGGGTTCCCCTATTCCAAATCTGACCCTCTCCCAGGACTTGGGAAGAATGGCTTGGACCACCGGGTAGGTACCCCCTCCCTGGCCCGTGGCGTGCTAATTTCCCCGCAAGCGTGAGCAGCTCCCACAGCTGCTTGACCACCCAGCCCGCGGAGGCCCCGGGGACCCCACCCGCCCGCCCGCCCGCCTGTGCCTGCTGCTCCCCTGCGGCGCCCCCGCCGCTCCCCCGGACCAGGCCAGCTCCCCGCCCCCGAGGGAGACCTGCGTGCGTAAGGGCAGGCGGGTGGGGGCCGCCCACGTCCTCCTGGTGTGACCCAGAACCTAAGGAAGACCTTAAACTGTGAGCCAACACCCCACCCGCTCCCTTTGCTGGATGCCACCGGCCCCTCACCGCCAGCACCGTCACCTTGATCCCACCGTGGGTGGCCTTGGCGCCGAGATCGCCACGCAGAGCGGTCGTTTCTGTCGCCACTCCCAGCTGAAGGCTGGTTGGACCCCCTACCCCAGGTGTCCCCAATCTTGGGACATCCAGAGGACAGCCCAGACCGTGCCGTGCCTGACTTGTCCCCATGGGGGGGAGGGGCCAGACCCTGATGAAGACTTGCCGGATTCTGTCCCTTCCCCCACAGCTTCCCTGGGTCTCCAATAAGGACCTCTCAGGCTGGGCGGGCGTGGTGACACCAGAGCACCACCTCCCCAGCTTCTCCCCACTGAGGACCTTTGTCCATAAACTAAGGCAATTCAGCTACAAGGGAAGCCACTCCGAGCCACTCATGGTGGTCTCAGCCAAGAGGACAGCTCCTCCAGCCTCCCCCAGAAGGGTCTCAGAGTCAGGGGCCAGGCCCAGGGACAAGGCTAAGAACAGGGACGTGTCCCCAGAGCCGCAGGTGTCCTCCTGGCTTCTCCGTCCACCCCAGCTCTGCTGGAGGAGCTGCTGCATCTGTCCTGGGCCCGGGCACCTCTGCGTGGTCAGGCCCAGTGACCGCTTGTCCCGGAATGAGCCGAGCCGGGCTGTGCATGCCGCCTGTTTCCTCCACTTTGCTTCAGTGGGTTTGCCCACCCCTCGTGTCCGCGTGGAAAGTGGGGGGATGAGAAAGCAGGACCGATGTCCACGGGATGCTCACAGCCTCAGGGGCTCAGTGTTAGGGTCCAAAGAGTCTGGGGACAGCGGGTCCAGACCCTCGGGTGGGGACCCTGTCCTCGTCCCCTCTTAGAACAGAGAGCAGAGGCTGGCTTTACAGAGCTCAGAGCCCCCTTCTGTGAACATCCTGGCCGCCCCGGGGCGGGGGGCAGCCTGTGAGGGAGCCCAGGTGTCCTCCTGTGTGTGTGGGGGGGGGGGTCCAGGAGGCGGGGCTTCATGGTCATGTGAAGATTCTCGCCTTTCACGTTGCTTTTGGGGCAGGGGATCGGGGAATGTCACAGTGATTTTGCTTGAGGTTCTTTCCTCCCTCCGTACATTTTCTCCTTTTTTTTTTGCTCTTTTGAAGACTCGTATGTAATGTCCTGCCGCCTTCTCAGTGGGAAGGCTGGGTGCTTATCTCTCGAGGACCAGCCCTTCGCCCTGCAGATCCCCAGGGGACGTGCCCCCCGCCCCCGTTGCCGGTGGCCTGCAGACCTCCCAAGTCACTTGTTACGTTGTTTCTTGGGTTTTTACTTCCTGAAAGGATTCTTGGTGGCCTAAAGTAAAAGCCCAGATGAATGTGACCAAAAACCTATTAGCACAAAGCCACGAGGGAAGAGAGGAGGAAACTGTAGCAGAAACTTGTATCAAAAACTAACAAAAGAGCATTGTCTCAGAAAGCCACGTGCTGAGCGCCGGCTTCCTGGTGGCTTTCCTGGTGGCCACGTGCAGCGCTCACGGCAGATGTAGGTGTGCCCGGTCTTGTTCTGAGAGGGATTTGTCAGCCCCCATTTGTCCTCGGCTCTTGAAAACGTCCCACTAACCAGCCTGCCACAGAGCCTGACCCTGATGGGCGTCACCGCTCTCCGGAGAGTAAGCAGAGAAGCAGCCACCTGCTGCTGGCTCTCCCGGGGACAGGTGCCACCGGCCTGTTTCCAGAGGAGGACCGCTGGCCACGGACGGTCCTGGTGGTAGCCCCCGGAAGGAGCCCCATCTCGAAAACCCTGACACTAAATATGAACAGACTTTCCTCCTAGAACACAGGGTGTCATATTAGAATTAACAGAACGCAATATGTAAAGCCAGGGGAGCACGCATAACTTAAATGCCCCCAACGCGATAAAGCACACGCGCACTGGCTGCAACCGCAGCGAGCAGGGCCGGTGATCCGAATACGATGCTTTTGAACTCAGATGTACGGATCCACCGAAAAATAGTGAAAAGCGCACAAGCGCTGGACGAGTGCGGATGGCAGAGGTCCTGCAGTAGGTGTATGAGAAACACGTGTGTCTTCAGAGTCCGGTTTTCCCGCGCCCGCAGCCTTTCCAGGATGTCCGGGGGTGTAACTACATGGACGACCTTCACAGGGGAAAAGGGTCTGACACTCTCCAGCCATGACGCTGCCGGAGAGAGCACGAGCCTTCGCACTGGACAGCCCAGGGTTCAAATCCCAGCCCTGCCACTGACGGCGGTGGGTTTGGGCAGACTGCACACATTTTCTGACCATTTTCTAGTCTATAAAATTGTCCTTACATCTTAAGGTTATTGTGAGGACAGGTGACACCATGGCTGTGAAATCTCGTAAGCTCTACCACGTGGTTCCCACATGAGTCATTATTATAAAAGCGAGTTCCTGCCGCTTTTTCCTTACGGGCTAGTGGCTGCTGAGCGCAGCAGCAGGGACCGGCGTGAGCGTTAGGGGGAAGGCGCACGGCCAGGGGCGAAGGACCACAGTGTCCCTCCTACTATCAGCTGGGCTAGCGCAACCTTTGAAAAGGAAAACACACGAGGGAGATTTTTCACACTACCATGCATATGCTGTGTGATCTTGGGCAAGCTACTTAACCTCTCTGAGCCGTGTTCATAAAATGGTCCTTGGGTTGCAGCGGAGATTAGTGAATGTGGCCATGGAGCAGCTGGTACATGATAACACCAAACAAATGCGGGAGGTGAATCACTTGTGGCTTTCACATTCTGTGGTCCCCTGCAGAGAACTGCAGGCATCAACCGGGGGTGCGCCTGCTGGGGTCTTGCCAGCCCCCACGCATGGCAGTAGCCCCAGGCTCCCCTGACCAGAGAGGCCTGGAAGACCCCAGCCCCGCTTGGCACCTAGAAGGCCAGGAAACGGCTCTGTCCCTGCTCTGGGCTGATCCCCCGCTTCCCCTCTCCACCCAGACTGCGCCCCACCCTCCCTCCTGGGAGGCTCCATTCTGCCTCAGAACCTGGCAGAGCCAAGGATGCCGGTTTTGCCCCTAGGAAGTGGGTTTCCAACTACCCAAGGTGGCCCTGGTGGCCAGTTTGGACGGCCTGCAATTCAGGGCAGTGGTCACTAGGGGGCAGCATTTCCCTTCTGTATCACAGACACGGAGGTGGAGGCAAGAGGCTGGCGGGTTTGCCTGGCTTTGTGCCAGGAGGAGGTGCGTGTCAGTGACCTGAGACAGGGTCTCAAAAAAGTGTTCTTGCAACTAAAGAGAAAGCTGGACGCAGATGCCTGGCCAGGGGCTCCAGGGCTGGGCCTGGCTCAGGCCGCGGAGGCACCAACCAAGACTCAAGAATGAAGACAGAAAATGTTTTAATGCCATGTTTTTAAAAATCCAAATTAATGCAGACAGATCCACGATGAGCAAAATATCAAACATTTAAATAAAGACCAGCTCCAATCCTGCACTTAATGTGCTGACTGCCCGCACTGCCTCAGTTTCCCCTGTTTGGGTTTGGGGTGACAGACCTGGGCCTCTCTGCCCTCTGAGGCCTCTGGCCCCACACATGTGAGCCCTGGGAGCTCCTTGCCCTGCCCCCCCATCCCTGCCTCTGCGGGGAGTTAGAGCTGAAAGCACTTTTCCTTGTAATGCAATCGGCGGGCGCAGAAGGCCGCCTCGCCCTCCACAGCGGAGCTCTCTCCCCGAAACTGAACCCCGTGCCCAGTCCTGGAAGCTCTGGCCAGGAGCCCTGGCTCTCTGTGGGGCCCATATCGGGTGCAGGAGTCGGATGGTGGTGGAGGGACAGACCCCCGCGGGGCTCGGCAGGTGCTTACCGGGGCTGGGGGTGGCACTTGCAGGCGGTCGCAGAAGGGAGAGAGGCTTCCGGGAGTTCACGGTCGCGATGCATTAAAACGGCAGCACTCCCTGCCAGCGCGGCGGACAGGTGAGGAGGCAGCCGAGGCAGGCGGCAGGCCTCTGGGTCCCCGTCCCCTCAGAGCGGTGTCACCCTCTACATGTCCTCGTCAGCTGCAGCCTCTCTGTATGGAGCGCTCACAACATGCTGGGCTCTGCCCCAGGGCGCTGGCTGTAGAGACACGGGCCCGGAGCACCTGGGGACGGCGGGGTCCGGAGGGGAGCAGAGGCCCCGGCAGAGCAGGCTGCATGCTGAGCCGCCCGCCAGGGTCCACGCCAGCTGCAGAGCCCAGGGACCCGGCGCCGGGAGCACCTTTAGAGACGGTTCAGTAGGAGCCGCCTGGACCGGGGGGCTCCGCGCAGGCCTGGACAGCAGCGGGCGGCCTGTGAGCAAAGCTGCCGGCTGAAGGTGTCTGCAGGTCTGTGGCCACCGCCCTCCCTGCCCAGGCCGCCAGGACCCGCCGCCTGCCCGCCCACCCCTGCGGCCTGCCTCCTGCCGCCCTTTCTCTTTCTCTTCCAGAATGCCAATTTGGCCCCTGGCGGAGCAGACCCGGATGCCACCTGGGGCACGCGAGGTACAAGGAGCGGGGACCCCTGAGGTCTCTGGCTGGGGCAGGGGTCGCTAACGCATCCCCCCAGGGCCAGCTGGCTGCACGCACGGGGAGCAAGGGGAGCCGGGGGTGCTCGCCCCCCCTTCCCCAGGGACCGGCTCACCTCCGTTCTCCGGGGGCCCAGGTGCTCCCTCTCTCCCGGCAGCCTCTGCCCTGCCTGGGCTGCCACTCTGGTCCCTTGGGGAGTGGGGTCTGTGTGGGGATAGCTGTCCCCTGTCAGGGCACTGGCCAGCCCAGCCTCAGCCCCAGTGACCTTCCATGATGGTAAGAGAGGCAGAGTCACAGCAAAAGGCCCCGGTTCTGAGCCTAATGATGAAGCTGGGTCAGAGCCACCCTCGCTCGCCTTCTGGACTTCACCCGAGGGCTGCCGGCCAGCGGGGCAACAGGGCGGTCGCTGCACTGCCGGCTCTGAGCCGGCCCGGGGCCACTCCGCGCTTCTTCGCGCGGCCTCCCGAGGAGCGGGGCTCGCTCTCGTGGGCGGGGCTGCCCTGCAGGGCAGAGTGTGGGGTGTTGAAGCCTGGCCTTCTAAGAGCCTCTCCAAGTCCCGGGCTCGCCACTGGCACGCCCAGAATCCCACGTGTCACGTTGAAAACTTCAGGCGCCGGCCCCTCTCGCCTGGGTGTCCTGCCGCGGACGCTCCCCCGAGCCAGGCGTGCAGCCTGGGTGTCAGGGTTTGAGTGTCTGTGGGTTCTGCGCGCTCGCGGAGGCCTCTGTCCGTACGAGTTTGTTTTGAACAAGATGCTCTGGGTCCGGCGGGAAGACCTTTGCAACACGAATGTGCGGAACCAGCGTTAGGAACATAAGAAAAAGAGGCTGGGAGTGCAGGCCCCAGGGAGGCTGTGAGTCTCCACACACCCCCAAAGCCTCTGCCCGGACCGCGCCCTCCGCGGCGGGTAGGCTGAGGCAGGCAGCTTTCTTGGGCAGCTCGACCCACCCGGGGACACCCTGCCAGGGACACCGTGCCGCGTCCGGCTCCCAGTCTGGCTCCAGCCTGCTGACCGCCGCCCGCTCTGGGTTTCCCACTGAGGCCGGCAGGCCCCTCCTCCCGCTGTGGCTCCAGGGCAGCCTCTGGGGGACAGTGGCGGCGCAGCCCAGCTGACTGCAGGGGTGGGGGCGGGGTCCCCCAAGGGATGGCTTCCACCGTGGGGGCCAGTGCCTGCGCTTTCTCAACAGCCACTGTGCTCTCTGCTCTTTCTCTTACAGAATACAAGGTAAGAGGGGCCACCGCCTGCGCCGACCTCTGACCTCTCCCTGCTGCTCCTGCCCAGGTGAAAAGTTCCTTTTGTTGTTCTTTTCCCGTGACACGTGTGTCCGATGCTGATGCAAGTAGGCCCCACCCCCTGGCTCAGGCTCAGCTCCTCCTCCCGGCTTGAGCCTGCTTCCCAGTGAACCCGCGGTCTCCTCCCCGAACAGGTCTATCCTTATGACGCCCTCATCGTAACAAACCGAATTCGCGTGAAACTGCCCAGAGACGTGGACCGGACGAGGCTGGAGGTAAGAGAGGGCTCCTGGGAGGGTCCTTCCGCTGAGCGACTCTGCAAGCACCTCATTCAGCACTTGTCACCCCTGGGTGTCCCCACTGGGGACGGCGCGGGCACAGCAAGGGCTTGGGTCGAGGACCCGTGTTGGTTCAGAGGCAGGAGAATGCTGTGGGGTGCCGGGGTGCCCGGGTGCCCGGCAAAGGCGGCCGTGCGGGGAGGCCGCAGCTGTTTGCGGCCCGGACAGGAGAGGCTCGGGCCTAACCCAGTCACGCTCATCTGTCCCCCGGGTCCGGACAGTGGAGAATTGTCCCGATCAACACACGGCGTCTCGTGACCAGGACAATACACTAATCTGTGGAGAGCAAGTGCGGCTGCCCTTGCACAGCGCGGGGCGGGGGGTGAAGCAACCCCCAGCACAGCCGAAATCCGAGTGTGACCTTTGACTCCCCCAACCTGAATGACAGCCGTACCTCGGTGTCCACAGGGGTGGGTTCCGGGACCCCCCAGCCAGTGCGCAAGTCCCTCATATAAAATGGTGCAGAACAACACGCACAGTCTGCCTCCTGCATCTGAGGGTTCCCAACCGAGGATCGAAAGCAGTGCTTTGGAGCGATCCGCAGTGGGTCGAATCCAGGGATGTGGACCCAGGGGCACGGAGGGCTGACGGACACTCAGTGAGAAAGTCCTCGATCGGTGGACCCGCACGTTTGGACTCGGGCTGCCGAGGGGTCAGCTGTGTTGTGTCTGAAAGGCCCCTGGGATGTCAGCGCGGGGTAGGAACTTGGATGATGTCGTTGCCTGGAAGACCTGGCCTGGCTGCGCCCCTCCTGTGAGCCGGGTCCGAAGGGGCCCGCGTGCAGCGTCTTCCTCCCCGGCGTCCCACAAAGTGACCGACGTCCAGACAGTGGGGCGCACCTCCCGAGCCGGGTCAGGAATGTTTTAGTGCCTTTTAAGGACGATTTCACGGGGTGTGAGGGCTTTGGAGGTTCCTGAACGCCCAGGGCCATCCCGCCCCCTCTGTGCCCCACCGGGCCTGGGCACACAGCAGGTGCCGGGGGCATCGCAGGCCGGCTGCGCGTCCAGCCAGCGCCAGCCCCGCCGGCCTGCCTGCCCCGGGCGTGACTCGGGCGGCTGCCGGGAGGGGAGCCCTGGGGCCGTGGAGGCAGCCCCATCGAGGGCTACGGAGGAAGCGCCAAGCTGGCCCGTAGAGGAGGGACAGGACTGTCACCAGCAGAGAAGGGGGACCACGGGAGGGTCTTCCAGGCCAAGGGGCCCGTGAGCCCAGAACCCAGCAGCCACCTCCCGCAGGGGCGCCGCCCGGCGGTCTCGCGCCCGGTCCCTGGCTGCCTCTGCCTGGGCCTCCCTGGGACAACCCCGTTTTCTGTGCAGGTCGCCCTCTGGCTCCGCTGAGGTGGGGTCCGTGGTCACGGTGCGGTCGCGTCCCCAGGACAAATGTCACTCCTGTGAAATGGGCTGCTCCGGCTGGGGGCCCCAGGGTCAGGAGCTGCCCGGAAGCTGCCGTCGTGGGCCTGGCTCCCTAAGAGGCAGCCCCGCGGGGCAGGGCTCCCTTCACGCAGGGGAGCTCAGCAAGCTGTCTACCCGGGCGCAGTGGTGGCCTTGGGGCCAGAGCCACGGGGACTTGCTCCTTCCCCTTGGGGCTGGGGTGCACTTTGAAGGACTCCCATCCTACTCCACTCTCTTTGCCAGGTACCGAGTGACAGGTGCGAGATACCAAGTAGTTAATACCTGCGAATCTTTCCTTTTGAGAAAACGACTGTGTTTAATCGCTGAGATCTCCAAGCACATGCCCCAGGGTGCATCCCTGTCCTCCTGTCCTCTCTCTCTCTCCCCCCGCTCTCTCTCCGCCCCCCCAACCCCCTCAGCCTGCCCAGAGGGAGACTGGAACGGTGGCCGCCAGGGGGCCTGTCCCACAGGCATCAGGGCTTGGAGGCAGACGTGAGCCGGCCGGGCTCAGGCGGGGCTCAGGCGGGGCCACGTCCCCATCGGAGAGGGGGGACCCTGACGGTTTCGTTTCAGAGGAGAGAGCTTTATTTTTAACATAAAAACAATCCATGACTCCTGTAAAACTCCGGAAGAAGACAAAGGGGAACGTAAACATCCCTCAGAATTCCCCGCCGGGCTGACCGCCACAGTCCTGGAATCGCTCCCCTGTGGACGCCCACGGTGCTGGCCGTGTTCTGGGTGGGGCGGCGCACCCCGTTCATGCAGCTGGACGCCTGCCCGTTTCTTTCTCCTTGACCGTTTCCCACACCCGTCCATGGGGAGCCGCCCGTCCCTTTAAACAGCTGCATGGCGGCCCCACGTCCGTGTTCCCCACGTGGGGGGCCCCGAAGGCCAGGCATCGCTCCCGCTCGTGCCCCGCTGGCTGAGCCCGGTCACAGGGCCAGGCCACGTGCAGGGCAGGCTGGGGCGGCGGGGCGCCCAGCGAGGGGAGCGGGCGGTTCCAGTGGGCAGCGGCGGGGCCCACCACACCTCTGCACGGCCAGGCCCCGGAGGAAGGCTGCTCGTCACGGGGTGGAGGCGTTCTGTCCACCCCGCCCCCGCCGCCAAGTGCTGGGCTGAGTCTCACGTCCCCGGGGTGAGAGTGGGTCCCCGGGGGGCCGCCAGCAGGAGCCCCACCATCACAGACTCGGTCTGGCAGGGGAGGCAGGCATCAGCCAGCTGTGACCCAGAGGAGGGTGTGTGATTGATTACTCACCGACGTACGGGCTTCAGGGGGGTGGGAGGCGGGCCTGTAAGTGGCTGAGCATGGGTCCCCGTTAACCGGGTGCCCTCAGTGAGCCTGCACGTGGCAGCGGAAGCGAGTCCCTGGAGGAGTGACGGCCGTGCAAAGGCCCTGGGGCGGGAGGAAGCGCGGGCTGTGTGAGGAGGCTGAGGTGGCCGTGCCTGAGCAGGGGACTCTGAGGACAGCCAGGCCGCGCAGGGCCCTGGGCCGTGCGCAGTCTGGGGTTGGCCTAGAAGCAGCAGCTTTCAAGTGGGAGACGCAGGGATTTGGTCTGTCATTTAAAGCCACACGGGCGCCGCGCTGTGAGGCCTGGACCGGCTGTGTGGACTCAGGGAGCCTGTTCAGGGAGGAGTCAGGCCGCGTGAGCAGGACCCGACCCCACGGACAGCAGGGGCAGAGCCGAGGCCGGAGGCGGGTGGGTCTGGGCAGTGGTGGGGGCCCGGGGCGGCGGGCCTTGGAGACGGCGGGGTGCCGTGGCTCCTGGCCGTCGGGCGGGGCGGCGGGCGGCGGGGTCGCTGGGTGGAGTGTGAGGAGCCAGGACTCTGACGGCGGCTGACGCTCCGGCCCCGAGGCCCGGCCGAGGGATGGCAGGCCCCGCGGGCCGGAGCGAAAGGCGCCCGGAGGCTCCTGGCAGTGCCAGTGGGCGCTCGGCGGTGCTGGTGGCTTGTTGAGGTGGCGTGATGATCCTCTCCGCTCCGGAGGGCTGGTCCCCTGGGAAGCGGGCAGACGAATCGCGTGACCCCGGCGGGCAGCGCGGGACCGGCCGGCCGGCTTCCCCACTGGGCCCGAGGCCCCCACTGGCTGTCCTGGCGGGTCTGGGCCCGGCCCCTCCCCAGGGCCTCGAGCCTGGGAGCCCCTCAGCCCCTCCTGGCGCCGGGCAGTTGCCCTCTGAGGGGCCGCAGGGCTGGAGCTCCGGTTTGAAGGGAAGGAGCTTGCCTGTCCCCAGGAAGACGCAGGCGTCCGCCTGCCTGAGGCGCCCCCTGCCCAGCTCTGCCTGGCACTGGCCCGAACGGCCACTGTGGTCGTGCGCCAGCCCCTTGCTGTCCGGCGTGGCATCCTGGCGGAAGGAGAGACGCTTAGGGACAGGGTGACCTGGTGGGAGTCCAGGACCTGTCACATCCAGCTGTGTGACTGGGCAAGTGACTGAGCCACCCTGAGCCGACTCCTCCCTGTCAAAGGGCGCTGCGCAGGCTGTCCTGCCAGGCGGCGGGAGCACCGATTCAGTGGCTGGGAAGCAGTCACCGGGCACCAGCCGTGAGCAAGCGCCGGGCGGGGCGGGGCGGGGGCGTGCGGTGCGTGCGCAGTTCAGTTATTCGGTCCTTGTCGTCCCCACTTCCCCAGCCTGAGACAGAACCATGCAGGTGACAATGGATTAGAGAAAGCTTTCCACGGGGACGGGGCAATGGGAGGGCCAAGCACCACGCCTGCTGAGAGCTTAACGAAAAGCCAGTTGCGTGGGCGCGGCGATAGCCGCGAGGCTCAGCCACCTGGAGGGGAATGGGCGCCCTCATTGGCACCAAACACGGGCAGCCAGGGGGACCCTGAGGCCCTGTCGGGTCTGGTTTAGGGAACAAACATTTGTCTGCTCCACGGCGGTGCTCCAGGCTGTTCCACACACGGGTGTCACACTCGATGTGGCAGCTGCCGTGGGACTTGGAGGCGGAGAGGCCAGAGGACCGTCCTGGGCCCACAGCTCCCGAGAGACAGAGCTGGGACACCAGCTAAGGTGTCGCTCAGAGCCACCGCACTGTGCCGTCTTCCCAAATCAATGACACTCTGCAAAAGGAACTGCGAACACCCCCTCCATGCCTCTCGACCTCCCAGTGCACGCATGCGGACACTCGGTTCCGTAAGCAGGACACCCTCCCAGCCAGGGTCCTCTGGCGAAGCAGCACCAATGGGAGGTAGACAGACAGACAGACAGACAGATGCAGATGGATGTAGACCTTTATCCAAGGAGCTGGCTTGTGGCACTGTGGGGGTTGGCTGGTCTGAAATCTGCAGGGCAGGCCAGCCGGGGGCAACTGGGCAGGCGCGGACGCGCTGAGCCAGACTTTCTCTCCAGAGACCTCGGTGGTCGGCCGGGGTCACGCAAAGTGCGACGCCCAGGCGGACAGCAAAGGGTGTGGGGGAAGGGGGCTGCGCGTCCGGCCCAGGCGCGGGCGCCGTGTCCCCGGGAGTCCCTGAGGTCAGAGGATTCGGCAGCCCAGGCCTTTCCTTTTGGGCTCTGGGCAGCGCGGGGCCAGCTGCAGGAAGGGGAGTGACTCCCCACAGTGGGTCCTGGGCTCCCGGAGGGGCCTCCAGGCCCTGGGGCCCAAGTAGTGAGGGCCCAAGTCTGTGGAATGTGCCTGAGAGAGAAGGACTTGCGGGGGCGGGGGGTGGGGCGCGGACAGGGGAACCAGCTTTGCTTAAACTCACCAGACCGGTCCCTTGAGAACCTGACAGACTGTGGTGATAGCGCCGGGTCCTGGCTGTGCACCTGTGTCAGAGGTGGATTGGCACCGGCGTCCACAGCTCTGGGGGCCCAAGAGGTCAGCTGTGGTTCAGCAAGGAGAGGCGTGGCTAGGGCAATCCAGGAGGGTCCGCTGGAGGAGGGGACCTTTGAGCAGGGACCTGTGGGAGGAGAAGGAGCCGCTACTGGCGGGGAGAGGGGGAGGAGCACCGCAGGCCCTGGGTTGGCGATGAGCCCGGAGTGTTCCAGAAGCCGTAGGTGGCAGGGGTCTGGCACAGCGCCGGGCGTTCCCTTGGTTGATCGCCGGTGTTCCTTTGATGACCTCCAGGAGTCGGAGGCCAGCCGTCAATGCGTCCTGTTTTCAGGACCCCTTTGGCCCTCGGTCCAGGCCACGCGGCGAAGTCGGAGATGCGTTTCTCCAGGCCCCAGGGCATCTCCTCCGCAGAGCCGTCCTGGGTCACCCCCGGCCCCTCAGCCCTCCGAGGGACTCACCGGCTTTCTGACCTGCCTCCCCATCGGGGGGAGAGCTCTGGGGGGTGGGGGCGCACGACCTGGCTGACGTCAGTGTCCCCAGCCTGGCACCCATGGGTGACTGAAGGAGAGAGGGGGAGTGTGTGGGGGCAGCCCTTCCCTCCCTCCCCGCCCTGCAGTTGTGCTCCAAGCCCCTGGCGGGCCTCTGAGCGCCCCGGGCCAGCTCCTGGGGCGACGCGGCGCCATCCTGCCTGGGCGGTGGGCGCGGGTCGCTGGTGTCCAGTCGCTGAGTGGCTGCTGGAGCCACCCATGCTGCTAAATTTTAGGAAGTTTGCATGCTGGCGTTAATCCCAGCCATTGCAGGAAAACAAATTATGCAAACTTAAGATGAAACCAATTACATTTAAAGCAAAGGTATAAATACTCAAAGCTCACCACCGCCCTCTGCTCTACGTTTTCCTCCCCCTGTGCTTCCGAGGTTAGTGCCCGCTGAGTCCATGGGGCAGGGTGCTGCCCTGCGGCAGCCACGAGGCAGCTCTTCCTGGCGGTGACATCGTGTGGGCGGGCAGCTGGGGGCTGGCCGCGCTGTGGAGGGGGCTCGGGCGCGGGGAGCCTGGGCGAGGGGCGCAGCGGGAGGGGCGCCCTGTAGGCGCTGGGGTCCCAGCGCAGGTCTGAGCCGAGGGCGTGAGTTGCCCGGGTGGGTGAGCAGGGGCGGGGTGGGTCACAGCGCCGACCTGCTCTTCCCAGGTCACAGCCATCTCCCTGGCTCTCACGCCTCAGCGCAGCTGCCCAGGGATGGGGCAGGGAGGGGGGGGGGACGGGGCAGGCCACTGCCCTGGAGGGCCCCCTGTGAGCAGACGCCCAGCGCGGCCTGTGGGCCGGGCGCACCCGGCAGTGGGCTGTCCCAGAGGGAGGCTGAGCAGCCCCTCTGCGAAGGCGCCGCGCCCCGGCCTCCCGCCTCCCGGCTCAGGAAGGAACTGGGCTGCGTCCGGCATTGGGGCTACCTGAGCGAGAACGCCGCCCTGTCCTGCGGAGCCTCCAGGAAGCGGGGGGCAGGGGAGATGGCCCAGGGGTCACCGCGCATGGCCCTGCCCCCCTGCTGCCGCACACACACCGGTGGCAAAGAGAGCCCTGGGACGGGGAGGGGCGTGCCTCGGAGCTGGGGCCAGCTCCTCAGCTGCCGCAAGGGGGGCCCCTCAGCCCCGTCTCCCCTAGACGGCATGAGGACTCAGCCAGGCGACACCTGGAGCCTGAAGGCCCTTCCTCCCTGACCACCCCAACACTCAGAGCCCTCGGGCTCTGTCCCCGCAGACAAGGAACCGGGACGGGGTGGGGCGGGGCGGGGCGGGGGCCCTGCGGGCCCCAGGACTCGCCCTTACTCAGCCTGATCATCCCCAAACCCGGCTGCCATCAGCTGCTCAGGGCGCGGGGACAAACACAGGCCCCTGTGCCCCTCCGCGTGCCGTGGTAGGTTTCGGAGCCTTTGATGTCTCAGAACTGAGGGGCACCCCAGTAACTGGGACAGGGCTGCCGGGCTGGGACCCCACGCGGCCCCCCCTCCCTCCCGCCGGGTACCACCCTGCCTTCCCAGTGACGAGTGGCTCCTGCGTGCAGCGGGAATGTGGGACCCGGTGGGGCCAGGCGGGCGGAGCGGCCTCGCCAGCAGGGCAAGGACCCTGCGCCGCCCAGCCCAGCACCACCGGGCTGCACACCCTGCGGGCAGGAAAGGGGCGAGCCAGCCGCATGGCCTCGGAGGCCTGGCCTGCGTCCTTCAGCAGCCCCGCCCACCTGGCTCTTTCCAGGCGCCGGAGCGAGGGCTTTTCTCTTATTTACATCTGGTAACAGCCCCCGGCCCGGCCTAGGGACATGTGTCTCTGGCCTGTGCGCCTAGTCAGTGTTTGCTGAATACCAGTGGCCACGATGTCCCTTTTCTCCCTCCTGTCCCGCGTCCGGCGGCCCCACGGTAACGGGGAGGGCTGTGACCCGGTACCTGGGCGTGGGCGCTGCGGTCTGAAGTGCGGTCCTGGCTGCCCGTGCGCTGGGCGTGGAGGCCTCACCGCCCAGAGCCCCCGGGCGCACGGCTCATTGCTGGCAGGCTCCAGGATGCCACTGCCCGCGGGCGAGCTCAAGATCGCCGCAGGCAGCCGGCCGGCCGAGGGGCCCTTCCCGCAGAGGCCAGCGTGCTGGGGGACGGGGAGCAAGCCCTGAGTCTCTGTGACTCTGTGAGTGCCTGTGTATATGGGCGTCGGGCACTCTGTGTGTCTGCGTCTCTCTCCGTGGCTGTGTCTCTGTGTGTGTGTGTGTGTGTCTCTGTGGCTGTTGCTGTGTGTGGGCACACACCGAGCGCTCTAGGCCCAGATTCCGACAGGAGGGTCTTTGGGGACTCGGCCCCAGGCTGGGGGGGCGGGCGCCCCCCGCCTCCCGCCCCGACCGGCCTACAGCCGGGCTGCCGCCCCCGCGCCGCCGCCCGGCCGGCCGTGGCGGTTTCTGTAGAAGGTGCGAGTGGTGATGAGCGCTGCCCCCGCGTCTCGTAGTCTGTCCCGTGTCTCCACGTGCGTTTTCTCGCCCCTCATCACGCCAGCCTTTGGCACGGGTAGTTTTGTTGCAAAGTCCAGGAGAGCACACATTTTGTGCAAGAATTGGTCTTTTAATGATAAAATTCACATAAAATAAAACGCAGCCAGCTTACAGTGTGTCGTTTTAACTAGTTTACAGTGTGTCGTTCGGTGGCATTGAGCACATTCATGGTATTGTACGACCACCTCCTCTATCTAGTTCCCAAACGTTGTCATCTCCCCCAAAGGAGACCCCGTGCCCCTTACACAGTTGCTCCCTCCCCGCCCCCAGCCCCTGGCAGCCCCTCGCCTGGCTCGGGTCCCTGAGGATCTGCCTATCCTGGGTGTTTCGGATAAGCGGCCTTATAGGAAGCAGGTGGCCGTTCGCGTCTGGCTTCTTTCCCGGAGCCACGTGTTTCCAGGTCCCGTCCACGCTGTAGCAAGTGTCAGGGCATCACTGCTTTTTATGGCTGAACGATAGTCCAGTGTGTGGCTCAAGCACGTTTGGTTTACCCATGTGTCCTTCAAGGGACAGTTGGGTTGTTTGGACCTTTGTGACTAACGCCGTGGGGAACAGGGGCGTGCAGGTATCTGTTTCAGTTCCTGCTTTCAGTTCTTTTGGATCTACTGGGCAAGGGGGCGGGGGGAATTGTCAGCTGGGAATTCCGGGCTGTTTCCATGTGGCTACACCGGCTGCACTTTTCAAGAAGGGGCAGAAGGGGGCTTTGGGCCAGCTCCTCTGGGGACCAGAGCCCGACCCCTTCCTGGCGCAGGCCCCCGCCTGTGCTCCCTTTCTGCTTTCCTCGGGGTCCCTCCCAGGCAGAGCTGAGGGTCCAGTTGCGCTGGCGGAAAGCCTTGCCCTCCCTGGGAAGCTAGGAGGGGTGGGGGGGCACGGCAGGCACCCCCCAAGCTGCCGGGCCAGAGGATGTGAGGGAGTCTCTCGGAGCCCGTGGATGGAGACAGGTGCGCGGGGCTGGGAGCAGACACAGGCGAGGGAGACGCTGGAACTCGGGGACGGTGGGGGCACTCGCGCAGGCTGCTCTAACCATCTCGGTGGCTGACAGCCGCCCTCCGTGGCCAGGGTCAGTCCCGAGTGCTGACTGCCTTGACTTATGCATCCCCGCAGTCCAGGAGGGGGCCCTGGGGCCGCCTCATCCCACAGGTGAGTGCGCTGAGGCTCCGGAGGCTGGCCGGCGCCGGCGTCCTTGACCCGCATGCCGCGCGGCCAGTCTGTGGGCCCCCAGAGGGGGAGCGGGGCTCAGAGAGGCAGGAAACGGATGGCGCAGCCGAGGCTAGGGGACGTGGGTATGGGCGTGGCCGAGGGTCCCTAACCGCGTCTCCCCTCTGGGCTTGCTTCCCGCAGCCGCAGAGTGGAGATAAGGGGCCGCGGAGGGGGTGCGCAGGCCGAGGCCCCGACCCTCGCCGCAGCCCTGCCTCTGGGGGCCTGGGGCACGTGCGGAGCTGCTGACCGCTCCCCTCTGGTTTTCCCTTTTCCTCTGAAGAGGCACCTGTCGCCGGAGGAGTTCCAGGAGGTGTTTGGGATGAGCGTGGAGGAGTTCGACCGCCTGGCCCTCTGGAAGAGGAACGACCTGAAGAAGAAAGCCCTGCTGTTCTGACCGCTGCCCGGGCTCTGACTGCGCGTGGCGGGGGCGGGGGCGGGGGCACCGGCAGGGACCACGCAAGCCCCTCCTGTTGCACTGGCTCTGGCTTCTCTGTGTCCTTGGGGCGGGTGGGGCGCCTGGGGGCTGGGGGTGGGATGGGAGCAGCACCTGTGCAGGAGACGCTCCTGCTTGTCGCTTAGGGCCCAGGCGCCCCGCCTGGCACCGCCCCTTCCCACTGTGCTTGGCCCCAGGAGATGCTGCAGAGTGGCCGCCGGGGGTGGAGGGACATTCAGACAGCCCCAGCCCGCCTTCCGAGGCCCCTGGGGGCGCAGACGTGACCGGGACTCGGGGCTTGAGTGACAGGCTCTGACACAATCACTGGTGGGGGCGCAGGGCTCCCAGTGCCCCTGGCCCCGCCCGCCGCCCCCCAGCCCCCGAGGCACAGCCTGGCTGGCCGCCCCGCAGCCTGGGACGCCCAGGGCTGTGCCAAGCGTGGGGTGCACACGTTTTGCTGCCGTCCGTGACCGAGTCTCCTTTTAGGGACAAACGTCAACCTGACAGGGTACCTTCCTTCAGGGACCTCTGTGCACTGCGTTGTCCTTTCAGATCCTCCCCTAGATGCCTAAACGATACCTTGAAAGGAACACAAAAGTTTTATTTTATTAAAAAGCATAGCCTACTTAAACGTAAGGTGACACATATACAGAGTTTAGTTTTCCAGTCCCGTTGAGGGAGCGCTTCCGCCTTAGCCCCCCGCCCTCGCGGTCCTGATGTGTGTGGTCTCGGCCCCCGGGGTGTCCCTCAGGCGCGGGGCTCCTCGTCTGGTTTCCGTTTGCTTTCTTTCACGCCTGTCGCACAGGCGCCCTGAAAGGCAGGCCCTCCCCCGTCACCCCGCCTGTAAGTACCCATGACGTGTGGACCCACGGCTGTTTCCTCGCTGTTATTTTCTGAGAGGAGGGAGCTCTGCCAAAGCAGGTTTCTGCCAGGGGCTTCCGTGTGCCCGGCCTCACGCCCCACGTGTTTTTGGTGGTGTAGCAGCGTGTCCCACCTCCCCACAATGGGACGCAAACATGTGGCCCCGGAGCGGTGCCCGAGACAGACACCGACCCTCGGGGACAGAGCGTGGGACGCCTGTCTGATCTGCCGGGTCCGCAGCACACGCCGCCTGCTGGGTGCCGGGTCTGCCGCACAGTGTGGGTCCGGGTGCACTGCCGGCCGCGGAGCGTTCGCATCCGCGACGGGTGTGGAGAGGCTTACGCAAACCCGAAAGGGGTGACCCGCGTCTGTTCCCCGTGTTCTGTGGAGCTGTGTCTTGGTGTGTCCTGGACGTCCCGCCTGTGAGTCAGTGTCACTCAGCTTCCTCCCAGCCCCGTAACACGCCACGTCCCGTTGCGCACCCGGCTTCTCACCAGCCCGGCTTGGCCAGGGAAGGGGAAATCTCAGCACCTAATGCGCTTCCTTCCTTTTAGCAACCTGAGCCCGAGCAACTGGAAACCCCCACCTCCTCCTTAGTGCAATGTCATGTCGGTCCCAGGGCAGCCTGGACAAATAAAGGACGATGTATTGTAACTCGTGAAAGTACAGAGCTGCTTCTTAGAAACGCGCGCCATTGCTGATGGGCCGGGCCCCCTCCCACCGACGGCGCGCGGGAAGAGGGTCCGCCCGGGGAGCTGGCACGGGGTGTGAGCCCAGAGCGGGGCGACGCTGACCGGGGCCGGGCCCGGGGTCGGCCTCAGATCGCCACGGGTTTGGGAGCCCCGCTTGCTCGGGGGCACATCTTGGCCAGGCTGCAGGTGCCGAAGGCGGAGAGACACGTGAGAGCTGACACCTGTCCCAGTCAGGCTGGGGGGACGGATCGAGCAGCCAACAATGACAGGGCTGACCGCTGCCCAACTGACAGGGCCCGAAGGAGACCCCCAATGCACCGCAGAGCTCAGGGGCGGCTTTCAGAGAAGGCATTGCCCAAACTAATTCAGCACGTCTGGGCTCAAAAGTGACACGCGCCACCTTCGGGCTGACCTGTTGGCCAGAACTCATCCTGTGACCCCACCCAGCTGCAGAGGAGTCTGGGAAACATGGGTGCCCAAGTGCCTGAGAAGGAGGGAAGGCCAGTACTAGTGGCGAGCAGCCCGAATTCTGCCTCCAAGGCTCCGCCTAGTCCCCTCGTTCAACTCCCAGGGCCTGCGGAGGCTCTTTGTAGGAATCACCTGGAGCCCCCAGCTGCCCTGCTTACCCCCCAGGCAGGTGAGCCTCCCCTGCCCAGGGATGGCACCACGGACAGCCCCGAGCCCCTGCAGAGCGCGCCCCGGGGAACCCCGCGCAGTGGCTCCGCCCCCAGAGACGCTTGGTTCTTATGGCGGTCACCACCTGATCAGACACACGTGGAGGCGACAGGGTGGGGTAGGGGAGAGCCAGGGCCACTGGCCAGCGCTGCGGGCTCGTGGAGGCCACGGCGGCACGGGGCGGGGAGGGGGCGGAGGGAAGGGGCGCAGGCGAGGAGGCGGGTGAAGCTGCGGGAGCCCTTGGGACGAGTCCAGGGGCCAAGGAGACGAGCGCCTCCCTGGTGACCGCAGCGGCTGCCGGGGTGCAACTGAACTAGGTTTCATGAATAACAGAAACCTCCTTTTCGCGGGCCCCGTGAGATGAACTGATCAATTCAACCAACAGCCACTGAGTGCCTACTACATGCCAGGCAGTCTTTGGGGATCTCAGGACACAGCAGTGAATAAGACAGATGGAAATCTGGACTGCATCTTCTTTGGGGGGTGGGAGGGGCGGACAGACAACGCATGTGTCAGCCAAGGAGAAACCCTCTGGAAAAAGCTTTCAACAGGACAAAGGCAGAGAGTGACAACAGAGGGCGCTGTCTACTACAGGTGACAACTGAGCCAATCCCAGGGGAGGGAAGAAGTCCCTTCTTCCACGGTGAGAGCAAGGGAGGAAAAAAGGAAGGCTGGGATGCTGCTTAGTTCACGGCAGAAATATGCTCAGCCCAAACGCAAGGTCTGGACCGCTCATTTGAACCCTGAATTGTTTCCAGTCAAATGGCAAATATTCATCGAGCACAGACTGCGGAGCCAGGCACCACGTGGGCACCGGGGACGAGGAGGAGGAGCTCGCTGTGGCGGGTGGAGGTGGACCCGGGAACCAGGGTGACGGCGCAAGTGTTAAGTGTCACAAACCAGGGTAGGCTTTTCAGGCTGCAGTGACGAGGCGGAGGAAGCAAGGATGGCCGTCCCCGGCAGCCGAGGTAGCTTCACCGGGAGGTGACCTTGGAGCTGCATCCTGAAGAATGAGTAGGAGTTGGCCAGGTGGCATCCTGAGCAGGAAAGAAACATCTGCCAGGTGCCCACTGCGTGCTGGGCAATTGATCTATGACCTCTCATTTAATTCTCAGAGAAACCCAGCGCGGTAGGCGTTGTACCTAGTTTACTGCTAAGGCTCTTGAGGCTCAGAGAAGTTAAAAGCTGGGTTTTAGGAGGTGGTGGGTTTTACTCTCAAACTTAGGCTTTCTCCAAGACGGTACACGGGCCTATTGACCGGATGGACCAGTGCCTGCAAAGGCCGAACAGGGCAGAGGCGTGGCGCGTGGGGCCTGCTGGGAAGCGACCCTTTCCGCGGCCGCCGCGTGCCCGGAGCGGACCGAAGACAGAGCATGAAGTGGCGGTGGGTTTTGAAGGCGATGGATGGACAGTTCTTTTTTTTCTTTCAACATATAAGGCTGTAATCTCATTGTCTTTTGACTTCTCTTTTCATCTGTTAAGAATTCATCTGCAGTTCTTATAGTTATTTCCCAGAATATGTTTGTTTCCTGTGGCTGCATTTAAGATTTAAAAAAAAAAAATCATTGGTTTTCAGCAGCCAGGTAGGCAGCCTCTGAGATGCCCCCCAGGGGGCCCCGCTGCCTGGTCCCTCCTCCCCCTCCCCGCCCTGCTGGGGTCTCCTCCCCTTGAGTGGGGCAGGTGCACGGGCTTGCTTCTGATAGAAGGTGGGGACAGTGATGGGACATCACTTTCAGTACTAGGTTACAAGAAACTGTGGCTTCCCTCCCAGGTGCTCAGCAGCCCCTTGCCCCGTGGCGAGCGGCCCCGCGTAGGCCTCGCTTGGGGGGCCACAGCCTCTGCGGAGCCGCAGCCTGCAGACAGCCCCACGGGGGCGTCCGGGCACCGACTTTCCCGGTCAAGCCTTCACCAGAGTCCCCCCAACCCTCCACCCCCAGGTTTGACAGCAACCTGGAGAGACCCCGAGCCAGAAGCACCCGGTTAAGCTGTGAGCTGATAAACATACGTTGTTTTAAGCCGCTAGGTTTGGGGGTAGCCTGTCCCATAGCAATGAGTGACGGCTGCAGCGGGCCTGTGGGCTGTCATTGCATCATCGGTGAGCTGACGTCACGTCCCCAATGAGGCCGGGGTTTCCCGTGGGCGCCCCGCCGCTGTGGATGCTGTGGTCCCTCGGGCCCCCGGAATCTAGGAAGACCGTGTTAAAAGTGCTGTGGAAATGCAGCGTACATGGGTGTATGAACAGCTTATAATTTATTTTTTTCCTCAACAGCTATGTTACCGGAGGAGTCTGGGAAGAGGCCTTGGGGTGACTAAGACACCAACTTCCCCTTCACAGTATCAGAGGAGGTCGGGAATTTTCACAAAGTGTTGGGCCAGCTTTTCGAAAAAGAAACCCTGACTTATTTTCCCACCGAATGGACACTCTGTATCAGAAGGGCTGTGTGGTCAGGAGGGCTTGGATTTACTTTCTGAGGTTATACGAGGTCCTCAAACTTCAGTTTCATTAGGAGAAACACGCTCTAACCAGGCCCGTGGCACCGTGCCTGCGCTGGCTCGCAGGGTGGCAGGTTCTCGGTAGCGGGTGCAAGTCCCAACAGGACAATCGCTGATGAGGAATAGTGTCAGGCTGAGAGTACTAATCACAAATATTTGTTGACTGTCTACATACTTCAATTAGGAGCTCTGTAAGTAGCAGAAAAATTGACTAATGGTGGCTTAAACAAATCAAGGATTTGTTTTTTCTATCTAATAGAGAATCTGGAGGTAGGTGATTGTGGGGGTGAGGGGGTCTTGATTCAGTGGCTCAAGGCTGCAAGAGTCAGAGTCTCTCCGATTCTGACTTTGCTCATGGTTGTAAGGTGGCTGCCACAGCTCCGGACATCACATGTGTGTTCAAGGGCGTAATTCCTGCTGCTAAGAAGAGGCAGCATTAGGTGAGTCTACTAGAAACCGGTGGTGTGCTGGCTGGTCTTCAATCACTGGCCTCCTGGGGGATGGGAGGAAGGAGGACAGTCCTGGTTTGTAGCAGTGCCGATTGCTGTGGTATAAATTCTCCCACGACATCTGATTTCCAGCTACCAGCATGGTGGCGCTGGCTGCATGCGCGGGAAGAGCCGCCAGTAGCACACCATCTCCTAGCATTTCTATCATACAATTACAGGACATGCGCAATCCTTCAAAGCACAGATAATTGTAGACTGTAGTAAAATAATTAGGAAGTAATTTCGAGTATTATCTTTGTTTTTAATATGATTTTTCATTGTAAGTTTATATAACTTAATTATTAAGTAATGACTGATTGTGTTTAACAACTGACTTGCAAAATTCCTGAACAATAAACACTCGCCTCTCGGCTCTCGGCTCTTGGGGTCTGGTCCAAATGGCTCCGGGACACCGCTGCCAGGAACCTTCCAGCTGACTTCCACTGCATCTCACAGGCCAGGACGTCACATGACCCCCTCAGGCTATCCAGGAAGCTGGGAAGCAAGAAACTATTTGGGTCTCGGCCAGGGGAAGGGGGCTGGGGAGGAGAGAAAGGCTGGCCGGCCAGCCGCCTGGTTGGCCTACCATCGACCAGTGGCCCCAGAACACAACTGTGCTCGGGATTTGCAGGCCATGGATAAGCAAGACAGGCTCCATTTCTTGTCTCATGGGGCTTTCATGCTAGGGGCAAGAGGGAGGTGTAAATTTTTTTCTTTTATCGATTTTAGAGACGGGGGGAGGGAGAGAAATGTAGATTGGCTGCCTCTTGCACGCGTCCTGGCTGGGGACTGAACGTGCAACCCCAGACCTGTGCCCTGACTGGGAATTGAACCCATGACTTTTCGGTTGGCAGAGCGACATTCAACCAGCTGAGCTACACTGGACAGGGCAGAGAGAGATTGTAAACAATAAGCATGATAGCAATAAATGCCAGAAAAAAATCCACAGTGCTCTGAGCCTGTGTAATGGGGGGGAATCTAGGTCATTGTATTCATTTTTTATGCTTTCATAACAAACATAGCAGCTGATAACAATGCACACATTTCTTTTTTTAATTCTCACCTGGGGACATCTATTCATTGTTTTTATAGAGAAAGGAAGGGAGAGAGAGAGGGAAATGTCAACATATGAGAGAGACATCAATTGGTTGTCTCTTGAACATGCCCCGCTGGGGACGGAACCTGCAACCCCGGCATGTGCTCTGACCGGGAATCGAACCTGCAACTTCTTGGTGTACAGGATGACGCTCCAACCCAGTGAGCCACCTGGCCAGGGCTGCACACATTTCTTGACTCAGTTTCTGTGAGTCAGAGTTTGGCGCATTTCAGCAGCGTCCTCTGCTCAGGGTACCCTAGGACCCACTTAACCTGTCAGCAGCCTGCGTCCTCACCTAGAGCCTTGACTAGGGTCGAATCTCCTTCCACACTCTTTCAGGTGGGTGCCAGAATTCATTTCCATGGGCCCGTATGGCTGGGGCAGCTTTCTGCTACCTGTGCGCTGGAGGCTGCGCCCAGGTCTTACGACCCTTGCACGGGGTGGGTGCTCACTGCCTGGCAGGTGACCTCATCGAAGCCTGTAAGGAGAACCTCTGCCTCGTCCCTTAAGGTGAATCCTCAATGGTGTAACCCGACCATAGGAGTGACATCCCGTCACCTCTGCCACATTGTATTGGCTAGAAGCTGTCACAGGCTCTGCCTGCACTCGTTCTGGGGGGGGGATTATGCGCGGCTGTGCCTCACTGGGGAGGGGGTCACCTTAGGATGTGTCTGCACCGTTGTACACAGTGCAGGAAGGCCCGGGCGTGGTAACATTTAGGGCGAGACTTGAAGGGCCGGTAGGAGTTGGCCAGATCCGGAGAGAACAGCATGTCAGGCAGGGGGCAGCACAGGCAAAGGCAGAAGCCCCGAGTGCCGCCCTGGTAGAGTCAGCGTGACTCCCTGAGGTGTGTTCTGACCTCTGAGTGTGTCCCCAGACCACCCTCGGAACTGGCCGGAGCGGGACAGGGGGGTGCTTCTTATGTTCAAGCAGGAGTTTGGCAGGTCAGATCGGAAGCCAGGCTTTCAGTGGGAGTGTGTGTGTGTATGTGTATGTATGTGTGTGCGCACATATGTGTATGTGCACAGGACAAGGGCAATGGAGTCTGCTCCGGTCACTGTCAGGACCTTACACTCCTTCCCTCTTTCCCTCCCTCCCTCCCTCCCTCCCTCCCTCCCTTCCGTCCGTCCTTCCATTCTTCCCTCCTTCCTTCCCATCCTCCTGGCATTCCTGTGTGCCCACAGGGTGCCCGGCCCTGGTCTGCGCACAGAGATGGATCAGAGGCAGATCCCTGCCTTGTCCTGGAGGGGTCACACTTCATGGGGGGTGGCATCCCTCAGACACAGAGCCACAGCTGCTGCTGTGGCGGGGGCTGCAAGGAGCACCCTGGACATGCAGAGGGAGCCCTGTGGGGCCCTTGGGGGGTGGGGCGGGGGCTCAGGGATGAGTTCATCTTCTGACCCGAGCAGCTGTGTGGCAGGAGAGGCCACTGACTGGGAATGGGAGGAATGTGGAGGAGCAGGCTGGGGGCGTTGTGCGAGGCATTTGTTTGGGCCCTGATGGGTCTGAGATGCTTCCTGGGTGTCCAGCTGGGGCTCCGGGAGAGGGTCAGGCCTGGGAGTGAGGAGGGTCTGGCCGTCACCGCAGTGTGTAGTGTTTAAAGCCTGGGAGGGCATCAGATTTCCGGTGAGAGCATCCCTGGCGAACAGGAGGACATCTGGCCCAAGCCATGGGCCACCCTAACACCCCAACATACCCAGGTCCAGCAGGGAAGTGGGGATCCTGGAGACTCCGGAGGAGCTGCGGGTGAAGTAGGGAAAGAAAACCCAGTGCAGGGCCACATGATGGCGAAAAAGCAAATATGAGGACAAGGACGGGTTAAAGGTGATAGGTGGTGTTCGGGTCCGTGGGGTGACAGGTGAGGAAAGGAGAGCATTTCGGCTGGGAATAGCAGAACCACAAGAGGTCTGGCCCAGGAAAAGGTGACAGCTGGCTCCTGGCTCCTTCTCCAAACCTTAGAGTGGCCCTGAGAAATCGCTGGTGCTGCTCGAAGGAGCCCTTTTAGGGAGGGCGCGTTTGCCTCCACTCCCCGACGCGCGTCCTCCGAGCTGTGCAGACGTTTGTTGAATGAATAAGAGGAACGGGGAGTGGGACTGTGTGACGTGGGGCGGCCGATGATCTCGCTCCTTGGGCCTCGATTTCTCTTTATGCGCGGCAGACCAAGCCTGCAAGCTTGAGTTCTGGGTCTGAGAGGAGCACGGCCTGCGGAGCGGATTCCGAGCGGACATCTCCGCTCAGCCACCCCGGCCGGCGCAGCGGATAGGGCCGCTCCAGCGTCCGGCCTCCCCGCGGGACCCGCCCGCGCAGCCCCGCCCCACCTCCCTTTGTTTCTCTCGACTCCGCCCACTACGAGCGTCTCCCTCCCCATTGGCCGGGGGGCGGGCCCTGAGCGCAAAGCGCCGCAGGGGGCGGGGCGGAGGGGAGCGGGTGGGGCGAGTGCGCCTGCGCGGTGTTCGACTTCGGCCGTGTCCGAGCGCCGGCTGCCTCTGAGCTGAAGCGGAGCCCGAGCCTTAGACGGCGACGAGGTGAAGCGACGGTGGAAGCGACCCCGCCCCGGGACTCCTTTGTTGCGGCGGCAGCGGCTCTGCAGGTTGCTCGGTTCCGCTCCACTCGGCCTGGGCGCCGACGGCGGGAGCGAGCGCTGCTGAGGCGGCGGCCTGAGGTGAGGCGGCGGACGAAGCGGGGGTCCCGGGACAGGACGGGGATTCCCGGGCGAGCAGGGGTTCTTGGCAGAACAGGGGTCGGGATGCGGGCGACGGGCTTGGGCGGGTGGGGGTCCCGGGGCCGGAGGGGGGCCTCAGCCGGGCAGGGTCCCCAGGCCGGAGGGCGGGGTCCTCGGTCCCTTGGGGGGCAGGGGTCACGGAGCCGGGCGGAGGTCCCGGGGCCGACCCGGGGCCCCAGGCGGCAGGGATCCCGGCCGGGACGGGGTCCCCGGGCCTGGTGCGGCAGATCTGAGCGGGGCGCCGCGGGGTCGCTGCTTGAGGTGGCGGCCGCCGCCCTGAGGGACAGCGGGACTGATACGAGGACAGGGACGGGGACCGGCCGGGGCGGCGCAAGCCCAGGCGCCCCAAGCCCAGGCGCCCCGGGAGGGTTTGGACCGCGGGGTGGCACCGAGGGGCTCCGCGCCTGCGGCGTCCCGGCCACCCTGACAGTTGGGGGCACCGTCTCGCCCTCGCTCAGCCCGAGGTGTGGCTGCCCCCTGTTGTCTGTGTGTCACCGGAGGTGGCTCAGCGTGGGCCCTCGCCGGGAACCCTGGACATCCTGCGGGTGGGGCTCTGGCCCCGCCCCCGCCGCGGTGTGACTGGTTCACTGTGTCTCAATTAGGGTGGCAGCGTGGACTCTCGATCGTGGGGGCTCTGTCCACCCTGAGAGTGGGGGGGGCGCTTGTCTCCCTCACTGGTGCCCGAAGGTTTGTGTGCCGTCGAGGGGGGCTTTTAGTGGACCCGCGCGCGGCGCCCTAGCCATCCTGTGAGTTGGGGGGCCTTTGCTCTGCGCCCCCATGTGACTCGGGGGAGTGTGACCCCGGGCCTGCCCTCCCCACCCCCGCAACGTGTGTGTGCGCGTGCGCCCGCTGGCGAGGCTCGAGGTGGTGAGGGGTCCTTGTGAGGGTTCGGTCGGGGTGAGGCGGGCTGTGCAGGGGGCGCAGTTGGCCTGGGCAGGACCGCTGCCCCGCTGTTAGTTACAGTCTTACTTGCCCGACGACGAGCAGGGGCGGGAGGGGCGCCGCCGGGCCGCCCTCCCCCGCCGCGTCCCTCTCCGCGGGGGTCCGCGGTTCCCGGTCTCCGGTCCCCCGGGGAGTGCGGGCCGGCAGCGCGCCCACCCGCCCGGGGTGGCTCCCCAGGCCGCCGCGTTTCCTGCCGGGCGGCGCAGCGCGAGGCCGGGCCAGCAGGAGCCGGCTCTGATTGGAGCGAGCCGAGCCCCTCTGCCCCGCGCTTCTTGATTCTTCCGTTAGGATTGGGAGGAAAAAAAAAATCTGGTAAACCAGATTTAGCTTTGCAGTCTTTTGCGCCTGGAGAGTGGAGGAAACGCTCCCAAGAATTTGGCGGGCTGGAAATGCGTTTGAAGGAGGAGGATCCACACCCACGGAGCGAGGCCAAGGCGGTTACAGCTGGAGGTCAGGTTTCCGAAGGGACGGCAGGGTGAGGTTGCCCGGCTGGGAAGCAGGATTTCAGCCTGGTGTCAAGGCCTGGAGGGGCTCTGCCGGCTCTGTGTGCTCAGCTGCTTAAAGAAAGTGGGATCGTTCATTAACCCTTCTATCAAACTTGTGAAAACACTTATCAAGGCCCAGGGATGACTCTCTTCCCTGAGGGGTGCAAAGTCAAAGCCAGGCTTTCCCTTTTAGGGACAGTCCGGCCTAAGACAGAAGCTCTGGGAGCTCTGATGTCCAGACTGAATTCATTGTGAACGAGATGATGTATAAATAGTGGGATGAACATGTCCTGGCCTTAGCTGCGGCTGATGCAAAGGCCAGGCTCAGCGAGCAGGCCCTTCCTGACTCCCGGCGGAGGCCGTCGCTCCTCCTGGCCTCCTGGCCCCAGCCCCAGCCCCTCCAGTGCCCTTTTCCTGGTCTTAGGGCCTCAGTTGAGGTGGCACCGTCCCTCTGAAGCCTTCTCCGAAGTCCTTTTGTCCTGCCCTCGGAGAGCTGCTGTCTCTAAGGACAGACGCTCAGCCGCAGGGACTGGTCCATAGGTGCTCTGACGGGGGTGGGCGCCGTTTGTGGCCAGGGCCGGGGGGAGGCAAATCTAATGAGGGCTCCTTTGTCCATACCATGCATTCAAGTATTTGGTCAGCCAAAAAGTCCGTATGGTTTTTTCTCTAAAATAAAAGACACGTTTTTTGTTTTCACCAATAACTTCATTAATTGGGACATTTTGAGTATGTCGGCTTTCTCCCCCATGGTATAATGTTGATTGTGCTCAATGTCTCGGCTTGATCACTGTCAGCTTCATCTGGTCTGCCCGACCGCGGAGCATCGGCCGTCCGGAGATCTCTGTCGCGAAACTTCACAAACCCTTTTGGACACAGTGTCAGTCACAGCACCTCCATACACAGCACACATCTTTCTTTGCATTTCAGTTGCGTTTTTACCTTTCTTGAAATAATAAAGCATAATATGGTAAAAATGTTGTGTATTTTCTTCCATCTTCAATACTAAAATGGCTGCACAAAAAGTTACCAATTTTGACATTTTTCAAAAAAATTCTTGCTGATAATGACAGCTGTTGCAATACAATCTAACAAAATTGTTTCAAAGAAGTTAAAGGTAACTTAGTGCTACTAGAGCTGCCTTAAAGGACATTTTGGCCAACGCAGTAATTTATGTGATTGAGAATCTGTAGTCCCTCAACTCTCCAAAGGGTTTTTAGATTAATATTTGCTATTATTTCCTGGTGTTTGCTGCGTGGTGTAGAGTACTTGATTGGAATTTATTGGGTCTAAATCAGGCTCTGGAATTAAGTTCCTCTGTCCCTGGCTTTCAGTTTCCTCACTGCCGAGGATCTTAAGCTGGGTAGGACGCTCTCAGCCCCAACCCTGTCCTTCTTTCAACCAGACATCGCAGAGGCAAGTTCTGTTGGTGACAGTGGTCTGAATAGTGGAGAGCTTTGAAAATGTACACCCTAAAGTGAGAGTTCTTCTTCTTATGGGGCGTGCACCTTGTCTCAGACTAGGGACCAGAGTCTGGAGTCTGTGGCGGAAGCTTACGCAACTTTCTTCTATTATCTTGCCTATTCTGCAAAATTACGATTCCCTGGCATCCGTACTGTGTCTGATTGGTCGGATGGGTCCCTTAACGAAGCTGCTGGGGGTTGAGCTCCTGCCGGGAGTCTTTCGTCGACTTTTTGTGTGTCGTATGAAGTCTGCCACTGTGGCCTCCATGCGTCCCGGTTTCTACAGAGGTTTTAATGTGGGGAGTCGGAAATACACGGAATTGTGGGAGGGCCTTGTGTAGGTGTATGTGGTTCTGTGCAATGGTTTACCACATAGTTTAAAATGATTACTTGCAACAAAAATGCATCATATGTTAACTGGCTTATAAGAAAGCTCCGATTTTCAGAAATACAGTAATTACTCCTTGAAGATATTAATCTCCTGTCCCATTTGTCTGTCTGGGAAGGTGGGACACACACCACCTGTGTGTCTCTGTCATTCTGGTTGGGTGACTGCAGGGACAAAAGGCGGACAGACGGTGGCTGTTTGGTCAGGCGGTGATGCCACCGAGTCACAGTTTTCACAGCTCTGTGGGACTTTTGTCTTCTCAGAATTAAAAAAAAAAAAGTGCTTTGTTTCATGCCCCATATAATTTGTTTTGTTAGGGATCTTTTTTAGGAGGGATCTTTAGAAACAACCGGATTTTCTTTGTGGTTTCCTTAGATTGTATTACTCTCACGTTTTCACGGAAGCTTACTCGTCAGGGTGTATTCTGCGCTGAGAGGGGGTTCGCTTGGTGGCAGGCCTGGTGTTTGTGGAGTCAAGTGATGAGGGGTCTTTCATGGGAGGGAGGGCCTGCGGGTGGGGAAGGTAGAGTTTGGATGCACGTTCAAAGGTGCCCTCTTGTTCTTTACTGAAGGAAGAGAGTAAACCGTACTCTTTCCCAAACGCCCGGACAAAGGGCTGATTATACACCTGTCGTAAAGAACCAATGGCACTTTTTTAAAAAAGAATATGTATTCCATAAATCCCCCTTTCCCTTTAACTATTACTTGCCTGAAAATTAGAAGGCCAAAGGGAAATTTTTCTCAGACGATAAGTCAAAGTCTTTGGGTCCGCTAGCCCCCACCTGTCCCGCATCACCTGCCGAATGCTTTTCCCCTCTCTCTTCCATTTTAGAGTCCTCACTGTGTACGTGTCTGTTATTCAGGCTGCCTCAGAATCTTTCTGGGTGTTGAGAGGAATAGATACACATCGTAGAGTAAAGCTAACTTACTTCCGTTCTTTTGGACGGGAGGCTTGGGTAAGGAGTCAGGCCCCAGCACGGCTTCCGTTAGGACCAGGCAGTTCGCTGCGCTTCACGTCCCTCATCTGTGAAGCAGGGTTGTTACTAACGCCTGTTCTGTGCAGCGCAGGAGACTGTTCTGAGGGTAAAATGAAATCATCAGTGTAGTGGAATTTTGTAAGTTGTAAAATATTATGTTGCCAAAGATTTAAAAACAATGCTTCATTAAGAATTTAATGATTCTGGATTTCCCTTTAAAATTCCAAATGTTTAATATACAGCTCTTTCATCTGAGGTTTGTTAGGCAACTTCATTTAGGATTGTTTTCTCTTTTTAATTGTTTGATATTTTAGTGTTTTGGGGAAACACAGAATTCCACTTTCATTTTCTGTTACTCTTTTGTAAACAAGGCTATCGAATGTGTACAGTTTAGCCTTTAACAGTCTCTTCAATTGCGTATGTTCCCGTTAACATTCCTTCAAGGAAGCTTATTTTCTTGACATTTCAGTTCCTAAGTGACCTGTCTGGAGGTTGGGAAGGGCAGCAGGAAGTCCGAGGTCCAGGTTGGCAGAGCGGCCCTGGTCCCATCTGAAACCCCCAGCAGGCCGCCCGCAGCCTTGTGCCCCGAGGTCTCTTTGGGCCCCTAGCCCTCTCCATGCCGGAGGCTGTTCCCTGACTGCGTTCATGTGAGCGTCCCCCACCGGCCAGGCAGCCCGGCCTTTCTTTCT